CTTTTTAAGTGAGTCCAATGCCGTTTCGAGCACTTGTTGCATAATATACTATTTCTGGTTAGTTTTCAGATTCAATCGAGGCTTTAAATTCTAGTAAGCTAACGTGGTAAGGTTAAAAGAATAACATTCTGGGAAATATTTAATTTAACATGCGCACGCGACAGGCGCGTGCTTTTAAGTCTTACGGAGACGTTTCAATATTTGGCTTCGGTATTTGCACGCCTAATTTGAAGCAGCGTAAACACATTTTTTAAAAACTAATTGACGATAAATAAGTCGAAAAACAGATAACTCCGAAGGACGAGGGAAGAATGTGGTCCCCTCCGTGTCATGTCCAGTCGGAATGCTTCTAATTCTTCACGTAATTTGTTTAAACAGCGAAGTTAAAAAACCGTTGGATGCTTAATTCGGAAGACAAAATCAAACTAAACGAGATAATTAATTGTATTGGCGGCGGGTCGGCAAAACATCGAGTCGTTTCAAATTGTGCACTTGCATTAAAAATGAAAGTTTAATAATTCATAGTAAAATTGGATTGTTGCGTAAAACGGAGGTAAAAGCGAACGAGCAATATAATAAGTGACGCAAATACATAAGCCCAACTCGAAAAAATAGCCTATTTGTTTATACACCAGACACCGCATGGTAAATTAGGTTTTTTGAAAAATCGCCGTACCCATTAATAATTATTTATTGCTGCGGTATTCGACAACCTATATATTTCAATGTGAGCATAACTTTACGTGATAATATACATAAATATATTTGTTATAACGGTACCTGTATTTTCAAAATTGACGACCCATAAATCGCAACATTTGCATTCCGATGTAATCACCCTGGAACCTTGCGGCCATATCCGAAATCATTCCAATTAGTGATTAAAGTAGGAATTGGCTCCGTATGCTAAGAGTCAGTCCAGATAAAGCGTTTAAAGCTTAGTTAATATTTCATATACATGCTATAAGTTCTGGGCTATCGCTACAGTGCTTTTCGTAGTCGTTAGTTGCCAATAGACACCTACTACATCCAATCTTGGCGTGTTGTATTAGATATGCTTACTATTATCTGATGCAGCAAAAACAATTAAAAACTAGGAAGTCAATCCAATTGAGTTATTAATATTAATTCATTATTTACTTAACTAATTTGCAACTTCGATAGAGTGGTAAATTTCCAAAGAAAACCGCTTCCTGAGAACTAAATTTCAATGATCGATTTTTTGCGACGTGAATTATTATTATACATTCTGAAGTATATCCCGTCAATCGTCATTTATTTTTTAAAATAAATTTTAAATGGGAATGTTTTTACTTGATATAGTGATCCTTTCATAGTATTTTTGCACTTTAAAGAAGAAATACGTTAGCATTTGTATAGTTTTTTCTTATTTTTACAAAAATAGTTGATGAATTTTAAGACATCTAAACAAATTAAATTAATTTAAAATTCATTGTCAAATTTACAAAATCTATATGGGTGGTATAGGAACGACGTTGCTAAAATTATAACCGATACAATCGATCATTGACCCTTGATACTGGAACGGTTAACCATATTCAAAAGTGGCAACTCAACTTTGGTAATAGACGATATCGTGTTGGATATGATAATGATTGCCACTTGTAATATATTCTTCAAAATGCTTTATCAGGTCATCTATAATAATTCAATGTATTGTGCTCATAAGTATCACCAGTATGCAAAAATTTTGGATTATTATATTATTGAATACAAAAAATTATATCTGGTGACACAAATAAGTGGGAATTGTGGGAATTGCTATTTATATGAATTGTAAATTCTTCAGAATACTTTGATATGAAATATAGAATTTAATTACAGCAACTTTTGTTAATCAATTTGTTGGTTATTCTGTTATTAAAAAGCTAATAATAATGCTTCATGGCCACCTAAATTTACATTAAAAAATATTGTCTGCCTTATACGAGGGTCGATTCGCCTATCTTGGGACATAAATAAATACAAATTTAATAGAGTTCTTTAGTTTGCAATGTTAGCATTGAAATCTTGCTTAAATACCCCTTCTCTTTTAAATGTATAACAGTCAAAACAAAAAAACAAAAAAAATAAAAATAAAAAAAAAATTCTGGCAGGTATTTACTTACTTACAAGAACTGATGTTCATTCGTACTAAACAAGAAATAAAAATATCTTCCAGTCAAAAAAAAAACTATTGTTATATAAAATCACATTTTTATTCCGGGCATACATACTACAATATGCTACCTACTGAAACTAGAGGCGTAGAGCGAAAGAAATTGAAAAACTATTTAAAATCTATTAGGACAACAAATGTTATTTATTTATAATCCATCTGAATACGAAAATTATATGAAAAATAGATTAAAAAAAAGTTTGTATTCCATGACACAATTTGGCTCCTTGTTTGTTGGTCAATTTCACGTAAAATTTTGTATTTCCTTTATATAACATTTTTCATGTTTCTAATTTTTAAATATATTTAGACATATTGCGATTTTTTCCTGACGAAATTTTCTTTTTCTAAATGTCTGTTCTATTCTACTCTACTCATGTCGTGTGATTTTGACCATTTCATCTTATTCTTTTGGAAAATATCCTTTTTAACAAAGACGTTTGGCGCCAACGCTTTTTAACGTGTACGTGGATAGTTTTCCGAGATCGTAGGACTCCCATGGTACCGGGAAAATTAAAACAAAACATTAAGACAAAGGGAGAAATTGGTGAGTAATCAGTGGTAACACATTAAATAGCAATAAATCTGAATTTGCCGCCAAAAATGGAATATTGACCAAAAACTTACATGGATTACTCATATTGATTGTCTGGCAGGTAAAATAAGCTCACCTTGGTTTTTTATTAAAAAATATAATATAATATAATAAAATATAGATATTTTGAAATTAAATTTTGGTCTAGTACAATTTACTATTTCTTATGGGGTAGTGTTTTTGAGAAGCTCAAGAGATTCTGTAAAAATATTTATTTTACAAAAAAAGCCATCATAGAATATTTTGAAAAATCTAACATTTTGACTTTTTTCTTGTTTCCATATCGATTCTTTAATAATGTTGTTGATATAAACTGTACCACTGACTTAAAATGCCTAAATAAATTATTTGAAATAAATAGCGACTGTACGGCAAACCTCGAAAAAAAATTTTTTTTAAAATATTAAAATCTTTTTTGCCATTCAGTGGAAACATTTTTTAAAGATGAAAATATAAAACAATGTTTGATTGGGTTTGATCTTTAATATATACAATTTCTTAATTTGCTTTTTAGTTTTATGTGTACTGAGCCTGCTTAAGAGTTGATTTGTTAAATTTTTGTGATCCTAAGCTTTCTATTTTATCGTTCAGATGAATTACTTCCTTACTAAGATCGATACCAATGTATGGGTGCGAAAGCTGGACAATGACGAAGCAAAACGAGAGAAAACTGAGGTGCTTTGAAAGGAAAATCCTAAGAATAATCTTTGGGCCTGTAAAACATACAGAAATGGGAAACTACAGACGAAGAAACAGCACTACAAACTTATATCAGGAAGCGGACATTGCCCAGGAGACTAAATCCCGACGACTAAGATGGCTTGGACACATAGAACGTAGTTCAGAAAATAGAATTACAAAGCTAGTCTGGAGTGACAATCCAGCTCGGAGAAGACCTCTAGGCAGACCTCGTTTAAGATGGCGAGATAATGTGATATCAGATCTCAGGATAATGGGATATACGTACCAACCCCAAATGACAGAAGACCGTCAGGAATGGAGGCGAATTGTAAACGCAGCCAAGACCCACCCAGGGTTGTAGTGCTACTGATGATGATGCTGATGATTGTCGGCATTGCGCCATATTTTACTTATCTTCAAAGTTAGAGAGATACGATTTGAGCAATGGCGTGCTAAGTTTTCAAACAAGCTTCCTCAGGCTACTGTAGTACTATTTCCAAATGTTCAACATGCGTCGGTTGTTGATGAATCGAACTTGCTGACGTTTCGCCAATCATCCTGTTGGCTTCTTCAGAAGTTAACTGCAACAGCAAATTTGATTCATCAACAACAGATACAGGAAGAACCCAGAAGATTTCTAAATAGTAATAATTACCCATTGATACCTTAATAAAAAACTAACAACGGCTCTCAGAATATTTCAGTTTCAGGTTAAAAAGATATACAGAATGGCTCGAAAAGTTATTTCACTTTTTATGTTTTTCATTAAAATCCAATACGTGTTGACAAAAAAGTTATACGATATAAATACATTATTTGTGGTTATGTCTAATTGTTAAGTCACAAATCCGTTAATCCGTCAATTTCAAAACAATTTGCGTTTTGAAAAAATGTTTATTTTTCTGATACAATGAAATTTACCCTTAAATATTTCACTCCTACCCGCCCTCAGAATCAGTTAAGATATGATAAGATACGAGTGCAGAAATTAATGTGACTTTGAATATGTTTCATCTTTCAACTTTGAAATATGACGGTAATGTCAATGTTTGACGGCAAAAAATTGAGAAAGTATTTCTCTTGCTTTAGGATAACTGAAAAGCTTTTATACTTGAAAAGAAAGAGGCTGTATTGTTAATATCGCATTTATTTTGGATAACTTATGTTATGTTATGGATATGTGTTAAAAAAAAGATGAAAAACAGTATCATTTTAACCCAAATAAATCATTTCTTTCGATCAAGTACAAGTCCTTGCCCCCAAGGATTGGCGACCATAAAAAATTTTCGCACAGGCGATTATAAACGAAAGTTCCGACCGCGGTTACGTAAACGAAAACAAATCTAATTTATTTGGAAATTACATTAAAAAGGGGGGTGTGGGGGAGGGCTAGTCCGCGAGTGCCTGGATTTTGCGGACAAACTAATCGCCAGATATAATTGTTTCGTTTCGACATTAAATAAAATAAACACGGCAGAAAATGCATTGACCTTAAGGAAAGATATAAGGCGAGTAATACTCCGGTCGATCCTCAGTACATTTCTCTTCGCCCAGTCGGTGTCGCTTAGTACGACTTTTGCGGTACTCCACACTGTTTTGCAAGCGAAGCCTTTCCTTGCACCGCTGCTGTGGGGAAAGCGCCGCGATTTTTCTCGTTTTTTGTTTCGACGACTTATTTGGGAAATATGAAGCGGGCTTGAAAAAATTACACGTCTTTGATAGTTCAGCGATCTTGCAAGTTTTCAATCGTGATATAAGCATCCATAATGGTTCAAGGATGGAAAAGCGCAGTCTCGAAAAGTAAGTACTTTTTTTTGGTAGTTTTCGCGCAAGATTATTGAGTAATTTTATGACACAGTAGCAACAAAACATTTTTTGAACTGAGGTGGCGTTTACTTGATGAAAATCCTTTTAACAACAATTAAATTAATTAATGTTCAGATTTGCACAGTTACTTATATTTATGACAGCTGTTTCAGCAACACACTGTGTTTATGAAATATAAAATATGACGATATTCGACATCTATATAGATGGTGGTAATAGATTCTTAATTACCAGTTGTAAATTTAAATTTAACATTTAAATTTAAATTTAACATTTAAATTTAACAAATTTAACAATGAAGCCGCATTTATATCCAATTGATCATTAAGTAATAGATTCGAATATCTCATTTTGTTAATCTCCATAGCTTCCAACAAATTTAGTTTTTTGCTTTTTGATTCATTATCTAAAATATCAAGATTATCGCCAAAGTTGTGAATTTTGAATTTAAATGAATGGTATAGTTAGAGTCCGAACTTTTATTTTTATACGCTCTTTTGTGTTCGTTAATGCGTTTCTTAAATGTTTTGATCCACATTTCAACTTGTAGACTGCGGATTTTTCGTGAATTAGTTTTAATGTTCTTTTGAAAAATTTCCTATGGTGTTTTCAGTTTTAAAAGCAATTTTAAGACCAAATTTAGATAGATGTTTCGAAATTTGTTTGCTAGGTTCTCCTACATATTTTAATGTTTTATAAATTTTGGCTTAGGTATTTAATATGAGATAGATAGAGTTCAGAGTTATTTCAAACTGTTTTTTAGTTATCCTCGCAAATGGAAGCACAACAAATTTTATTCAAAAATATTCACTTATAATCCCGTTCGGAACTTGGATTATCCTGAGAGTACACGAAACGAATATTGAAATATTAAAAAAAAAACGGGAAATGCAACGTAGCCCAATTAGTAAAACAATAAAAAATGTTCAGTCAGCAAACAGCAAACAATGTCAACGAAATTTTGTTAAAAAAATTAACGCAACGCATTGTCTATCTTTTACATTTAAAATAATTAATTGTAAAAAAAAGTGGCGAAATCCGACAGTTCGCCTCTAAGTTATTACAATCAAATTGATTTTTAGGATATAGACATTTTTCTTTTCATTTTTTATGCATTTTTCTTTTGATTTTTTAATTCCTAAATTTTCATTAGTTTTGGGTGCAAAAAGAAGAAAGAAATTAACTAAAAAAAAAATAAAAATAAGTGAGGGAAGTTTTAAAACGATATTGAAAATAATTCATTTCTTCGAAGCGTCATTACAAAAATTTTGATACAAATTTAATGCAGCATACAATATTCAAATCCAATACCGAATATTGTCGATAATATCAGGTGTGACGGAAAATCACTTTGCATAGAAGAAAATAATAACGTAATTTGAAAAAAGTAAAATTATTTAATTAGTAATTTGAATGTTTATTTCAATTAATTAAGAAAAAATACTCGGTATATTCGAAGATTGTAAAAAATACTTTTGCCTATAAAAATATCTTGAGCAGGATAATTTTAACCTAGGATTTATTTGAGAGTATCCAACACACGTTCATTGTTGCGATCTTAAACTTTTATTAGATCTCCTTAGAGTGTTATTTCTCTGGAACCAAATTGCAATTTCAATATCAATATAACAAGTGCACACACATAGTGTTTTGTCGGCATTTTCAAGGCAATCGTAATAAGGTGCAATAGATTTTTTAGCATCGAAATTATGCAAACGTTTTCCATCAAATTTGATCCATTAATAAATTTTAATTAGTTGGCGTGACTTAAATCGTTTCTCTTCGTATGATTTTAATCAGATATAATATGCATTTTTGCTGCAGCGAATCGGCATATATATCATGCATGTCAAATATAACGAGAGAACAAAAAACTAATTGGAGCGAAATGAAAATTATTTTACTGTCACTGACTGGTGATTAGACAACCGTATTATTTTTAAACAGTCGTTAGATTTGTTTGAATGTGCGTTGCCTTGTCGTTAATTAGACGTTTGTAAATATTTGAATTTGCATAAGCGTATCCAAAGCCAAACTAGACAACGCCACCACCCGGCACAAAAAATGTAAATGACCTATGAATTATTTGTTTAATAATAAAACAAATCCCGATGGTAGAACTGGCTAGTGATATAAGTAGAATTACAAATGTTTCTAAGACTAAATAAAGGGTGTTGGGAGATTCTGTTACAATAATTAAGTATAGATATTTCTGTAACCTGAGGTCCTATAGATAATCGTTCCTAAATAAAATTTTACAGCCGATTAATGACGATCAGCCAAGACCTTCTAGGGTAGAGTAGTTTTGCAACTAAACCTTGGAATTTTTTTTAAAAATTGAAATAGCATAGACAAAACTAAGACGTTGTTGAACAAATAAATAAATAAATAGGTTTGTCTGCAGTAACGCAAAATAAGCATTACAATAATAATGAACACAAATGACACAAATATGTGCCTATCATGGCACTACACTGAATTAGAATTATCGATGATTATATACAACCTATATTATACTCTGAAGAAAAGTCTGTCTCAAGCGTACACTACACCTAACTGATAAAAAAAACAAAGGAGAACTAACCAAAACTAATTTAAATATAATAATAAAATAAATGTAAATAATGAAAAATCATGTGTGTATGTATAATTATACCTTAGAGTTACGCAGAAAGGAACCAAGTTGTGATATAAATATTAAATAGTACCTATATATTAGAATAATAAAATTACTGTAAGGTAACTCTGCTAAAGAAAACAATGCAAATTTTACTAATCTCGAACCAAATTGGTTAAACTATTAGCAAAACTGATGGTAATTCTGGGCTTAACTGGTAAAACACTATACTTTGTCTCAAAATATATCGTCTCAACTGTTGACGCTATTTTCGAAATCAAAATTTAATTCTGTTTTATTCTCAAATTCGTCATTAAGATTAATTAAAATGGGTTCTGTTATTTTGTATGGAAATGTGATAATCTTCAATTGTTAAAATGTGCTGTTTTGCAGTTTTGGGGGAGGGATCGTCAAAACCCAAGACGAACTACTTTGAGACACACTATACAAGTATGTGTCGCTAAAGTTAGGTTATCTCTGGCGCATAAAGAAACCAACCAGGAAACCAAAATAGACGAACCATGCAATAACTTTTCGTGTTACATAAGAGATCCTTTTAAATTTTTTTATGGTTGTTAGGTATGCGATACCAATCTGAATCCGGATTTGGATATCATATTGGATTGGCAGTTGGTTTGCAGTTCGAACAGATATGTAACCATAACTTACCTATACCTACTCGACTTGTTATAGACTTCATTGTCAAGGTGATATCAGTTATTATTGACGCGTATGCATTAATTAAACTATCTGAATAACCCGTAATAGCAGAATATTTAAATCCACTATAATCGATATTGATCATTTCTGTAACATTTCCACGTCAATTTACCCGATTAGCATTCTACGGTCGGTTCTGATTATACATGCGGTGAAAGTTTATAAAAATTGAAATTCAAAAGTTTACATACATTTAAATATTTAAATAAGCGGCTGTCTTGGAAATTACAGCATTTTAAAAAACAAAAAAAAATGGGTTTTATTGTTTGGTCTCTTACCATACAATTAGTCTGTTTTAAAATCACAATTATCGTTTCAATTATCGCATAATTGTAAGGATATTATGAGAAACGGGATCTATATACCTACCGATAATATACACGGTGAGCCAAATACGCTGTTTTCTTTGGAATCACTTTTTATTTGTAAAGAAAATTTTTGACTTTCGTTTCTGGGGTTCGAATTTTATGAAAAGCTCACTTTTTGTTTGTAAAAAGGTAGAGTTGAAAAGACATTTTCGAATCAACTTTTTGTGCGGAAAACAAAATTTTGTTGTACATTTTCGACTAATTGAATTAAAATTAAAATTTTCTTACCAAAAATTCTGTCTATTTTTACCTATTAGAAAAGACCCTTGAATATTACTTTTTGCAGTTTTCCTAATACCCCAGAGGTACATTCTTGGTATCATGGGCTTCTTGGCGGTGGTAAATGCGTATACGATGCGCGTAGTACTCTCGGTAGCCATTACAGAAATGGTCCAACCGATCGAGCATCACGATAAAATCGATTCCCATTCTTGTATTTCCGATTGGGAAGGAAACATAACTACCATACATTCTGTAGTAAGTGAAGAGCTTGAATGTTCACATTCTCTTGAACGAGCTTATTTTTCGTTACCCTCCAGAGATCTACGAACCTCTACCCATGGACAAGCAGACAGCAGGGTCTTATCCTAAGTTCGTTTTACTGGGGTTACGTCATCACCCATATCCCCGGTGGTATGATCGCTGAAAGATTCGGCGGCAAGTACTCGCTGGGACTGGGTATGCTCTGTACCGCCATATTCACCTTCGTTACGCCTTTTGTTATCTACGCTACTGGAGGTAACTGGCTGTGGGTGGTTGCCGTGAGAGTTTTAGAAGGTTTGGGAGAGGTAACAGAGCACAAGTGTGTTATCAAATTCTTTAAACTACGTTGATTCGTTTTAGGGTACGACGTTTCCAGCACTGACGACGTTGTTGGCCAACTGGGTACCATTAAAAGAGAGGTCCAAAATTGGCACTCTGGTTTACGCTGGTAGTCAAATAGGTAAATTTATTTGAATTGTAGTTTAAAAGCGAGCAAGCAAAAGAAAGCAAAGTAGCAGATCTTAACCTAGGTGAATTGCAGATCACGTCGAAAGTAAAAACGTAGTACTTTAGTCATAGTCGGAAATGTTAATCTGCAGTATGCAACATATAGATATTCAAGTTGGTACTATTGCTAAGGTCGGTTAAATTCGTCAAGTCATAGTATTTTATCTGCCGATTAAACTGGTTGCCTTTTCGAAACAATTGAGCATCGCGCTTCCGATTTTTTTAAAACACTGTATATTTCTCCGATCCTTAGACATTTTTGGTAGCACCGACATTAAAACAATTATGTCACCTTTCTCTTAAGGTATAGATGCTCAAGGATGTGGCATCCAATATGGAATTACATCATTGGCCTGCATTGCCTGATTGTTGGTTGATTTTCAAAAATTATTTGCTTTGTTAAAACCGGGTTTTTTATTACCCATCTTATTAGTGTTATTATTTTACGGAAATTGTGTAGTAGTATTTTTCCTTTAATAATAACAATTTAATTAAGACTTTGTTTTCTCGGTTATTAGACACTCGCTTCGCATGTGTCAAATCAAACTCGTGGCTAAAGTGACATTTATCAAACTTTCGATTATAATATATTTAATTATTTTTAAATTGATAAAAAAACATAAATTAGGTACAAATATGTACGTACGGTATGCATTAACGTGTTATCATGAAAAAAAAATAATTTTCACAGGCACGGTAGTGGGAAATTCGATTAGCGGTGCCTTAATAGCCGCCACCGACGACTGGGCCATAGTTTTCTACTTTTTCGGTGCGATGGGTATAGTTTGGTTCATCCTGTGGATGATGTTGTGTTACTCAGATCCGCAGTCCCATCCCTTCATCACGGAGAAAGAGAAAATCTATCTGGGCAAGCATATAGGTTCGTACTCGATTCAAAATATTTCCGCATCTGCTTACGAACCTCCTTGGTTCTAGACAATATATCGAGTGAAGAAAAAATTGTTCCGTGGAGGGCCATTTTGACATCGGGGCCCATATGGGCGTTGGTGGTTGCGCAAATAGGCCACGACTGGGGTTTCTTCACCATGGTAACCGACCTGCCCAAGTACATGAAAGACGTGCTGCACTTTAACGTGAAACAAAACGGCCTGTGGTCTTCCGTGCCTTATATTCTAATGTGGCTGGTTTCAATGAGTTCCGGCTGGCTTTGCGATTGGTTGATACACAAAAACCATTTGGGAATTTCCTGCGCCAGAAAAGTGTTCACTACTTTAGGTAAGACTACTAAGAGTTTTCTCCAGTTCGGTGTAACCTTTTGTATTTTCAGCTTCGATGGGTCCCGCTGTTTTTATATTAGCGGCGTCGTACTCCGGATGCGATAGAATGCTAGCGGTGGGCATGTTCACCATCGCCATGGGCTTCATGGGCACTTTCTATTGCGGCATGAAAGTAAACGCGTTAGATTTAAGCCCTAATTACGCAGGGACTATTATGGCTATCGTCAACGGCATCGGAGGCTTGACCGGTATCATAGTTCCCTATTTGGTTGGCGCATTAACCGAAAACGTAAGACAATGTTGCTTAGTGATCGATAACCTGTACGAGGAGTGTATTTCTAGCACACTTTGGCGGAATGGCGGCTGGTGTTTTGGATAGCTTTCGGAGTGTTTCTGGTGACGAATTTGGCGTTTGTATGTTTCGGCAGTGGAAAGGTCCAACATTGGAATGCCGCCGAAACGGATATAAACGAGAAATCGTTGGAATTTACCCACGTAACGACGCCCTCTCGGGATTCGATTAAAAAATAAATCGATCAGGTTGCATGTGATTTAATTGTTATTTATTGTTGTAGCATGTAAATTCGCTTTGCGTAAGTTGTAAAAAGTATTGCGTTTTGTATTATATAGTATTATCCATGTTTGTAATTTTTTTAAATAAAAAAACAGGTTTTGTTTAACGGGATTCTCTTTATTTATTACTTGTTCATTTCTTACCTTTTGCTTGCACCTCTATCGAGCAACGAATGGGCAGAATTTATTAGACTTAAGTATTCATACTAAATATTATACCGGGTGGCCCATTTAAAACGTAACGGAACACACGTCAAGTTGGTCTGTCAGGGAGACGCAATCAGCATAGCATAAGCTTTGTCCCACTAATATTTCTGCAAATGCGAATGATAGTTAAGTGCCATATCATTAAAAATCTCCACGGATTTCTGCTTAGTTTATATCAACAATATGTTTTATGAAATAGTTAAATATCGATTTAAGCTTGCTTTAAAGCAAGCCGTATTAGGTGCCTAGCTAATATATTTCTTTTTTCTCCAAAAATGTGACAGAAGGACGTATTGGGTAAAGCTTAATTTAATTTAATTGATTATGGTAATCATAATACATTAATTGTATGTATTAGGTACACATATTTAAATAGTAATGTCATAGAACTTATGCACCAAAAATTGCAAATTTACTAACAGAAACATTTGCTTGGCAAGTGCATATTGAGAAATCTAGAATTTTCTGAATGGAACAAGGGCACCTACTGTGTAGCTACTTGCGCCTGGTTATATTTTTCTTGGTTTAACTACCCAGATATGTTTGGCTATAATGGTATTAATGGTGAAGAATTTTGAAAATATTAAAGCAATATCGGATCAAGGGATACAACTGAAAATTGTTTTCAAAATTGTAAGATTAAGCTAGAGAACGGAAGACGGAAAGACTTATTATTTTTTACCCATTGCTAATTCCGAAGTTAATTTTTGTTCCTAAAGCCAGAAATCCAGTCAACGAAGCAATAGTTGAAGTAGCTCATAAAGGTAAATATATAAAATATTCATGCATTTCATGATATTTATTAAAATGGTTCTTGTTAATATTGAAATAATGGCCATAATTTAATTTTTAACGAAAACATTAATTCTCTATCAAATTTGTTGGTAAAAATATGTTAAAAGTTCTTTTTGAGTATCGTGAAGTAAAAAAAAATACTGGACACGTGAAACAATTAACTAATAGAATACGATTCAACAGCTGAAGTTTTCCTGGAATCATAGATTTGAAATTAAATAAGATCCGCCACTATAACCATTACTTATGTTATGTGCTAATTGGTTTTATTTATTTCCCAATTATAAAAAAAATCCTCGGAATGTACGAATTTTTACGCGGTTAATATCGGAATGACCTTCAGTTACGTACGCGATCATTCCTTATGTGGATCTCATTTAGCGCCTTCCTCTTATTAATATTAATTTTATGCGTTTGAGATAAAGTAAAATTTTGCAATGCTTGAGACTTAAAAAAAAATATATAATAAACGACATGTCCCTAATTCCGACATGATCGTCAAGCAATAAGTTCTAAAAACGTTAGTGAAATAATTGGATCAATGAAAATATACAATATGTTTCAATTAAAACTTAGGAAAACTTTTTAACATGGTGTGCACAAACGAATGTCCAAACCAGTTGACTAGTGAATGTTTTCAAAAACTTGATAGTATTTTATATTTTCATATTCATAATTATTTATTATATATTTTATTATTACTTGTTTTTTGTATTGGTATCTTTCTGAATAACTGTCAAAATCACTACCAAAATTATTAAAATAATTATCAAAACTTATAAACTCATAAAATTGTTAGTATTTTAGATTTTGATATCTTATAAATAGTTACTTATTTTATTATTGATATTTTTTGTATTGGCATCTCTCTGAATAATAATAAAAATGATCAAAACTTATAAACCACATACTCAATTTCTAATTTGTATTTTTTTTGCCTTTCACGCCTACTAGGCGGAGAAAGATTTCGTCTCGATTCTCTATGAAAATATTGTAATCTCTTAAGGTTAAAGTGCTTCATGAAGGTGTAAATAACATTTTTGTAATTTCTCAAACCTATAGGTTCAAAACCAAAGGCAATGCCGGGTTCTATTTCTACACGTTAACGTTTAAATCGTTTTCATAGTATATGTTTAACGCATTATCTGTTTTCTCAAAACCGCAAAAAGTAATTACTTTCGACAATGTAAAAGTCAACTTAAAAATACATCAACGATTTTTTCCACACTAGTGAGAAAAATTGATTAAAATTCAACTTAAAATAATGCAATTTGCATACTGCCGTATCCGTGCTGGTTTACAAGATCCGAACAATTTGTATGTTTCTGTGTATAGAAAGTAAGACCGTTTCTCTATTTATGTAAAGCAGAAATAATTACTTAAAAAACCAGTTTTTGAGGTTTTATGGAAAGGTACAGCATGTTACGGACCTCTCGGTTAGGACTTTAAAAATAGTGATATCATTTTTTAATTGTTTCAGTTTTGTTTCGGCATTCGAAATCTATGCAAAAAAACAAAATTAACCTGTCAAAAAATGGGATTTTATACACTCGTTAATAATTATTGTTTCACGGTAAATTTTAAATCAATATGAGTTCTTAATAATTCTCGGTTCCGTCTGTTTGTCCTCACTCTGTAAGATGTCTTTAAGCAAAAATATAACACCTATTTGTACAAATACCAATATAAAATCTTGTTATCTTTATAAGCCTTTTGTTGGTATGCTTACATTTTTTTCGATAAGTTACGGTATCTATATCCCATTAAATCCGGTACAGCGGTGATTTTTTACGATATACGTGTCCTTCAGTGACAGTCGAGGAAGTTACCATTCATCTCATAATATAAAAGTTTAATTTCTAAAACAAATTCACACAATTAAATGGCGTGTTGTTGTCGGATATTGGCACTAGTTTTGTTATTAATATTTTGACTCAATAACTTCATTGACGGTTGGAAACTTTGCACAGACACACGGGAGCTTGACTAACACCAGGTCTTGACATCCAGAACCACAAATATTACGTAAACATTTTATTATAAATAAGTGCGACGTTGTCTAATTTCTATTTGTCCCCTAATGTGGCAAAATTGTACACAATTTGCGACTCTAGAAGTGATTCTTTCAGAATTCGCTATCTAGAGTGTTCCTGGAACTTGCACGCGGGTGAGGAATAATAGGAAGCATGAACACTATCATTTTCAAAAATATTTGATCAAATATTAAGAACGATGAACCAAATTTTTTCTTTCCTTTTTCCATTTTTGCCTATCGCCTTTGACGGTGGATACGTTACAGTCCTACGCTAAATTCCTTTATTAGAAGAAAAGGGGGAAAACTAACCAGAGATAAGCAAAACTCATTTGGTGTAGTACAAACTAATTTAGTCTGAAATCGGGTTTGGCAGGATAACACCGTAATGTACAGAACCTCTAAAATGAAAAGGCGAATGAACATTAATATTATAATATGCAACAAGTGTGGTAAACGAGTGAGATAAAAAGTTTACTAAACGTGTTGCATACTATACTTTTTCAAAGACCGTTAGTGTTTGGGTACATTTTTGCAAGACAACATGGATCACTGACATCACATCTGAATTGATAAATGTCAAAATGCAAGCCGTGCGGTAAAATCTCCGAAAACTTCCGATTGCTCCCAAACCCGTGCGGTAATATCCCGGAAATGTCCGAAGGTTCTCGAATCCGTGATACAAGAAAGTCACGTGGTAAAGTGGCGATTTTCGCATGGTAGATACGTGTATAATTAGGTATTTTACAGAAGGGAGTAGAAAATAGTATATTATGCAACAAGTACGGCAATAGTATATTATGCAACAAGTGCGATAAACGGCATTTGACTCACGAATTTATTTGACACGAGCGGAGCGAGTGTTTAATAAACGAGTGACTTAAAAAGTTTACCGAACGTGTTGCATACTATACTTTTTCTACTCCCGTCTGTAAAATACCTAATTACGCACCGATCTAGCGTGCGGAAAGCGTCACTTTACCACGTCAGTTTCGTTTCCCACGAATCCGAGCCAATTCGGACATTTCCGGGATTTTACCGCACGGGTTTCGGAGCAGTCGGATGTTTTCGGAGATTTTCCCACGCTTTGAATTTTGACGTTTGTCAATTCTGACAGTCATGTCAGTGAATGTATTCGTGTGTTGCGAAAATGTACGCAAAACTAACGGTCGTAGAAAATGTATAGTATGCAACAGGGTCGGTAAACTTTTGAACTCAGTCGTCTATTAAACACTGGCTCCGCTTGTGTCAAATAAACTCGTGAGTCAAATTCCGTTTACCGCACTTGTTGCATAATATACTATTTTCTATGACCGTTAGTTTTTATGTACATTTTCGCCAAACAACACGAATACATTGACTGACATGGCCGTCAGAATTGACAAACGTCAAATTCAAGGCGTGGCGTGCTCCCAAACCCGTGCGGTAAAATCCCGGAAATGTCCGAAGTGGTTCGGTGATAAAGTGACGCTTCCAGCACGCTAGATCGGTGCGTCATTAGGTATTTTACAGGCGGCAGTAGAAAAACAAATTAACCTTATTTTCATGTATGTAACATATGCATAAATGCAAAAGCAACAATAAATTAATTGAGATTTTTGAAAAATATAGGCATTAATGCAAAATTGCGTCCTTCAATTTCTTTAAGTACGGGAGATTTAAGTTAATCTGTATCCAGTCAATGTGTCTTCACGAAAAACTGTCCCGAATCAGCAATTAAAAATTTAAACCCAGTTTATTCAGAATTTTAATGCTCAAAATATTAATAATACAAAAAAAGTAAGTTTATGAAATTCGAGAATTTCAGTACACGTGATTCGGATTCCCAGTCTTAGTAATTTATTGGCCACAAACCAGAAAATTCCCCGAAGCCTTCAGGGTGCGTGCTGGTGTGACTTTGAATACGTTGCTAGGTAACACCTACCGGTATTGTATTGAAGAAGCACCGTTACATACAGTGTGTCCCACTGAGAACATGGTCGATCTGTTTTGAGAGATAAAGAATAATAAGCAGCAAACATTTAAAAATGTGACATTAAATTCATGTTCCTGGGAGAAATCCTTCTAAAATATTTTTAAGATGGTGACACATTTATATTTTTAATTTTGGGATTTTTCGGAAAGTTATTGACTTTTTCATGTATTATTCATAGTCGAAATTACTAAATTTGTTAAATTGACCATTTTCTATATGACAAGTTAATACAAAAAATTTTTGACAAACAAATGTAAATATCTTAGAAACGGTAAAATTTATATAAGTCGAGATTTTCTCTGGGACCGGAATGCTGAAAATTATTCTCGAGCTTGTAAAATGTCTCCTAGTTAAAATGAGAACTATTTGAAAGCTGAGATCAATTCGAATGATTTTTGTTAAAAGCTGTTGGGACTATCTTTGCAAGCAGAGTGGTGGGAGTGTTCGAATATTTTCTTAAATAAATGAAATACTGCCAAAAAGGCAACATACTTTAATAAACTTAAAACGTTTTCTGACGTAATCACAAAAAAATAATTTTCCAGAATAAAAATGTCGTTAGATAGTCAAATAAGGGAACAACAACCCAATGGAAACCTCATCTGAACATTTTTATCCTAACCTAAAATATCAATAAAACAATTTTATGCTTAAAAAAGTTGCATTTTGGGAAAAATATCACACTTTATGTGTTGGTATTAATTGCTGATGATCCTAAATTACCAAGCAAAACCCTAATGAATAATTAAAGGTGCCATGTGATATTATTTATACGTTTTGACATGCTCAGCCGTTGTCAAATTTTCAGTATTATCATTTATTCTTTCATTTAAAACTACTAACTCGGTCATTAATTAATTATTGGCGACTAACGAGTTTTATTAACTACTGACGTATTTAAGTAGTAAATGATTAATAAAACATCTATTTTGATAAAACTAGTTATAAGACTGCCATAAAAACAAATTTGGGTTTTATCCGACACAAGGTACCCCGTCATGTGATGTTTGTCGAAGTCTCTTGATTGCCTACTTTAAGGTTGTTAAATGTTCATTGCATTTATTTAAACTTATTTATTATTTTCATTACTTAAGTTAAATAAGTAATTAACGAAATTGGTTAGTCTTCAACAATTAATTAATGAATATAGTAAAATATAATAAAATTTTATTTTGATCTTAAATATCATTTGGCATTATATAAATAATGAATTCGCGTTTTATCTGATAAATTCTGGATAATCAGACGATAATAACAGCCCATTAAAGTGGAAATATTTCCCAAAATCCAACTTTTTTTTATTCATATTTCAGGTTAGGATAAAGATATTGGGACGCGATTTTCACTGGGTTGTTGGGTTCTTATTTGACCATCTAATGACGCAGAAAGTTATATCTTTGCATTTATTTTTTGCTGAGAAGAACGATAGTCTTTTTGAAAATATCGACATTTATTTAAGAAAATGTTCGAAACCCTCTCTACCGTTTCCATTGCAGAGAAACAGCTATAAATAAAAAGGATATGAATGAAATTTGAAATTTTATTAGAAACCGAGTTTAAACATTCATGAGAATGGATTACGCTTTTTAGTGGATATTTCAGAAACTCGACAATAATTTCCAGCATTTGCACATGGCGGACTAACTTATCACATTTTTTTTTAATTTCTAGGATCGTAATGCGGAACCTCGTTGTCCTTACTGAGGCACCCTGTATATAGGGTGATCAATTTCAAAAATGAAAATTAACATGCTCTTCCGATATATCCCCCGATTAGTATATTTAAAAAATGTCAATTGTTTGGTACTTAGAGTTTTCCTCCGAACTGTATTTAAAACGAACTTTTATTAAATGCTTCGTTAAACAAAAAATGATTAGTTATCGATTTAAATTGGTCTACGTTTACGTGTAATTGCATGTTAAAATGGTAATATGCTCGCGGTTGTAGTAAAGAAAAAGCCGACGAGGCTTCGAAAACTAGTGAAAATCCCGAATTCCTAAGAAAAAGAGAAAACCTCGTTATTAATTGAGCGGTATTATGGAAAATCTGACTCGGTGAAAAAAAAAAGAATTTGACTCGGTAAAACAAAACCGCGGTATCAGTAACCCTGTGAGCCTTTTGTTTGTCCGTGCAATTGTAATTCTTTCAGATACGCGTTAGTGCGCGGGTGTCGATGTTACAGGTAGGATGCCGTGATAGTCGGTAGACGCATCTTCGAGACCATTTTTTTAATCTTGCGCCGTTTGGGAATCGAGAGGGTCAAAGTTACCATTTTCTCGCCGACAATGCTCGAGGGTTGGAGACTAACGTTATCGAAATGTGAGTACCGTTTGGGCTTATATTATTTTATCGTTAAAGCCTTCTAACTGAAGTTGATATTTAATCTAAAATAACTGTGGAAACTGCCTTACCAAACGTTTTCCGTTAGCAAATTTGGGAATTTGTGTGCTTTATAGTAGGTATTGTTTAAATTATGCCGTTGGCCTTTATTTCAATAACTCAACCACCTGATTGAACACCATTGTTTAGGTCCCGACACCTTCAAACCGGAACAAATGAGTTCAGGCTCGGCTTAAACATTTCGCTTATTGGTTTTTTGAATTAAAAACATGTGGTATTCCTTTCAATATTTCATGGCACCACTTTGTTTTTCCATTGCTCCAAGCTTCTTCGAAATAATGTAACAATTTTTATTTTCTCTTTTGTACATATTCACTGTGCCTTTCTGCTATTTATATTATAAGGTTACCCACCAAAACTTATTTACTTCATAAGACTGAAAAATTGGTGCGCCATTTTGCAAAATTTTTACAATTACATATTTATATTTAAATTTTTTATTTAGCTAGGAATCGAAACAAAAAGATAACCAAATTTACAAAACAGTTCTTAGGAAATAGGGATAGGGAATAAAATCTTCTTTGATGGGGATACGGAACATTTGCCCTTTGTTCTGCAAATTTTTCGAAATCGAAATTTGTCAATTTTTCGGCGCTTTGCATCTTCTATTTATTATAGTCAGATTTTAAATATTTCGAAAACCGCACTCAAAACTTACACATGAGAAATATTAAATTTGTCTTCGCATGTTCATCAAATTTTAAAAACAATTATATACTGGGATTCCCATGTAAATAAGGAACATTCAATTTGCAGGATTACCGCGACGAGAATTTCTACGGTGGTTTAAAAAGAATGAAGGTCAAAAATCCGCGAAACATTAATAAGATTTTTTTTCTGTATCCAATAAATATAAACGAGGCTTGGTGGAGCATATAAAAAATAATGAAAACTGAGAATGAGTGCCTAAAGCACCAAGAAGATCTTTATAAATAAAAGAAAAAAAAACTACGACGTTTGGGTTGGTTTCTCCCAAGAATTGCCCTATTTTTATTATCCAATCAAGAAGGACGATTTTGTTGTTTCTATTGGTTGTTCTATTTCGAGTCGCTAAAAATTTGCCTCGTAGAGTTAACTTGCGCATAATCTATCGCGTTGCAAAAGTTAATAGTATGTTATAAAGTATACCCGCGCTGATAAAAAATGTCAAATACTGTTTTAATCCTACTCAATTAATAAACGAGCAATTTCGGCTGAACTTTATACGGATTGAAAAGTGACGCGCATATTTCGTGTCCGAGTGATTTTTCAATGAGAGATTTATAACTAACATTTACACAGAACAAAGAAATAACTGTACACTCTTAAATATTGAACAATACCCATGATATATATTTACAAACTACTAAGGTCTCAGTTATTTTTTAACGCAGCGACGAGTGTAAACAGAATTAATAGTTTTGTCTGCTATCACTGGATCACAATTTATTTCAAATAGTTTAAAAATATATTAGGACCATAGGACAATATTTAGAAACTGTTCCATTCCAATCGTTTTTTTTTGCTTTAAGAAGTTTTATGTTATGTTAACTTGGCGATTGTATCTTATAGAATATAAAGTCAATAATAAATAGGTGTGTAGGAAGTAAAGTATTAATGGGAGCCTTAAAATTGACATTAAAACGCCATAAACACGAAACTTGTCTTTGGCTAGCCGATAAAAGATTAAACAAACGATAAACATTAACCAACTATTTCAGAGCAATTTAAGTTCTATATAAAATTCTCATAGTAGTTTACGGTCCAAATTTAAAAAATAATGCTATTTTTGAACATACCTTAGACGTATTAGTGAAGCACTCTGTATTTGAGTATGTTTTAAAAAATTTATCATTTGTCATATATTACAAAAACTACGTATTTTGTTGACCTAGTGCAATCCTAGTGTAAAAGTGCAAAATTATTTTTTCAACAATATGTAAAATTTATGAAAAACCAAGACATTTAAGGCATTTATTTGATTCAATATAGCGGCGTACTCAAATTTTTATTATCTAATTTTCCGTTTTCCCACAAATGTTTGCAAGTTTAAGTCTCTCTGTGGTTTCTCTGACATCGAGAGCTATATACGCAACTTACTTATCCATAAAATCCGTCATTTTTAATGACAGATACCAAGAACATGATTGAATAGAGTTCCACACGGCCAAAGCGGTAAATTATAGAAAAAAAAGTGCGCCACTGCATTTAAACACGAACAAGTGCCCTAAGAATTCTTTTATTCGAAAAGCTTAAAAAGCTTAAATATTTTTCAAAAAGTAGGTCCCCCTCTAACTCTAAAGTTTAATAAAAAAGTTGTAAAGTGTAAAAAGAAAGCATAGTATAAGTATTATTTTTTTAATTGATACACCTGTATAATTATTTCATCACAAGAAACGTCCTATTACGCTGATATCAAAAATATATAACATGTTATAGTTCTTTTTAACATTAAGGCCAGAATTAGCCAGAGATAAACTCGTCGATTAGTTGGTCCTGTATCATCATGGCGTCACGCGAACGATACTTATTTTGTTTAATTATGACAGTTATATTATTGAAAGAATATCAAAATTATCGTTGTATATAAATAAAAATTACAAAAAATGCAAAAAGCGCCAACGAATATATCACATAAATAATATATAGATAATACAAACATTTAAACATGTCCTCCAATTTTTCGAATACACGGTTGACGACGCCCTTTTTAAATTTGTCTAGAGCTTCAATTATCTAGACAAGATGCCAAATCATTAATATTATGTATTTTTAAAGTCGATTCAATTTCTTCCGCGTTTTATAGAAATATTCGTGATATCTCCGAATAAACCAACCATTTTAACGACCCAGTGACGGACAATGTTTGCATAACCACCGTGTTTAATCAAGTAATGTATTGTCAGTTTTATTGACGAATTGTTCAAAATACACAATGTACCTGACACGGATGACAAGTAGAATTGTGTTTGGATTTTGTTATGGTATATTCGTAAAGATTTTTAGGAATAATGATAGACAAACACCACGTAAAATCCGCAGCTTAGGTTTTATTACATTTTATTACTGGTCGTGAGTGGAAATAAGTCGCTCGCATCTAGAGAACGTTATGAATTCATTTTTCGACTTTTACTAGTTAAGCCGAAACGTCACTAGTTGATTAGTTTGTAATTCTCAGTGTGGCACCTATGGTCGCTAGTGCACCTAATATTCAAATACCCTGATAAATTGTATATGCGATTTCATAGCATATTAAAATAAATATTAGCCAGCAAAAATCGTTTACATAATTTATTTATAATTAACCTTTTTGCTAGAATTTGTAACAATTAGTTTTAATTTGTTATATTCCGTACCTCCTTTCGCACTGTTTCTAGGCTTAAAACTAAACCAAATCATGTAAAAAATAACATTGGTGCGCCTTTAACGGCTGGCGGTCCTCAACAAAACGACAATAGCAACAGCATAAATTACTAAATACTGTCAGACACCTCATAAGCGATTTTCCACTTCAAAAAGAATGAAGTGAATATTGAATTTACTTGCCTTATTATTTTACGCAGTGTTCTTCAAATTCTAAAATTCGGCTCTTGTTGATTTGGGACTGTTGACCCTATATACGAGGGCAGCGCACAAATTTTCCTGCCTGAATATGAAAGAAACAAAGTAGAGTAACAATTTTTTTATTATTTTTCAATATTATCCCCCTTAACTTCAACACACTTATTACATCTCTTTCTTAACAACTAAATCCTTTGAAAAAAATATTCTTTTGGTTTGTCTGCAAAATGCGCTAAATAATAATAATATCCAAACAAATAATAGTCGCTGGGGGCCATATCTGGACTATAGGGAGGATTATCTATCTGATGGAACCCACACTCTAAAATGGCAGCTTGTGCAACGCCAGCAGTATGGACACGTGCATTATCGTGCCTAAGACGCACGCCTCTGGTCAGTTTTCCTCGACGTTTTACACGTATGCAGTCTCGCAATTTATGTAATAATGTTGCGTAATATTTACCATTGACAGTGGTATGAGTTTCTTTAAAATCTATCAGAACAATTCCTTCACAATCCCAAAAGATCGTGGCCACCACCTTTTTTGTAGACTGGCAGACTCTGAATTTTCTTGGAGGTGCTTCACCCTTACGACGAAACTCCATTGATTCTTTTTTCGATAGAGGGCGATAATAGAGAACCATAGTTTCATCTCCCCTTACAATAGTTTCTATCACAGGCTTCGGTTCAAACCGACAAAGTTTCAAAAAAGACCGCGCACATTCGACACGGCATTGTTTTTGAATAGCCGAAAGGTTTTTAGGAACCCATCTTGCACTAACCTTATGCATACCTAAATGATCATGCAGGATTCGACGAACACTTGTATCAGAAAACTTAATAATTTCTGAGATTTCCTTGACCTTTAACCGTCGATCACTCAATATCACCTCTTCCACAATCGCAACAATATCTTCCGTTATGACCTCCACTGGTCGACCAGTTCTTGAATCATCTTCAAGGGACTCCTGCCCCATTCGAAAACGTCTTGCCCATTCTTGCACTACAGAATACGAAGGAGAACTTTGGCCGTACACACTATCCAGCCTTTCTTATAATTTTAGGTGCTAACCCTTCTTTTGTCAAAAATTTTATGACTGCTCTATACTCAATTTGCGTTATTTGCGACATTTTTTCGTTTTTTGTTTAAAATCAAACTATTAATTAAAAACTATTTGACGCAAAACTTCAATTTTTTTTTCGCAGCCTACTAAGGTGTATATTTAAAAGAAGACAAAGTTTTATCATGATACTGGAGCTGCATCTATGTCAGGCCGGGAAATTTTGGCGCTAACCTCGTATATGTCGGCGCCCTCAGTTTTAAGTATTTCATATTTTCCCATATTTCGTTTTGGGTAATTGGAATGTTTATTTTTGATTCGCATTATTTATCGGTTTAACCTAAACAGTTATAATTCTGTCATTTGTAATATTGTGGACCCATGGGAACCCCACTTTGGTATTTTTCCGAAGTGAACGGAACGCGAACCGGCGAAGATAGTCTGGCTTTGTAAAACCACTGGTTAGGTGTCTAACAATATGTCGCCTCGTTCGCCATCAGAACCAGCCCCACCGGGTTTATTATATTATTTTCATTTTTTCTTACGATCTCCGACATATAGTTTGTCTCAATCTTCATCGTGCTGACTTTTGCCTGCAATTATGGAAGTTCCCAGTCGACCACAATAAAACTCGTAGGTAGGTATTAATGGACAGAACATTAGGGATGGACTCTCAAAAGCCATAATATATTTTTTGTATTTATTTAAGTGGGTATAATCTTATTGGATTAAGCATGAGAGAGAAAAAATAATAACACTAAATATACACAATAAATTAATAGCTAGGAATATCTATACATAATTACATTTTTATTATAATCTCCTAATCTAATTCTGTTTCACTATCAGTGACGTCATTCAGATTAATTATTATAGGATTTACGTTGTTTCTTCATTTGTGTGTTAGGAATTGCATTTTTTATCAAATAACATTGGGACTTAAAGTAGGTTTTGGTTTCATTTAGTTTCATTTGGTTCCATTTCATTAGGTTTAAACATGCAATGATATGGAGGAAGACGTAAAACAGTATGCCGAGCCTGTTCCGACAAATTTTCGCGTATATACTGTTTTTTAATTGCATATGAATTTAGGACTTCCAAAAGTTGCGCTTTTTTGTAACTGAATTCAAAATAAATATCATTTTGTAACAAATATTTTTGGATTTTCGTTTTTGAACTTTATGAGGCTGGTGCTTTGCGTAGCAGACGGTTGCGCTGGCTTGAGTTATCCGTGACAATCACACTGTTATCGGGAATATTTTTTAAAAGATTGTTTTGAAACCAATTTTTAAAAAGTTCGGCACTCGTATCCTCAAAATAATCCCAGCTAGAATCCTTAATATTCTTTGCAGACAACAGCAAGCACTTTGGAACATATCCCTCTACGGACCAAGCCTGTATTATGGTGATGCGTTTTCCTTTATTTGAAGGTGCTCATTTTGGTAAATTTTTTATCTGTTGTCTAATCTATATCTTTTCATTTCTTGAAGGTAATTAAATCTCCAAGTGTGACTCCATTACTACTTGCCATTGTCTATTTTGCGGCACTTAACTCCAATTTTACAAACAACTGTATGGAGGGTAACACGGCTTATATTTATATTGGTTTCATTTTCTTCTGGCTTCTTTTGCAGTTTATCCAAGGAAGGAACAACTTCCCCTTGAGAAAGACAATATACTTTCTTTCTTATTATTTACGTTTATTCATTTTCTTCAATTCTCCACTATTAATAATATCCCTTATCGACCATATTGGGGTTTTTGTTAAGTAGACAGATTTCTGTCAAAGTTTCTTGTTTAATAACTCCTCTACTGATTAAAGTTGCATGCACATTTTTCACAACCTGTTTTGCATCAAGCATAAAACAACTTTTTCTAGTTTGTTTGACACGAGCAAAGCTAGTGTTTAATGAACGAGTGACTTAAAAAGTTTACCGAACGTGTTGCATACTATCCTTCTTCTACGACCGTTAGTTTCTGGGTACATTTTCGCAAAGAACCACTAATACATTCACGACAAAATTCAAAGCGTGGGCTTTATCTCCGAAAGCATCCGATTGCTCCCAAACCCGTGCGGTAAAATCGAGTAAACGTCCGAAGTGGCTCGGATTCATGGGAAACAAAACTGATGTGGTAAAGTAACGCTTCCCGCACGCTAGATCGGTGTGTAATTAGGTATTTTACAGACGGGAGTAGAAAAAAAAAACGATTATTCAACACTACCACAAATATATACTTGGCTTACCCCTGCCTTGTCACTTAAGTAAGAATAATTTTTTTGTTAATGGCTTTACCCAATAACAATAGGTAATAACATCGTTAAAGGTTTATTGGGAAGGAACTGTCGGAAGCCAAGAGTACGAATATCAGTATAAATCAGGTGAATATTTTGCTTTATATTTTACTCTAAAATTCTAAGCAACTACAACAGATGTAATTGTGTTCTTTCCAAGTCCTTATAAAAGTAGAGAAATAATGTACGAACACATACAAGGCATTTGCCTTTTATCATGTCAGTAATTTTTTTCCAAATTTTAGTTTTTCAATAAATTTATCATGATTTTTCTATAGGTTTTCTGATACCCCAACGATACGTTTTGGCCATCATGGGATTCTTCGCAGTCGTCAACGCGTATACCATGAGGGTGTGCCTATCTCTAGCTATAACCGAGATGGTAGTCCCAATAAATACTACCGAGCACTTCGATCCAGATGCCTGTCCAAGCGATTCGCCAAACTCGACTCTCGGGGCTGTCAAAGTGCGTACCAAACTAAGGACTTATGGGATATTACTGTCCATCGTTTCAGGATACCAACACTCTATATGACTGGGACGAAAAAACTCAAGGGTTAATTTTAAGTTCGTTTTATTGGGGATACGTGGTCACCCATCTGCCCGGTGGACTGTGGGCAGAAAGGTTCGGTGGAAAATACTCGTTGGGGCTGGGAATACTCTCGACGGCAGTCTTCACGCTCATAACGCCCTGGGTAATTTATAGCTCCAACGGCAATTGGAAAGTTCTCGTAGCGCTTAGAGTATTAGAAGGTATCGGAGAGGGTACGACTTATCCCGCACTAACCGCCCTACTGGCCAAATGGGTACCCCTACAAGAAAGAGGCACGATAGGAAGCATAGTATACGCCGGTAGCCAGTTTGGTATGCAGAAATACAACTTGAATAATCCTCTCTCAACAACGAGCTTGATTTAAGGTACCATTCTCAGTAACTCGATCAGTGGCGAACTGATCAGGTTCACGGAGAATTGGGCATCTGTTTTCTACTTCTTCGGAGCCGTGGGGATATTATGGTTCCTAATTTGGGTACTGCTGTGCTATTCTGAGCCGGATACCCATCCCTTTATCAGCGACAAGGAAAGGGAATACCTTGCCGTCGAATTGAGTACGCGACAATTGCAGTTTGATGGTGGGTGTTGAATAAATACACATTTTATTTTAGGCGGACTCAGTGACCGAAAGTTGGATGTTCCTTGGAAAAAAATTTTCACGTCGGTGCCAGTATGGGCGCTGATAATAACCCAAATCGGTCATGATTGGGGTTTCTTTACCATGGTAACGGACCTACCAAAATACATGAAAGACGTGTTGAAATTCAACGTCGCGGAGAATGGACTGTGGTCCTCGTTACCATACGTGATCATGTGGTTCATATCTTTAGGATCGGGTTGGCTCAGCGATTGGCTCGTGAAGACCGGTTACATGAGCCTCACTTTTTCAAGAAAATTTTTTACGTCTGTTGCCTCTCTGGCTCCGGCAATATTCATCATAGCCGCTTCGTATTCTGGGTGTGACAGGATGCTCGCGGTATCCATGTTCACCATCGGTTTAGGTTTCATGGGTTGCTATTATTGCGGAATGAAAGTTAACGCTTTAGATTTATCGCCCAACTTTGCCGGTACATTAATGGCGATCATCAACGGTATCGGTGCGTTGAGCGGTATAGTTACTCCCTATCTCGCCGGCGCTTTAACGGAAGACGTAAGTTGATTGGGTCAAGGCCACGCAGAAATATTGCTTGGTTTATTTCCAGCACACTTTGGTGCAATGGAGGAGTGTTTTCTGGATAACATTTGGGGTATTTGTCTTCGTCAATGCTGTTTATTGCTTGTTCGGAACCGGCGACGTCCAAGTCTGGAACGATTTGCAAAAGGAAGAATTGAAAACGGAGAAGTTCAAAGGATCAGAAAATGGCAACGGCGTTCGGGAAGGCATCTACGAAATGAAAGATTAGAAATGTAATTATTTATTCTTAAATGTGTATTTTGTAAATATGGATATAAATAATTGACTTAAGGAAATCGCGGGTTCTTGTTAATAAAGAACTTTTAAAAGGTCTGTAAGCTTCGATCTTCCGTTGCCTACGAACAAACCTAATCCTGGAATTATTTTCTTTTAAACAGTGATCACCACTTACATAATTCTGAAATTTTAATGGGATCCGTGGAATTGGACTGTCAGCGCCTATGTTAATTGTTGATTGCGGCAAAATATAATTGGTTGAAAACGAGATTTGTAATGACAGGTCTTATTGCTTGACAGTGAGAGTTGAAATAACTCTCTGAATATTTTTTTATGTTGGCTTCAGGTATATCTAGTAGCTATTTATTTACTTATTATATTGTTATTAACGATTACACCATTGGACAATTAGAAAATAATTATTGATACTTACAAGAACTTAACTAACCAAACTAACTATGGTATGGTATGGTATGCCTTGCGTTTATCACTAAAAATTTAATCATTTTTGGACAACACGCACTTAACGTAACGCAGGAACAAATCGGAAAATTAATGCAATCTTTGTCAAAACATCGAAGGAAAAAACCAAACGAAACGATTAATTGACAGCATGCCGGAGACGCTTCTTGGTATTGCTCATATAACCTCATTCCCGTATATCACGGGTTGCCAGCGCGCCTGGCGTCTAGCGTGGTTCGAATTTATTTTATTTGCTCGGCCTTCCCGAACAATGGGTATCTGCAAACGAAGCAATGGACCGTTAATGCATTTTCTAGCTAGCAAAAAGACCAGACCAAAGCATAACCACGCCTATCATATTCCAAACGGACAAAAACACAATACAAAATTTTAACGAAGAAAGATGATAAATTAATACTAAACCTAAGTAAAAAACCTAACCTCCTATGGCCCTTGGCGGTTATATCATTTAAATGATTCCAGTAAGTCAGCTTACAATCACCCTTATTTAATATTTAATGTCATTCATTCTTTTTAAGCGCATGAAATTCAATGAATAATCAAACTTACTTGTTGAAAGAAGTTGAAAGAACTTCAATGCCTAGTGATGTGAGAAAAAGGAACTATACAATTTATGAACTTCCCATCAAAAACAAGAGCATTTTTGATGAACTTTGTCATTTAAAAAGTCCGTCACCGTTAGTTGCCCACAACGAATCTATTCCAGGCCCATAATCACTAAATGCATTTTCTATTGTTTTGATTGCTACTAGTTATTGTTATATCCTTCGGTCGACTGAATTAGAATTCCTAGCGGATACTAAAATATTACCAGTATGCAGCGAGATAAAACCGTTAATTGCCTGTACTATGATTGTTAAAAATTGTTGCCGAGACGCCACTTCAGAGATACGCTCAAGGTACTTATCTATATGTGAGTTGGTAACAACAGGTAAGATAAAAATAAGTTAAATATCGCGGTCATTTAATTGCAATTATCAAAATAGTGATTACCTTTTTTGAAATCAAAAAATAAATCGCTGAAAAATGCTGTCCGGCTGGAAATTAACTTTATCTAAAAGTAAGTCCGATCATTATGTCGGAATATCTATAGCGAACACAATTTTTTTTATTAGTGTTCCTAATACCCCAGAGATATGTTTTGGGAGTCATGGGTTTTTTGGCGATTATCAACTCTTACACGATGAGGGTGTCTATTTCGGTGGCCATCACTGAAATGGTGCCACCAAAAAACTCCTCCTCTCACAAATCGGACATTTGTTCCTATTCTGACTCGGGCTCGTCGACCACAAATTCCGTAACCGTAAGTAGTTCTACTGTTCCATTTATTTTTTTTTATCTATCTACAGGGTGGCCAAATAACAGTTTTTTAACCGATTAAGCAAAAGTGGTGAACAGCGGTGAACTAAACTTGGTCTGCGATAAGTCTAGTTGTTTGTGATGCCGTTAGGGCGTATTTTTTGATACTATAACAAAAAATTAAAGGCAGTAATGTGACTTTTTTTTCAGAAAAATATAATAAAATGACATTTACATAGGCTGGAGATAACAATCTCTCGATATCCTATTCCTAATCGAAATCATCGAAGAAAGAAAATTTATTTTTTAATATAATTGCAAAAAGACGTTTTTACATATTGATTTTCTTTTTTTTTCAAGAATCAAGTATAAAATTTAACAATTTTATAATTTGCAAAAAAATTGTTAGACGATCGGTAGAACATGAAGACAGGACAGGGTAAAAATAAATACCTAAAATCAAACATTACAATTATGCTTATATAATTAGTGTAATTTGTGTTATGTTTGTTGCTTTTTTTTTTCAAGAGTCAAGTATGAAATTTAACAATTTTGTAATTTTCAAAAAACTTTTTAAAAAGACGTACAGGAACACGATAACCAATATGCAAATACAACGATCGGCAGAACATTAAGACAGGACAGGGTCAAAATAAATTCCTAAAATCAAACACTAAAATTATGTTTATATAAGTAGTGTAATTTGTGCTATGTTTGTTGGACACAGAAGTAAAATATGTTACAAAACAATATGTGATATATGACAATATTGTTAATACTTTTTACAAACCTTCCGGTTCGTCCTGCGTCGGTTTTTGCTGAATCGAAGTTGCTAAAGTTTCGCCAATCATCTTTTGCCTTCTGTATACCTTGACTGAAACTGGCTCGTATTTTACTCTATACTTGCTTATATATTATTTGAGGGTGGCGGAGCTAAATGAGGGGCATAAACATCGTCTCGGATGACTGATTCCCATATTATTCCCATATGTTTATAGACTCTTGGATTTTCCGTTGGTAGAAGTTTAACTTTAATAACATTTTATGTTCGGTTTCGTGATTGTGTTCGGCAACAGCTGACGAGTTTATTTGTTTTAGTCGTAAGGCTCTTTCGTGTTCTTCGAGTCTAGCTGATATTTTTCGCCCGGTCTCTCCAATGTATTTTTTGCCGCATATGCGTGTAATGCTGTAAACTCCTGGCTTCTCAAATGGAATTTTGTGTTTGACGAATCGAAGATGTTGAGAGATTTTTGGACAAGTGATAAATCTGGTTTTGACATTATATTTCTTTAGAACTTTTGATAATGGCAAGTGTAGGATTGCTTTCTACATTTTGCAACAACAAGAATACATTGACTGACATGACCATTAGAATTGACAAACGTCAAAACTCAAGCCGTGCGGTAATGTCTCCGAAAACATCCGATTGCTCCCGAACCCGTGGGGTGATATCCCGGAAAAGGCCGAAGTGGCTCCCCACCCTAGATCGGTGTATAATTACTTTTTTACAGAAGGGGGCAGTAAGAGTAAACTAGCAAAGTGAGCCCTCATGTTCTGTCCTTTAATACCCGTTCCAGAATTTCATTGGGTATACATTGGGAATAACTATTCTTGATGATGCTAAACGAAATAGGTTTCACTTAGGTCCTGTTCATTTTAAGGACGGCAGTAAGCTCTATGACTGGAACGAGTCGACTCAAGGTTTAATACTGAGCAGCTTTTATTGGGGTTACGCAGGAACGCAGCTCCTCGGCGGCTACCTTTCTGAAAGATATGGTGGTAAATACACGCTCGGCATCGGCTTACTTATATCAGCTATATGCACTCTGATAACGCCTTGGGTAATATACGGTACGGATGGAAACTCCGGAATGCTAATTTTCTTGAGGGTGGTGGAGGGTTTAGGTGAAGTAAGTGCGAAATTTTGAAAAAGCTTCTCGAAAATATTCACTTCCCTAGGGTACCACTTATCCGGCTTTGAATGCCTTGTTGGCGAACTGGGTGCCAAAGCAAGAGAGAGGTCGTATTGGTGCGCTGATCTATGCCGGAAATCAAATGGGTATCCTTTTCTTTTACTGCGTAGCCGAACGTAAGTGAAATTTAAAATTAATTGGCAGGTACCATCGTCAGCAATCTAATCAGTGGGCAACTGATCGAGGCCACCAGAGACTGGGCTTCCGTTTTCTTTTTATTCGGATCCCTGGGGATTGTATGGTTTGTCCTTTGGCAACTTTTGTGCTACTCGGATCCGGACAGCCACCCGTTTATAAGTGAATCAGAAAAGTTGTACCTACGCAGGGAGGTGGGTAAGTGAATTCGTTTCAAATGGATAATGCAAAGTATAAATCAAGATGTTTTATGGCATAAAGTGCAAAAACATAGTTTTGGATCGATCAAAGGTTTTGTGGCCTCAAATTTTGTAAGTTAGTTTGAATGAAGAATAAATGAAAAAATAAATATCCTAATGTGAAATATGAAATAATTGATATGTCATGTGTATTTTCATGTTCTACAATTAAGCGTAAAAATTTTAGTAATAATACACATTTTATTAATGATTGACAATTGTTTCTGAAAATTGCTTACTAATTATTACAAGCCCCGGAAATTAATATTAATACAGGAAATTAATATTAATACAGGTGAGTAAGATCACGTCAAGTGGACCCCTCATTTACCACGTGATCATAAAAATTTAATCTATATATATTTTTTATAAGTACTTATAATGATTGATTTTAACATTTTTTTTATAATGAGAATTTTAAGCATTTTTAATTAAAAAATGGATTAAAAATGAACCGTCACATGTTTTATTCATTTAAGCTCAAGATTCCTGAAGAAAATTTCACTGCTCGTCATTAGTTTAAACAAAATTAATTTATTTATGACAGCGCGCCGGTCGCCGAGCACTGTGGAAGCGCCACGTTAATAATAATACAAAATATTATTATAAAACAAATTTGATTGTTATTGATGTTATTTTATTATAATTATTATTAATAATTTTTTTTAACAATGTTATAAAGAATATTATCACATTTTTAATTATTTTTGCCAAACAGCGTGAATTTAGAAAAAAATAATCAACTTTAAATTTTTAAAACTGTTATGGTCTATATTTATCTTTTCTAGATAATTTAGTAAATTATTATTTTTAAATTTACTAGTCAACACTCATCATCAACATCTTTAATTAACAAAAGAAAACCCGCTCCGTTACGATTTTCCTATGCGTTTCCCAACAAAATCATTTTAGAAGTCATTCCTGTCCATTCGTGACATAAGTTTATACGCAAAACATGAAATATTTATTAAAAATAAAAGCTGAAGTGTTGGGTTCTGTTTTTTTTTAGTTAATATTTTAGTGTTATAATTTTTAATTTTAATAATATTTTCTGTGATTTAAAATGGGAAGAGTGAATTATGAAATTATGTGATTAGAGAATTAAATTTAATTATTATTTAAATATAATTTTGCCCATTTAGTTGAATTTTCATTTGTTAACTTAAAAGTTAGTTAACAATGCGAAAATAAACAAATAATTTTAGGTCGTTAGATTTTATAAATTTATCTCTTACGGTTGATTTTTAATCAATTTTTTAATTAAAGTGCTTAAAATTTTCATAGTAAAAAAAAGTTGTTAAAATTAAAATTTTTTGAGGGATCAATTTTCCATCATAAGTACTTATAAAAAATAAGTATAGATTAATTTTTTAGGATCAAGTTGTAAATGGGGGGTCCACTTGACGTTACCTTACTCAGGTCTAATAGGGTGGGTAACAAAAACGATTTTTTTTGGATCTGACACACATATACTAGTTTCTAGTTATCCCGAGAAAGTACATACCACGTATGAGCTCTTAATGTTAATGAAAAGATTATCCTCATTGTAGTTTTGCATTTTCAATTTCGTCTCATTTATAAATAATCATATCTTACCACCAATGTGGTATTTAAATGATGAAGTTGTCATTTTAACACTATTTGATGATACTGAAACAAGGTAGTCGAAGCTGTAAAAACTCGAGATGGTAGGGTTAAAAAATTTGAGATCAAAAGGGCATCAATTCGATTATTCAAAAGAATTTGAGTGACTTCGTTTTTTCAAAAATCATTGAATTTGTTTCAAATCTTTGACCTACGATATGATTTCCTTGATATTGACATTGCATTGTGGGCTTCAGATGAAAATTATATGGAAAATGAACAGTATTTCAAACAAATGAAAGTTGTAAATGAGGAAAGTGTTTGACGAATAACGAACAGTTTCAATAAATATTGAAACTTGCACCAAGTGCTGCAAGTCGTCAAAGAGCATTGAGTACTATTTCCTGACTGCAATAAAAGTCGATTTTTATAACTAAATCTAAAAAAATTATATTTTTCTATTAATACTATATTAAGGTATAATTTCATAGGATTTAACAGAATTCTTTTTCTATTAATGCATTTATTGATATTTCCTGAATAAACAACTTTTTTCTGAAGTAGATAAAATAATCCTAAAATTCAATCATATTTATTAAAATAAGTAGTAATGGATGAACCAAAAGAAACCTTTTTTCTAGAGAATTAGATTTTCGATAAGAATAATTGAATACATTTCACGATAATTATTTTTCAGTCAATAACATAATTTAGAACAAAAATTTATTTGTCTTTAAATTATTCAATCTTTGATCTCGAATATCTTTGAAATGGTTCGGTTTAACGAAAAAGTATTACAGATCATTTTTGCAGAGCGTTCAATTTCCTAAAAAAAAAGATATTAATAAAATTGGCTTAATGATCTGTTGGTGATATGGAACGATGATTTATATATGAGACTAATCGAAAATGCAAAACTGTAATGAGGATAATCTTACTTTTCACAAACTTCTGGATTTCTCCTGTGTCGGTTTTTGTTGAATCAAACTTGCTGACATTTCGCGAATCACTGAAACTGAAGAAGCCATCCAACAGGATGATTGAAACTGTTCCAGTTAAGCTCTGAAGAAGCCAACAGGATGATTGGCGAAACGCCAGCAAGTTTGATTCAAGAAAAACCGACGTAGAAGAAATCCAGAACTTTTGTGAAAAGTATTACAGTAGCCTGTGCAAGTTTTTTTCAAAAATTGGGGATAATCTTCCCAGTAATATTAAGGGTGACTAGCAACTAATTTTCGTGAGTCAGATCCAAAAAAATTCGTTTTTTTTATCTTAATGCATACATCACATATATAATTCATGACAATCCTACTAAGGCGGCTTAGAAGAAAGAGCAGTTAAAAGTATTATTTTTGCGTTAGTTTAATAGATTATCAAAAATGTCATTTAAACTTAATATATTATTATGCTCTGTTTTTTAATGCGAGGGAATTATAAATCATTATTGAATTGTTGGTTGTCAAGGGTCCCAAGGAGAAGGAGAAATAGTTGACCCACCTGTGCCTTAGTGTTTTGGAAACGGCTAATGTTTCTGAATTTGTTGCTGAGAAATGGACTGGTTAAAATGTGTTTTCTAAATAAATTTCCACTCCAAAATTGAAAAGAAAATGAAGACATTTTTATATCCCTAATGTTTGGTTAGTTTTGGTTAATTTAATGTTAGTTGTAGCTGAGTCGCAAGGAAAATAAAGATAAAAAAATGTATTTCTGATTCGGTTGTGTTTAATATTTATTATGGGACGACACCTTAACTTAGAACCTGTTAGAAATATCAATATATATTTCAAATGATCCAATAAGAGACTACATATGGAAAAATGAATTTTTCGGTTGATAAGTAATAAAAATATTAGTAATTAAAATATCATATTTAAACCACTAAATTCAGGGTGAAACAAAGCTTCGTAAATGTTTTCATCAAACTACAGAACTATTCATAAACGAAAACGATTTTTTAAAAAATCACATTTTCAAAATAGACATCCATGTGTGATTTTCACCATTATGTTTTTTTTTTGTGAAAAGCGAACTCACAACATCTACATTAGATTTTCCTTGGTAAGGGGAATTTTCATTTTCATTTTTATTCAATTCAACCTCCATTCCAGAAAGCGTCACATTGAAAAAGAAAAAGTACATCCCGTGGAAGAAAATCTGCACCAACATGCCTGTCGTAGCACTCGTAGCCGCGCAAATAGGTCACGACTGGGGTTTTTATATGATGACGACAGATTTGCCGAAATACATGAAGGGCGTACTAAAATTCAACGTGGCCGACAATGGCATTTGGAGCTCGATTCCGTACGTTTCGATGTACGTAATTTCAATGTTCTGCGGGTGGTTTTGCGATTGGTTGATTAGAAAGGATTACCTCAGCGTGACCATGGCCCGTAAATATTTTACCACCGTAGGTTGGACAAAATCCGATATTTTCATGGTGTGTATATCTCACAATCACTTCATTTCAGCATCTGTCGGACCGGCTATTTTTCTAGTAGCGGCTTCATACTCTGGCTGCAATAGGGCATTGTCGATAACGATGTTTACCACCGCGATGGGCTTCATGGGCGCCTTCTACTGCGGTATGAAAATCAACGCGCTCGATCTTTCACCAAATTACGCTGCCACGGTGATGGGGATTGAAAACACTGCTGGAGCAATCACCGGGATCGTCACTCCATATTTGGCAGGGGTTCTCACGCCGGATGTAAGTTTTCAAGCTTTTCAATTCCGCGATAATGTAGTCGTCGTTTCCAGCAAACCCTAACGCAATGGAGGGAGGTCTTTTGGATCGCCTTTGGAGTATTTTTCGCGACGAACATATTTTATCTCATATTTGCCAGCGGAGAAATTCAAGAGTTCAACAACGAGAAGCAAAGCGACGACGGTGGGGAAAAATGAGTCACGGAGTTTAGTGAAATTCCTTGCGATTTGTTTTAAATAAGGGTTGCTAAATATGACAGATGTAATTGTAACTGAAGTAAAAAGAAGTCGGGTTCTATTTGGTCTTTGTTTCAAATTACTTACCTACCTACACTAGACGTGTTTTCATTATAATTAGGAAGACAAGGTCGTTAATTGTTTCAAAAAAAAATGTTTTTAATGGCTTATATAGTTTTTTGGTCTGGATTATTAACATTTGTTTAATTTGGGTGTATGGGTGTTTGTGACAACGGTCAGAGTGATCTAGAGATTATATGTGGAGAAGTTAAAACATTACAGTTTTAATGACGGAGTAATGCTTTCTAAAATTGGAAAAAGTAATGAAGATATCCCAAGTGGAATGGGGCAAGGAGTGAAGCAGAATTACCATTGAAATAAAAATATAGAAAAAAAAACTAATTAAATTATGATTAACTAATAAAGTTATTTTATGAGGTGAAACGTAAACGTGTTGGTATCTTCCCTTATAAATTTTGTTCTTTAAATAACCCCACAAACAGAAATCAAGTGGGGTTATATCTGGTGATTTAAGAGGCCCAGGAATAGGTCTATTTGTAGCAATCCATTTATTGTTAAAAATTGGTATGTGCCACTCAAGTGATGAGCGGGTGCCCATCTTGTTGAAAATTGAGACTGTGCCCTTACTTATTATGTCAAGTTCATCTAGAAAATCATCCAGAAATTTATTAATGATTGCAATGTACCGCTCACAGGCCAGAGTGCCATCGTAAAAATATGGACCAACACCGCACCAAATGTTAAAGCTGAAACGAACTTGTGGACTTGGTAATAAATTTTCTTTTCACTAATAATGAGGATTTCTTGGATTATAAATGCTAGAATTTGAAGGCCAAGGGTAACATATCAATGACAAAAAAGTTGGTCGAGATTTATAAGGGCAAAATTTGTGTGTGTGTGTTTTTTTTTAATCTTTTGGACAGTATTAAAGGATAGGTTAGCATCTTCAACCATGTCTCGAATAGAATTGTCACGCTATGCTTCAAAATATCCAAGAACACCAATTTCCACGTCTTCACTTATAACAAAATTTTTTCTTGTCTTTCTTTTTGCCAAAATGGTTTTATTATTTCTAAAGATTCGATAAAGGCACAGAAGAAATTGTTCTTGTGGAATGCGCTGCGGATACACAGACGCATGCCAAATAGCATTCTAGCATGTCATACTTTTCTTCATGTGTAAAAACTATCTTTGAATAAATGATACACCAAAATTAATTTAAATTTTGATAACAATTAATATAACAATAATAATAATTAACACATTAAAACTAATTTTTGGACAACTAGTTTTCTATTTGCCCGGGCTGTCATTATTTTGCGCAGCCTTCTTTGAACAGTTTTTTCTGCGCCTCTCCCGAATTTTTAGAAATAATGAAACCATTTTTGCTAAAAGGGGACGAAAAATTTTTATATTAAATGCAGACGTAGAAATTGGTGTTATTATTATTGTTTCTTTCACTCAAATAAAACTATAACAGGAAAATGCTCACAATACGGTTATTTTCAATTTTAGGCTAATATTGCATATGACTTTTTTGTTGTGTTAGTGATTTAAGAACGTTATAGTAAAAAAATATGCAGGGTGTTCCATTTAAAAAGAGTACATTTTCCTCATTTTTTCCTAAACCCTACATTAAATTGTTTTTCTGTTTTCACCAAAAAATGCTACAAATTTGTTAATTACCGATGATGAACACTTAATTTAGATCAGGTGGTATATTGATTTTTTCTTACAAACATTTCAAGGGCGAACTTATAGTATTAGACAACCAAATATCTTATTTTGCTTGTGGCTGATTTTATACTTACATTTATAACTTGACCACTTTTATGAAATTAAAAAAGATGACAATAGTAAAATTTGCGGATTTTTCAAAATTCCACATGGAAAAAAGGCAAACGCCACACTGTGGTTAAAATACACTGAAGTTCCGACAACAAAAATATTTAAAAAAACCTGTTCCGAATTTGGGAATTCAATAATCTGACTTATTCATTTTTAATTTCCTCAAATAATTTTACATATATATTGGACACACGGACACAGCCATATATAACAGCTCAAATCACACTTATACACACGAAATGGCTGCGTTTCACTCTTTTATACAAAGACTTCTTAATACGCTACTCTCAATAGAAAATTACCACAAAGAACTTAAATTGCACTGAACAACGGTTACAATCCATCCATTATCGACAAACTTATAAATAAAAAACAACCTTTGATAAAGACACGGTGTTGTCGAAACAATTGAATCTGAACTTTTAGTTCTTATTTATTTTGATAAATGGATTTTCATCAAGTAAAAGTCGCCTCAGTTCAATTTTTAAAAACGGAGTAATACGAATTGATATTTCCAAGTAGAAACCGCTCCACGGCAAGTCAATTGCATCAAAACGCAACAAATGTCAATAAACGTCAATAGAGATATACTTTTTTAAATTGTCGATAAAAGTATGACTTGCAAACCTTTGTGGTGTATCTGCTGGTGTAAGAGATTAACCGTTAAGTGGATGGATGGATAACTGTACACCAACGCTGTACGCTTTACAGGTGGCAGGATACCGCAGAGGTTGGCCATGGTAATTTTGCTGCACGTGGCTCTACTGAACACTCTAAATCTAAGAGTAGTACTGAACGTGGCTATCGTCGAGATGGTCGAGCCTCATAATGCCAAATGGAACACAACAGAAAGGGCTTGTCCAAACTACGAGTTGGTACAAACCGACATAAAAGTGAGTCAGCACAACGCTATTTTTGTGCGGTTGTCAAAGTGCGTTGTAAGACTGTCAGTTTAAGATTTTAATTTGTTATACTGAAGATTATGTTGTGCAAGCCACACTCGTGCTTGTGGGGTCGTAAGTGCACGCTAGCGGAGTGGCGTTAACAAAATTGCGGAGATCCCGAAATTGGTTGTAGGTTACAAGATACCTCAACGCTATTTATTGGTTATTTTGTTGCATTTAGCCATACAAAATTCCTACAACTTAAGGGTGGTCTTGAACGTAGCCATTGTGGAAATGGTGGAACCCGTGGTAGAAAATGGTATCGCCCAACCCTATTGTACAAATTACGGTGTGCTGACACCCGAAATTTCAGTAAGTAATTTTGATTAAAAAAGATCCAGCGGAACAACATTAACTTTCGCAAATTGCAAATTGCAGTAGTTTGCAGAAAGAATACAGAGCAAACAAACAAGAAGAACGAATAAATAATACATTACGTATATGAGTACAACGTTTTTTTCATAAATTATGCAGAAAATGTAAATACGAAAATCAAAAATTTATTTTAAATCTCAAATATGTTCCCAATTTTTATAATAAGATGGCCAATAGTCAATACAATAGTAATCATTAACAATAATAATAATAATAATAATCATAATAATAATAAATCATTTAATTGTAAAAAGAATTCAAAAGGGCGACGAAGTTGAAGTAAAGACCTTCTTGAACTGTAAAACTTGTGTGGTCTGAAGGATAATATTGCAGCTGATTGTCAAGGATCTTGAGAGGGGAAGGCAGACGGACAGGTAGTCGAATCACTTGCGCCCTAATTTAAAATTAGAATTAGAGTTAGTTTCTGGCAGTTGTTGGCAAATGTTGATGTTTTTGAAGACTACTTCCAGCAAATGCACATTTTATTCCTCTTGGGTCTGTTATAGTAATCGATAATGCCAGGTCTCAAGGAAATCCTAAAAAAATACCCACGTTTTCTTGGGAAAAAATGATATCAATGATTGGCTCGCTTTAAAAAAGCGGTTTCAGAAAGATATGTTAAATAGCCTTTCACCATATCATTGTGTATTAAAACCCCATAGAATTGGGGCAAGTGAAAGGATTTGTTGCAAGGCTTAACATCACTTTTAAAATGAAACCATCTTGCAAGAAGGAATAAAGACAGGATTGTGAAAAATTGAGTAAGTGCGTCGAACATATGATTGAAATAGAAGAAGGAACGTAGGAATCTGACAACATGCTTGAAAACAGAGAGAGCCTTATATTTCATCTGATTACTTAGAATGTCATGACCACAATTTATAAATGTTAAGAATTTTAAAATAATAATATTTATTACAATTTATCTATTTTCGTATTCTTCTGGAAATGACTACGCAAAAATAAAAAACTTGACCAATGTGGTCATACATGTGGCAAAGCTTAAATGGAAGTGAAAACGATTACTAGAATGGAGACTTAGATCCTATAGAAGAAACAGTTGGAGATCACGACCTCACTATACAGAAGATATTGCAAAAACTAGGAGAGGCCTATGTCCAACACTGGACGAAGGAAAGGGTTGATTCATGGTGATGACGATGATAAGAATAGATACTATCTCAATTATCTGCCCAACTCTATAATTATAGTCATGTATAATTATTATTATATTTATTATTCTAATAAACTACCTGTAACAAGGTCACTGTCAGATTACTTTCATTCCCCAAATTCGTCTTGTACTCAAATTAGAGTAATCCTAATTTAGGAACTGTCCGCAGTGTTATATCTTCAAAACTGAAATACGGAAAACTATCATTCCAATTTGCCTGGTATTCAGTTTACGTTTCAGTTTCTCTGTCATTACAAATTTACATTTTACTACTTTCATAGTATAAATAGAGTTTCGTATGCGAACTGCAAAAAGAAACTAACAATTTAACTTTTAATATTCAAATTGTAACTCGTTAATGAAGAAAAGTATGACCAGTACTTGAATATCTCGGTAGGAAGAAAATACGTTTATTTTAAAAAATACAAATTATTCACTAATCAATAATTAAAAAAACACTTATTCCCTAGTGGCTAATTCAGAGCGCTGGGAAATTCCGTCGAGTTCCTACCAATTTCGGTGCGGGTAAACTTGTAAGTAAACTTCATAAAGTTCTTTTTGATCCCTAGTGTTAAATCTGATACTAATGTATAGGCTTTGTCAACGGATATTAAGGTGCTTTTAAGAAAAGGGAAGATACTAATAATCGACCAAATTGAAAGTAGAGAAGAATTATTAAAAAAAGGCTTCCTAACTTATCAGCCGTGCCATAAGGCGGATTACCCCTGGTGAAGTGATAAAATGTCTTCAGTCTGATTCAGTATTCAGCATCATTCACGATGCATAGCGTTGGAGTGGTTATCTTGGAGAAAACAGGAAATTATCGAAATTTGATATGAAATATGCCGTAGAAAATATAGCAGAAATACCTAGTGTAACTCTGATGAGCACACCGCCCCATCTTTGACATTCAAAATTAAAGATTTGATCAAGACATTGAGAAAGTGACACCACAGAAATGGCCAAAAGCAGTCCTGCATGTCATTAAAGAAAATAATAAAATGCGGGAGCTAATAAAATATAAGGGTACCTAATACTACTAATTTTTACTATGTTAAAATGAAATTCTTTCCGTTCCAAACAATGAAATTTGCGTAAGTATTTATCGAGTCCCTTTGACTTTATTACACTTTTCTGATATATACTATAGAAATTATTTGTACCACAACAGCGTTTTTAAAGGTAATTGTTAATATTATTCTTATTTACTTACTAATTTGGTACTTACTATTTCCTTAATTTTGTAAATCTAAAAAACCCGAAGCATTATTTTATCTTTTGGTTTCCATTTTATCCAGTATTTTTATTTTTTGTATTTTTTATTTTCTTGGCTCTTTTGACGCTTTTTGTAACTAAAATAAAAACATAGGCGTGATAGCCAGAATTGTAGAAAAATGTTTTTGCTTTACTTGAGTTAGTATTTGTAAATTTGATTATAGTAATCCGAATACCCCCAGCCCAGCTCACTGAATATGTTGAAAAAAAGAAATGACATGGTTTACAACTCTTCTGCTTTTCTTCTGCGTCTGTTGATGAACTTACTTTACATTTAGCCGGGTTCTTCAGAGCTTACCTGTTTCAGTTGAGCTCTGAAGAAACTAAAACTGTGTCAGTTAAGTTTGATTAATCAGCAACTGACGTCGGAGGAATTGTAAATAGTATTATAGTAGAAACAGCATATAACCAAAAAATCTGCTACGACCTAATAAACAGCATACACGCACGCATGTAGTATTCTCTAGTAACTTTACATATTAATTTAAATTGAATCAACAGCAATTAATGTTTTTATTTAATTTCAGGGACGGTAGGCCTGGCTGTATAAATGCGCAGTATTTTCAGAACTAAATAAAATTATATAATTTAGCTCCCATTTCCAGTTGCTTTTATTGATATGGATTTTCGGATTTGTTTTTCAGGGCGGAAAATTTCCTTGGCCGCGTAATACCGAGGCAATGATACTCTACGCGTTTTTCGTCGGATCGTTCATCAGCCACGTACCGGGAGGCCTTATTGCCGACAGATACGGAGGAAGGTGGGTTCTCGGAATTTGTATGTTCACGTCCACCATTGTGACACTCGTGTTTCCGCTATCCACCCAACATGGTGGTCACGTGGTCGCCATCGCGCTGAGGTTCATCCTGGGACTTGCTCAGGTAAAGTCTGTCCATAGATCTAATAAAGTGACTAACTGATACGAATTAAGAAAAGACCCGCTGTAAGAATGAAATATGGCCAAACAGGTCCGTACTTTGCTTAGAATTTAATTATTTGGGGTTTTGTTAGGAAAGGTACTAAACAATATTTATTTATTTATGTATGTATCTATGTTTAAACCTATCACTATCGGTATCATCGCCTGTTCTAATTATTATTTGTTCTATATTATTTGCAATATAGATATACGATTGTTCTGCTTCTTCTATATGTTTAACAGAATTTGTGCAACTTTGTGGAGAGATGTTAAAAACTTCGGTTTCTATAAGTTTGAGGACATTGGAGTTAACACGGGGAAAAACATTCTAACATTCTTACGACGAATGGCAGATTTCTGTTGGTGCCAAACATGTTCAATGGGTTTAAACATAGAGTGGTAAAGTGGAAGCCTTAAAACTGTATGCCGTAGATTTTTTGCATAATTATCAGACGTATTCCTTTTGTAGGTTCAAGCTTTGTAGAACCTCAATTAATTGCTTTTTGGTATAATCTTCTTGAAAATAAATGTCGTTATTATACATGTAGTTTTGGATTGTTGCTTTTGTGTCACATAAAGAAGGGGTTTTAGTCAACTGTCTAATGTGATAACTTGCATTGTCCATTACATTTATGCTATTAGGAGGAATGTTTGGAACTAGTTTGTTTTTACACCAACTTTCAAATAAGTCAGCGGTGGTGTCTTCATGGTAATGCAGAGAAGAATCTTTTATATTTTTCGCAGACAGAGAAAGTCTATTTGGAATCCAACCATCTTTAGAGCCAGCATGCAAAATAGTTATTCTTTTACCTCTTTTTGATGGCGCGTTTGTTTTACACTTATCAGTTGAATCAACCCAATCCTTTTCCGGGGTATCATAAGTGTCGAACCAGGTTTCATCCAAGGAAATTGGCCTTTTTTGTTCTTTGTACATCCTAATTTTTTCTAAATATTCCAGTCGCCATTTCTGAATTCTAAAAGATTCCATTAAAACTTGCCTTTTGTTAATTTTTTTATATCTAAAACCCATGTGTTGAATACACTTCCATAAGGTAGTTATGTCACATTTAACACCGTTTTCATGCTTTTCAAGCCTCCTAATTAAGATATATAATGTAGGCACGCTTTGTTCCTCGTATAACTGGTAAATTTTACGCCGTAATATATCTGAAATGGGATTATTCACAATTTTCCATACAGTTGATGTTGGAATTTTCGTCAATGTGGCCGAATCTTCTAAAGATGCTTGCTTGCTGGCGCCACGTTCAATGAGAGTCAAATAAACATTGTTCATAACTTCCTCGGTCTCAATAGAATAGTGTTTTCTACATTTCGGCGGGAGCATCTCCTGAGATCACTAAACTCGCACATATTTTGCATAATTCGCACACGATTTAACTCAGGCTGTATTACACATGAAATAAGAATGATTACTAATATACTTAAACTAAGTAGTATACCAAACTAAAGAATATTAAACACAAGTAGGTATAAAATTATTTTCTATTAGGGACCACAATTTTACCTGTATTTAAATTCCGAAACTTTAGGTAATAATCTTGTTGCATTGTATGTTAATGACCACCCTTGGATAATCCGATTCAAAAGCAATTGGTCACTTTTTTATATCTATGAACATGATCTATGATTGCGTGATTTGGACTATACACTAGACTTGTCAACTGGCTTGAATTGCAGGTTTTAATCATATTTCGTTTTTGTTTAGTTTTGTGACTAGTTTTGGTTAGTTTTCTATTCTCATTCTAAACCCGAATCAATGTTTCAAGAAAAAAAAAACTGACCAAAACAGAATTCTTAATTTCCCATCAAAAATTGAAGCAGATTCACAAGTGCAAAGTAAAATTGGGCTGCTCTATCCCATAGCGACAGAGATTTTCAACAACCCGAAAGTTTATGGGGGGTGTGCGCAAAAAAGCGCCGTTATCTTAAAAAAAAGACATTTGAAAATAATGCATCTTCCTAAGGTAATTTGTAAGTTTGAAAAAACCGAATAAATCTGATAACTGAATGAATTCCTGAATGCTGTTCCTTATAGAGACCATGATTTTGAAGATGAAAAAAACCTATTAGAAATTTAAAAAAAATGATGAAACCTGAGACAAAATTAGTTTTGGAAAGTGGAAAGTATCAAGTGGTCAAGCAGAAGAATTTTTTTCTTATTTTTAGAACATAAAATGGCCCCATATTATGATATACATACAGGGAGAAATTGAATCTGAAATATTTCATACATACTCTGCGTTGTTTCAATTTAAAAAAAATAAATTTTTCATTTATTTAGTTTAGCTATAAATTATACAGGATGTTGTCAAGAAATAGTCCAATCGAGATATATAAAATCACCTAAAGGACGAATATTTTAAATAGAGCGCCATACAAATTTTTATTATCTACTACTTCACTTAATTTAATTAATCGCCACTGGCTTAAAATTAAGTAGTAATTATATGAGTGTACTTATTCTCTTAAAAAATTGAACAGGTTGAAAAATTAATTTGGTCACACTTGAAAATCATGTATTTTATGTATTTTTTTACCAATACAATAATTTAAAACTAATTAAATTAAGTAACTTATTTGTATTATTTTCTACTATCTTTAATAGACATATTTTAGTAAACAAACTTTTAAAGTGACTAATATATCTTAAACCATGTTATGGAACCATATCCAAATACTAAATGTCCCGTTTAATTTGGTGCCTTTGTCGTCCTGTTCATACAATCAAAATCTGAAGAGGAGCTAAAACTGCCTTTGCAGGCACGTAGAGAACGTAGATGACACTGCAGAGATATAAAACAACCATCAGCTGCTAGAATTTTCATATTAAACTATGCCCTTAAACTTTTAAGGTGAAATTTCGATGTAAAAACCAAAAGTTTATAGGTATTCATGTTTGCTGTGAGTGTTTTCTGCTTTTTAATGTGGTTTAAAGCGGTATTATTCGATTTTTTTTGCATTAAAAGCTTAATTTTTGACCACAGGGCCCGGTGCTACCGTGCATCGCATCGTTCGTGTCTACTTGGATTCCATCGTTCGAAAGGACCTTGTTGGGGGCGATAGCATATTCGGGAAGCAACCTGGGAACGGTGTTGGGAAACATTTTTACCGGAGTTATAATTAAGCAGTGCGGCAACTGGCCCTCGGCGTTTTACTTTTGGGGAGGTCTCTGCGTAATTTACCTACTTCTACATCTGCTGTATCTTTTCTCGTCGCCCCAGAGTCATCCGTTTATCACCCCGGAGGAGCTGGATTATTTGAACAAATTTGCAAGTAAGTCGTTGGTTTTGACGAATTATTATGAATTTACTAAACAGGATCCCTTAGGGAAAGTACATGTTAAAATAATCTCACCGCTCATTTAAATGCCGGTATTTTTTATATCCTACGTTTTTTTTTTGTTAAATTTTATTTTCTAATTATTTCTGAATCGTTTAGTTTTAAGTTTTTTTCAACCGTCATATACAAATATGCGTGCGTTGATAATAATGTGTAAATGAAACTATAAAAACACAATATTCTCACAAGTTACAATTTTTTTTATTTTTTGTTTGCAACACAATAGGAAAATTAAAAAAACAATAAAACGAAATGTCCAAAATCTGAAAAATCAGGTGTCTACAGGTTGAAATGCGGATCTTGTCCTGAAATTTATATTGGACAAACAGGTAGATCCTTCAAGAAACGCATTAACGAACATAAAAGAGCGTTTAAAAACAATAGTCTAGATTCTAATTATGCTACACACTTAAACACAGAAAAACACATTTTTGACGACAATTTTGATATTTTACATACAGCCACAAAAAACAGAAAATTAAATTTATTGGAAGCCATGGAAATTAACAAAATGACACATTCAAATGTATTGCTTAACGATCAATTAGATTTAAATACCTTTCCTTTATTGAACTTAAATTCTTACAACAACATTAATTAAGGTTTTATGGCTATTTTTCGGTATATATATATATATATATATATATATATATATATATATATATATATATATATATATATATATATATATATATATATATATATATATATATATATATATATATATATATATATATATATATATATATATATATATATATATATATATATATATATATATATATATATATATATATATATATGATGACACTATATTCCGGGATATCATCCGTTCGCTCGTTGAACTCCGACTGGAATCCTGCATCCGACTGGAATCCTGCAGACGTTTCGCCAAAATCTCACTTGGCATCTTCAATGCTCGCGCTCCGAAAACACTTCGAACGAAGTGTTTTCGGAGCGCGAGCATTGAAGATGCCAAGTGAGATTTTGGCGAAACGTCTGCAGGATTCCAGTCGGATGCAAGATTTGCAGGATTCCAGTCGGATGCAGGATTCCAGTCGGAGTTCAACGAGCGAACGGATGATATCCCGGAATATAGTGTCATCACATTTTTCCATCCGTGAATCAATACGTGAGAATATATATATATATATATATATATATATATATATATATATATATATATATATATATATATATATATATATATATATATATAATAGCAGGTAGTTTGTAAATATTACATCTGAGAAAGACACGGTGTTGTCGAAACAATTGTCATGTCAAAATATATAATTTCTTGAAAATCTGAACTTTTAATTCTTATTTATAAATAAAATAAATAAATGAATTTTCATCAAAGTTTTTTCATCAGTTCAATCGTAGGAACTATGTTTCAGTTCAATTCCTAGTTAAATTATGTTGATCTCTTAGAGACTGCTTTGAATTGTTATCGCATATCGGTTTTCACGTTGCTTCGCGGGCAGTCAGAACATGTTGAAACTTCCTCCACAAACTTCTTGGTCGGAAGTCTATTCTTTAAAGCAATGGACATTGTTAATTAAAACACCGGCTCAATTTACTTTTGCGTTAAGAGTGATTCGGGTGATTATTGTTTTTCGGTTTTTTCGGAGTTTTGTTTTGTTTGTATATATATAAATTTCTTTATATGGTTGATGGTAACTATACTTAGGCAATTAATTGTCTTGCCATTGGATATTATATCTGTTAGACAATAAAGCTTATTATTATTATTTATTACCCGCTTGAAGAATAGCCTAATTTGTGTGGTTGTGTGGTTTGATTTTGTGCCATATCCTATGGATTTTAATTTCATAAGTAAATATTGTATTCTTGCAATGCATTGTCGGGAAACGAAGCTTGATCTACTTGATGGAACTAGGTAAGAAGAGAATACTGAAAATCCCCTGGGCCCAACTGTTTACAAATATGCCGTTCTGGGCCAACTGCGCCGGACAAATCGGCCACAATTACATATACTTCACGATGGTCACGTATCTGCCGACCTACATGAAGGAGATCTTGGCATTCGAGATCCAGTCCAACGCATTTTTCAGCGCTTTACCTTTCTTGGTGCTGTGGCTGTGTTCGTTGGGGCTAAGTTTCTTAGCCAAATGGGCGGTAGATGACAGAAAAATGTGCAGGCGCGGGGCCTTTAACAACATATTCGCCACCCTATGTAAAAAATGATGCGAACGCGTTTACTTTCAATAAATCAAGTTTTGCAGCGAATATGGGATCAGCGGGTTGCATCCTGGCCGCGGTGTACGTGGGATGCTCTAGGACCGGCGCAATAGGTTTCTACCTGTTGAGCATGATTTTTAAATCGTTCTACTACTTCACCATAACCGTGAACACTAATCAATTGTCGCGGAACTTTGGAGGTATAATTTTCGGAGTTACTAACGGCCTCTCGTCGTTGGCGGGTGTAGTTGGGAACGCCCTGATTGGAGCCATAACTAAAGATGTAAGTAAGAACAAAGCACACAGGTTTACTGAGAATAATAAATAATAATAATACGTAACGGGATTTGGGAATAATAACATCTATTCATGATTCTAACATCTCCATTAAAAAGTTTTTCACTAGCTTTTTCGAAGATTAATATTTCCAAGAGGTCACTTTATCAAGAATTAATTAAATAAAAAAAAATTCACGCCTCTAATTATTATTGTCTAAATAAATATGCCTATATTCTATCTCTCAGTATCATCCAATCACAATAAAAGCACGAATATCTATATTTTCGTCCTGATTTAGTAAAAGATATCGTCACAAAATAAAAGTGTTTCAGAAATCTGTCACTAGAGGGCTCTTTACCTAGGACATTTTTTAATTTTTCCTGTATTCTATTTAGTTTGGCTGATATTCCAAATAGAACAGCAGAATCCAAAATCCTCAAAAATTGTTACTCTTGTTTTAAGTCGTTATCGTTTAGCCACAAATCGACTTTTTTATTCACAGCACGAATATCCCTAATTTACCGAAAGGTGATACTGGATATCGCGATATGAATTGCTGTTACGGAAAACAAGAGTAACAATTTTTGAAGATTTGTGATTCTGCATAAGGCAATCTGTTCTATTTTGCAATATCAGTCTAAATAAATAAAATGCAGGGGAAATAAAAAAAATGTTCTAGGTATAGTGCCCTCTTCTAAAACATTTATTTAGTAACGATGACTACCATTATTTTAACCCGGTGAATCGTTCCTCCAAGTTTCCGAACACCCTGTATATATAAGTTTACGACGCAGAGAATACAACCTTATAATTTCAAAATATATCTTGATTATGTTGAACATTTTGAAAGATTTAGCAGCGCTTCGCCTTGTAACCTTTTTGGCTGATGCTAAACATGGCCTACTGGGTGACCAAAGTGTACAAACTACACACGAATCTCCCCATATAAATTTTCAAAATACTTTCTAGTTAACACTGATTTTGCGGTTTAATTTCAAATATTGGTTTATATTATGTTAAGTTAAAAGAGTGAGTGAACTCTGAAACTGGTCAACCAGATCACACAATTTGACGTGCTTAGATTTTCAACTAGGAAATCATAAATGTTTAATAATGTAACATTACTTTTCCAACACTGCTTCCTAGCCGTTCGGTAATAATTTCGGGTGGATGACGTCACGTAATGCTCGGAGCACTCTACCAGGGTCGATCAAAAAATATACCCGGCTGTGACCACAGAGTGAGATGAAAAATAATTTTGAGATTAAATGAAGTTAATTTGAGCGGATGTTTACAGTTAAGTTTATTAAAGAATTTTTTTGGTAGATACAAGAGAATGTACATTGAAGAGCCTTCAGTAAATGTATTTTGATTTCAATTTTTAGAGAAAACTATCACAGTGGCAGTCTGCATTTTGGATAACGTTGGGAGTCGCGATAATGACGTCAATAATCTTCGTCTTATTCTCATCAGCAGAGAGGCAAGACTTCGACTATGCGGAAGATGAGGAACACGAAATAGAATCTCCAACCAATTTATAAAAAATATAATTAATCTTTCATAACAAACTAAAACAATTGTGGGATTTTCTACAAAATACAATAAATCATTTGTACAGAACGATGGCGTTATGATCTTTATCAAGTTGATCGTCTAATTGTTGGGCGCTAGCTCCCACGGCACAGCAGATTTCATCTACAGTGTGAAGGCCAGAAAAACACTCCCGCAATTCGGGCTGATCACAGAGTATCACCGGGAACTTGTGTACTCGCCTTATTATTCCTTCGAGTATACCAAATTGCACTAATTTCCGCTCATTCACACGCAAATTGTAAAAGTTAAACCTTAAGCAAAGATCTTTGATTTTAGTGCCTCGGCTCATTGACGCATACATACGAAACACATCTCGAAGTATTGGCAACTGACGTTGAGATCGCGCCACATAATGCAGACACCTGAACTACAAAGATGTTACCCCCGATATGGTAGAACAAACCACTCCTTACCTGTAATTCACTATCTTGTGCTAAAAATTTTAATTTTGAAGTTGCACAATACACATTTCCATACATAAATACAGGAATTAAGGCGACTACATCATAATACAATAAGTTCTGAACACAAGCTTTAACAATATTGGTGTCCACATCTGCCAGACAAGCTATTTTTGCCACATGATTGTAACCATCAATGTAAGGTGCTACTTGTTGAGTTGTTAGGTCCCAATGCATTTCGGGTAATGTTTTTATGAAAATTGGTACTTGATGCTCCAGGACCACCTGGGGATCTTTACGTATCTGGCAAACTTTTAGGTAAGTTGCCATTGGACCTTCAGTTAACGCACATTCTCCTAAAACATTAAATTAGCAACTAGAGGCGATGATCAGAAAAGAATTAGAACAATATTCAGAAAAACAAAATGTTTTGCACTTAACCTTTATTATTTAAGTCATTCATAACTTTCTGCAAAACTGGCATTAGGTTACTGCTTGAATTTCTACTTGAGAGAAAGCAACATTCCATTTCCATCCCCAATAAATATTCTGAAAACTTTGTAACGACAGTTTCATATTGAACAGTTCTGGCATCACTATCACAAACAAAGCACAAATTAAACAGAAAGGCATTTCTAGCATATTTTTTATTGTCAATTCGGACAGGAAATCCCAAAATCTTGTAATTTTCTAAGGTTCTAGAAATGCAATAAAAATGTAGAGCTTAATCACATTTTTAAAATACAAACTTACACGGTGATGGTGCTTCTTTGTAGATCTGCCTTTGTTATAATGTAAACATTAATACTATCAAATAATTCTTTAGATATAAAGTTTTCGGGAACCTACGACTAGATTAGTAATGCACGAGAAGTCAAACTGTGTAAGCCCCTACCTGACAAGAAATTATAGGCCCCATAGTATGATGAAATTCGCAGAAAAATATAGCCCGAATAGGGCCTTCTTTTCCCTTGCCCTCGTATCGAGGTGTAATGTACCGAATTAAATCCATAATTTACTGTGCCGCGTCATTTTCTGTAAAACAAGCAGCTTTGCAAACATTATAAATCCAAAATCCATATACCTGATTCCATCCAGGTTATGTGTACATTGAATAGATTTCTGCTTTTATATTCCTAAATTCTCTCTTAACATAATTGGCCCATTACATTATTATCTTTCACCGAAAATTAGGAAAGGGCACTTGTAATAGCATGCAAAAATTTTGTTTATTGATCCATAGTTGATTTGCATTTGTACTAATCGTGTCTTATACCAAAATAAAATTCTAACCTCTAAATAACAATAATATTAACCTATTGTGTAATGACGTAGGTATATTATTTATAGGTAATTATTCTCCTTCGTTATTTGACGAACTTATTTCTGAACATTGCTATTGTTTTGTTTCGTGTCCCAAGGCAGTGATTCAAAAGGAACATTTCTGTGTTCAATAAACAATTTCCATTGTTTGGTCTGTGATCTGTCACTGGGACGAAAGTGAGGTTATAGCAAAATCAAAATCCTGATTCTTAGAAATTAAATTACAGGAAGAATTGAGTTGTGGAGCTTAGGAATGAACCGTGTTAAATTCAGTACATTTTATAAAGTACGACAGTTTTGTAATATTAAAACACCAGTACAAAATTTAGAGATAATAAAACAGCTAGTACCAAAGGATCCTGTAAAATCTAAGATACAATCTGAAAGGCTGCCTGCAACAACTAAAATCGATTCTGATACCATTGCTCTTATTGAGAGGCTATCCCTAGTTGATTGTGCTAACAAGAAAAGCATTGAAACTTTGGAAGCTGCTATTAAATTTGCTGATCAGATTCAGCAAGTTGACACTGAAGGTGTTGAGCCTTTAGTAACCGTTTTAGAAGACTGGTAAGTTATGTTATACAGAGTGTTTGCAGTGAGAATGGCTCAAGCAAATCTAAAGCAGTGCACAGTGTGATAAAAAAAATCTAGTGGCTGTCACTACTTAAGGCATTTCTTATTCCTTTATTTGACATTGGTCAGTTGAGTTACACTATATGCATTTAATGTGTGGGCGTGCAATAGATTTAGTTTTTTTTATTTTTTTATTTTGAAACACCCTGTATTTAGAATCGAAATAAATTTAATTAACATGGTTTATAGGCCATTGCAATTGAGGGAAGATATAGTAACCGAAGGAAATTGCAATGAGGAAGTATTAAGAAACGCATCTCTTACAGAAGACGAATACTTTGTAGCTCCACCAGGGAACATACCTTTAGCAGCAAGAGACGATTTATTATTTGAGAAAGAAAAAAAATAAAATGTTAAATACAATTATTAGTTTATGTGAGAAACGGGGCTTTTTAAGAAAGTTGATGCTGCCCAGATTAAATGCCGAGCAATTTAAGTTTGGGCCGACTGGATTGTTGTTACGGGAAATTTTAAGAACTGAGTGGTTTTATAGTTTAGTTATCAATAAGGATATCAGTATTTTTCTATCTGATGAGAATTTCACGGAAACTTACAATTTTGCCAGAACACTTTGCATGGACAAATTACCATTTGGTATTGCTGAAATTGTCGAAAATAGAAGACACACCTCGGATGGTGAGCTCATCGCATATTATAATAGCATAATTAAAAATGGAGATATAAATTTTGCCAAGTTTTTTAATAAAGAGGACCAAGCGCTACTAAGGTGTACAGTTTTTACTCCTGCTACAGATTCAACTCAATTTTTCCATCAGTGGCAAAGACAGAGGAGAATATGGTGGCGCAAGGTACTCTTAAGATAATATGTGAGTTCGAGGTGGGTCAGTTAATTTTTTAGTGTTCTCTGAATCCAGGGCGATATCGCCTGACAGACATTAAAACGGATGATTCGCAGATGCAACATGTCGATATTTTGGCAGATTATCCTTGGAATTCTCAAATCCTGGAAACAATAGTGCTGCATCCTTCGCCAAAAAAAATAAATAAAGTGCAATTACAAGTAAGTTTTTATTAAAACAAAAACACACAGTTTTTTTAAGTGCTGTTACAAGTTTATGGATGGGAAACGCAAAGTGGAAGCTCATGCTGTGGTTAGTGAAATAAATATGGCCGTAATGTTCTTGAATACCATTTGTGATGCGTTTGATGAGACAACATTTAACGCTAAGTCTCGGACATTACTGAGACTTCATAGGAAACTAGCCCCTTACAAAATAAGTTTTGCAGTTTCCGGCACAAGTAAGTGTTGACTATTTTTGGGAAAATATTTGCTCTTGTCAGGTACTTATTATTTAAGCTTCAGCTGTTGTGTCTGAATTGAAAGATCTTGCTTTGTATCTCACAAAACAGCTCAGAGTCAATCATGTGTCCACTTTATATCTCCCGAATAACTCAAAATTGACGTTGGAGGCACAATGGAAACAATATGATCAGCTCGGGATACCTTTCAATGTGCTTCTCAATGAGGGCACTCTAAAGGATGGGGTTGCTTATCTAAGAAGCCGAGATACCACATTAAAAGTGGGTAAGCATAAAGTATCTTAAAATTGCATTTAGGTTGTTTTTTTCAGGAGCAAATTCACATCACCAATCTCGTGGATTATGTAGAGAAATTATTTAAGAATTACTAAGAGTGAGTGTATTATTTTTTCAATACATTTTTATCTTGTTTTTTTTTTAATTTTAATTTACAAATATCTACGGTTTATTGACTATTTAAGAATTGATTATTATCAGCCCTCAGCATTTTAGCAAAGTAACTGTCTTTATTTCTGATTAGGGTTTCGGGATCATTAAATTCTGCTATTTCACCTTTTTCCATAACAATTATCTTGTGACAATCTAAGACGGACTTAAGTCTGTGCGCGATGATAAGCACGGTGCAATCACAAAATTGTTCCACGATTACTTTTTGCACCAGGATTTCTGTTTCTGGGTCCATGTTAGACGTGGCCTCATCCATAACAACAATCGTGTTCTTTTTAATCAATGCTCTGGCAAGAGAAATTAGCTGCCTCTGGCCCGTTGAGAAATTGAGACCATGCTCTGTTATGGTTAGTTGTAGACTGTGAATTTGGTCTCTCATGTGCACTTTTTCGAGGGTTTGCCAGATTTCATCGTCGGTATAATAATTAAAAGGATCGATGTTTTGTCTAATTGTACCTGAAAACAAAATCTAAATTAGTATGATACAACCACATAGCTAGAAGATAATATAGTGGCCCTGCTAGGGTAACAAAAATTGATGCACCGCAGGTGATTTTTTCGTGCGTATGCGTCACCTCGCAATATTAATCTCTGAAATCCGAACATAATTGGCAACGCAGAGCTAAGCAATTACTATTTTCCTAGAACAGTATGTGTCCGGTGCCATGGTTGTTTTCATTTTTGGTGTCAATATTTCTAATAGCAAACTTGTATAATTTGTGTTTTCAATACTTTGTTCTTTCACGAAATTTCAGCAAATGTGAGGACCTAACAGGATCTTAGAGAAACAGTGATGTCTATATATATATATGACATTTAACAAACTGGAAAATAGACTTATACAAATATTTACATGTGAATTTACTAAACACAATTCCCTACATTTTTAGGTGCGCTTAATTAGCTGTAGGAAGGATGTTTTGGTAATGTGTTTTAGTGTACAAGAATTACAGGAAATATAAGAAAGCATAATTAAGCTACAAGCTGAATTTTTACTAGAATAATAATAAGAAATATTCCAATTATTGTCTATAGGAGGTGCTTTTGAACATTTTTTCATTTAGATGTTGCATGTGCTATATCTTTGCATGCAGAAATTGCATCCTATCTTGAAGAACAAATACGCTAAATTAATTACAGAATTATACTGATGCCGACGTGGGGGCTTCAATTCTACACTGGTTTTCCAGGCCTTAACTCCTTTTTTGCCTAAATATATACTGCAAATATCGACGATCTGTCAGCGGCCATGTTTGTTGAAAACCGAAAAACGAAATTTTAAATCTCGCGCATGCGCACGTTGAATGGACCTTCTCAACAAAAAATTACATAGTTGCTTCATGAGTTCCTGTATTGTCAGCATAGGCAGGGCCCCTATATGTTTAGTAGCTATATGGATACACCCCCCCCTCACCTCACCGAAGACACCAAAAACTGCGGATTCTGCAGGCAACAATCGACCCGCACCACGGCATCAATACTTAATGAAAATTTTCTTTTTCTCTTTCTGCGGTTGGATTTCCCGTATGTACTTACCTTGAAATAGTAATGGCTCTTGCGGAATAATAGAAATTTTGTCTCTTAGCATATCAAGCGATAACGTTTTAGTGTTCACTCTGTCGATAAAAATTGCCCCATCGAAGTTGTATAGCCTAAATAACGTCGAAATTATCGACGACTTTCCTGCTCCCGTGCGTCCTACGATTCCGATTTTTTGTTTCGGCTGCACCGCGAAACTCAAATTTTTTAGCACTTTTTCTTCTTTATACGCGAGGTACACGTTTTGGTAGACGATTTTGCCGTCAGACGGCCAATTATCGATTTTTCTGCCTTCGTATCGATCCTGCGGCACCTCGGTATACTCCAGAACCCTCTCCACGGCAGTCATGTTGTTCTCTACGTCCGACCAAACCAACAGCACCCATTGGATGATGTCGGCTAGAGATGCCGCTTTTGTGATGGCTAAACCCGCGTCAGCCGATGACGTATCTGAAAATAAGGCTTTTCAGCTTGACCTATTTACAAATATTACGTGCGTTTGTTCAAAATTGGGGTAGTTTTTAAACCACATGAAAAAAAAGTGCCTTTCCCGATTGCCAGAATAACTTATGGTATTTATACTCCTTCCATTTTGGGTTTTATATGCATTTTATGAAAAATAAGATAGAAAAAAACACTGCACTGTATATTGTAGAGTTATTTTAAAAAACAACTGCAAATGTTGTCGATACAATTGTCATGTCAAAATATATAATTTCGTGAAAATCCGAACTTTTAGTTCTTATTTATTTTGAATTCTTACCAGCAGTTAAAACTAAATACTCAAACATTCAATTTGGAAGTTGTTTTTTAAATACAATATATAGCGCCGTGTTTTTTTCTATCTTATTTTGCATAAAATGCATATAAAATCCAAAATGGAAGGATTAGAAATACCATAAGTTATTCTGACAATGGGGAAAGGCACTTTTTATTTCATGAAAATCTGAACTTTTGGTTCTTATTTATTTTGATAAATGGATTTTCGTCAAGTAAAAGCCACATCAGTTCAATTTCTGGTAAGAATTTACTAATAACAAAATTAATGTAAAAATAAATTATCATTGTAAGATATTTAATACTATAATACTAAGATTCAATAGAGCTGAAAAGTTAATTTTTAATTACAGATTTTAAGTAATACGTTAGAAAAAATAATTAAAAAAAAAACGATTAGTTAAAGGTGGATATTAAGTTCGTTTCGTTAAACATCCCATTTTTGAAGATTTTGTTTAAGTATGAAGTTAGTCATGATTCTCATTCAAAATAATATAATCAAGTGCATTGAAAAAATGAGGTGGGGTTTTGTCACTCTTTGGCCTGACCTCGTATGGTTATTCTGAGAGCGGTATTAAATTATATGAAGGTCTATCAAATCAAAAATCAATCTGAAATATTTTCGATTACTAGATTTATTGATTTTGTGTAGTTTCTAGTTAATGCAGTTTTTTTTAAACAGAATTTGAACTAGCCTAAAGTCTTGATGAACTAGTAGATACTACATTTTTTAAACATCGAATAGTTCCAAAAAACACAATTTCGCGGTACTCTGTGAAAACGCGAAGACTTAGCTAACTAGACACCCCAATCCGGCTAAACTTCTTAGCGGATTATATTAAAATTTTCAACACCTTGGTTAATATGGTTTGTTTATTGTATTTGGAATTTAAAATAATGAATGGTTTGTTATGCCTTTTGCAATTTTCGCTTGTCCTATTCGGAAAGTCCCAGAGGTTCAAAAATTGCCGACTTTTATTTACCTCCTCCAAAAAATAGAAACTTCGATATTATCAAGGTCACAAAAAAAATTGACAGCGAGTTCATGGCGAAATCAAATGCCCTCCTTACGGCGAACGTCATAAAGTGGGCGGAGGTGTAAAGATCCTGATGCCGATCGAACTCTTCTTCGAGGAGTTTTTGCACTTTGTTGGCCCTGATCGTCGTCACGCCTTCCATGGAGGCATTCAAATGTCCAATTAGTGGGCTGCGAACTAAAATAATTTTGTTTTCGCTGTAGCTAAATCTAGTTATGCAGAGTATGTCAGTTTATTGTATTTATGTGAAATTATAATATATATTTTCAAAATGTCTTCTTTTAACATAACCATTAACGTGAAATGAAACAAAAATTTTTAACGAAAAAATTGGTATATACAATTCTTTTTTTTTAAATTTGTATATGTATAAAAATAAAACATATGTTTGCATTTTTATGTAGTTTCAACAAAGATACCTAATATAGGGGCCCTTCTACGGACATGCTTCTGCGTTTAACCTACAAACCTGGAATTTACGCCATTTCCTTTCTTTTCCATACACTTAACTCGTTTTCCTAAAACATTTAACGGCATATTTTGAGAAAATACTGCCGTAAAAATTCGAACTTATTGACGATATGTCAGCAGCCATGTTGGTTGTTGAATGTCGCAAGGTTATTCGTTATAAATAAGATTGTAAATCACGCGCAAAAATTTTTCATGATTTATAAGTTATACGTTCCTAGGCATGACCTGTATATTTCTGGTAGCTTGAATTTTAGTTTTTAATTTTAAATAAAAGATGAATAGAAAGCGACGTCATTAGTTTTAGTCTCAACTAAATCAAACCGGTCTTTTCACACTCCTGCGTGTCTTGGAAAATGAACATTTTTGAGCTCTATACTAACTTCCTGTGGTTGAATTTAAAAATATCTTGGCTGTTTCATTAAACTGATATACCCTGTAGGTCTGGATACGGACGGTAACTGAAAATAGAGAACTCACCGGCGGAGGCCAGCCTTTTTAAGCTACGAGAGGTGGGTATGTAAACGGATCTTAATGTCATCAAGCAAATAACCAAGCCTAAGGATGGTATCATGAACTGCCAGTTCACGCTCGCTATTAAAATCCCAACGCCACCTGCCGCTAGTATCGCCTGAAAGTTTTAGTTAGTTGGATTACAAAATTTTTTATGCAACACGAATGAATCTACCTCAGAATCGACATAAAATGTCTTTCAAAAGTCATATTTACCGACAAGATTCTGCGACACAGGTACATACAGATGCTAGCCAGCATGGCTATGGGGCGTGCCTTATGCAAAAGTCGAATGACGATGGAAAATTTCATCCTATATACTACATGAGCAGAAAGACAACACTGACAGAAAAGCGCTACAGTAGTTATTAGCTTGAACTGTTTTTGTAGTGATCAGTGTAGTGAAAAAACTTCGAGTTTATTTGCTAGGAATAAAATTTAAAATCGTAAAGGTTTAACTTGTGTTGCTAGAGGGGCTTTACTACTAGAAGATTACATGGGTCATAAATAGATATCTTGTGAAGAAAATGGCATCGTTCAAAGACTTCTGATAGCTCAGGAGCAAGATGAATTTGTGAAAGCTACTTGAAAAATAGTCCCTACTGAAAACTACCACAGTTTTGTACCAAAAAAATGACATTTTATGTAAGTATGACGATGAGCTAGAATTAGTAGTAGTTCCTAAACCGAAATAATAAGGAAACCACATGAAATTGGATATTTCGCTGTCTCCAAGGAGAAATTTTAAAAAGAGAATTCTACATTCTAAAATTAATGGAAAAAGGTTCAAACTTGTATTAAGAGTTGTGAGACATGCACATCCGGAAATATAACTAAGGGCGAAGGACCACTTAACACGTATCATATAGACCATATTAGGACCTCTACCTTCCACTAACAAGCACCAGCACATTTTGACTGTAATGAACTGAAGTTACAGCAGAGAATATTTGGTAATCCAGCTAGAATTATTTCGGACAATGGGTCAGCCTTTACCTTAAAAGAGTTCCAAGAATATTGCAACGACGAAGGGAGCGAGCACTACCCGAGTGCCAAGGGGAAACGGACTGAAAGAATCAATCGCATTATAATTGTAGTTCTCTTTAAATTAAGTACATTGATAGAAGTAACCAATCTTATGTCGAATGAGCGCTATGACTTGATGAAAATTGGCAACACTGTAGGGCCGTATCGAATATCAACTTGTGCCCAATTTATGAAGTCATTCTTAGCAGGGCGGCCGAGTGTAGATAAAATATCATATCCTTTAGTTTAGTTTCGCCAGCACGGAATTTCTTTGTTTGTTATTTCTACATGCAGTTATAGAAGGCTATGTTTACATTATTTCCCTTAACGGACGCGAGGCGGAATCAAAAGGGGGCCCCTTTGCGGTGGTGTCTGGAGTTCGGGACTAGTTTTTGAATGGTACCGACGAAAGGTTAAAAGTAGATCCCGGCCTTTGAGCACGGGTATTAGGTATTAGACGAAAAAGACGTAAAGAATGTAACGCGGAAAGTCGGGCTGCTTACTTTTTTTCTTTAAAAAGAGGAAATGCGGGGTCATAGCCTAATTGTTAGGGTGGCTTCCCACGGCCCGTGTTTTTGCAGGCCCGGACGCGCCGGCTCGCGCCAACGCGCCGTAGGAAGACGGTCGCCTGAGGTGGCGCGAGGAGGTGCGACGGATCCGCAGCGAATCGGTAAATTCAAAGGCGCGATCCGGCGCGGCGCGTTCTTGCCTGTGCAGACCCGCGTTATGGAATACAAAAAGTGACCGTCATAAAAACCGAAACAAGCAGCACGCGGAGTCGTATTCAAGATAAATTAAAAGACAGTATTGGTGGCATTACGATTATGTATGACAGCGGCTGCGGCAACAGTTTTTTCTTCTTCCGACATTACTGATAATCACCAAAAACAAGTTGTTAGCAATCACCAACCCCGAACACCAGTAAACACAAACATATGTAGACAGCTGATTTGTTTTGGTTAGTTGTTCTTGAGCACAAACACGCCGCGCCGTGGGAAGAGTTCCGCCTGAAGCCCGTTCCGATCCACGCGCTGCCCGTTTTTGCGTAGCGGCGCGGCCCGGTCTGTAAAATTACGGGCCGTGGGAAGCCACCTTGATTGTTCATATACCAAGTGTCGACGAAGTAGTTGTCGAGGTGCAGCGTGAGTAAGGGAAAATATAATTAATTGTCCACAACGTCGGGCTGTATTTCTTTCCTCATACCCTTAGACTAATGATAAACCAAGCTACAGTAACTACGAAAAATCATACCAAAGTTAGAAGTGTGTATTATGCCCTGTTTTCTCATGTGTTATTATACTTATATCTATGATAATCTTAAAATAAAAGAAGTCGTTTATGTCGGTTTCGTAACTTACCGAGATGGCCATATTGATACTAGCCGGCAAATGTTCGTCCACCGTGGTCAGATCTTGAGAGAACCGATTCAGTATATTACCGATGAAATAAGTGTCGAAGAACGACATTGTGGCGGTTGTCAGTTTCTCGATCATGGTGTTGTGCAGATTCACCGATGCCTTCCTCGAGAAATTCACAAACATCAATTGCTTGGTCAAATCTACGAACACGGAAGCGCAGATCATCACCGTGTACAACTTCAACAACCAACGCGCTTGGCTATGTAATTTATCAGCCGTGGAGCTCCCGGAAATTGATTGGTTTGCAAATGCATCGCTGTGTAACAAGGCATTGCTGTTTGTGTTGGTTGGCGTCGGGCCGATGATAATATTGGTTAAATTCTGTTCCACGTTGATCCTTAAACGGAAAGTTTGTGTTACAGTTCCTAATGTGAATTGAAGTAATTCGATTTTTACATTATCAAATGCACAATTGAACAGTTCAGTCCCTTAACAAAAGAGCTATCCAGAAATAGATGAAAAGTTGGGACCAAGACAGACCAAGGAATTCTTATTAAATTTGATTCTTCTTTTAAAAAAGTACCTTAACTTTCTGGAAAATGACTCAGTCCACGAAAGAAAAGAGCCCGTAAAAAGAATCGGCCTATTTCGATCGATTATAGGTAAAACAATAGAACGAAAACTGGGAATGAAAATATTACCAAAAGGAGCTTAACGAAGAAAGAGTATGTACAGAAATTTATCTCCAAGACCATATTCCACTTAAAGAAAATCCGTTCATGTCACTAAGCACTAAAGTCACTGAGACATAAAAAGGTTGGATTACGCCAATTCATAAAAAGGGACAAAAACACGCATGCTGTATCTATTGATGCATTAGTGTCAAGCACGTTCAGTAAATTATATGAAAAGCTACTCAAACACATTTTAGAAAACAGAATATAGCCTCTTGGAAATAGAGGAACAAGGAGGATCTAGACATTTTGGGCCTTACAGATTACCAATCCAGCGATGAGAATCAAAATTGGTAAGCCGCTGTGTGAACCTCTTAGGGTGACCAAGGGATTACCTAAATCTTCAAGAAATATTTGCCTATGATGTTGATGATACAAAAACTGGGGTCTCCAGATAAACATATGTGACATATTGGCCGAATAATGAAAGGCAAGAAGGCTATTGAACCGCTAAACCCTCATTCTATGCTCTAAGAATATACCAGGGATTATAAAATCTGTTACATATCTTAAAAGAAACGACTTCATTCAACAGAAATGGACTTCAAGAGTAGGTCTCCCGACTAAAAGGAACTAGAATGTGTACGGAATAGTATATTATGCAACAAGTGCGGTAAACGGCATTTGACTGACGAGTGTTTAATAAACGAGTATAATTTTTCTACGACCGTTAGTTTTTGGGTACATTTTCGCAAAACAACACGAATATATTCACTGACATGACCGTCAGAATTCACAAACGTCAAAATTCAGGGCGTGGGAAATATCTCCGAAAACATCCGACTGCTCCCAAACCCGTGATGTAAAATCCCGGAAATCTTCAAAGTGGCTCGGATCCGTGGGAAACGAGACTGAGGTGGTAAAGTGACGCTTCCCGCACGCTAGATCGTATTTTATATACTGGAGTAGAAAAATATATTATCGTCCATGTGGTGAAAATGTCAAATTACTCAATAACGCAAATTAGTAATGCAATGAAGGCGAAAATCAGATGTTCGTCGGTACAAGGGATCTCCAAATTGCAATCTCAACAATGGTGATTATTATAATGGTTGAGATAGATGGATGATGTGAACCAGAAAGCGTAAAAGAATGCTATAGACCGCATGTATTTAATTCTTATTTTGCTTTCTGTATTTGCTAAATTAATAACTATAATAATAATAAAATGTTGTCAGGACTTTCAAAAGTTCAACCGTCCTGTAGGCCAAACAAGCTTACCAATTGGTCAGTAGCCTCGTGGAGTAACTCTCGGTGAACTCCGAGCCGACGTAGAGCAAAGATATCACCGAGAAAAACAAAAACCCACCGCCGAACTTGAAATATTTTTTGTACACGGTCGCGTCCACTTTGCCTTCCTTCTTCACCTCGCTGTACACTTTCTTTTTGTCCAGCGTCCTCTTTAGCAACCCATCGGTTTCGTTTTCATTCGCTTCTCCGTCTTCCGTTTGAGCTTCCTTCTCGGCTTCCAATTCGATTTCGTGTAGCAGTTCGTCACTGACGTCTTGAGGTGTTCCGGAGTATGCGATTTCGCCGTGACTCATCACCACTAGACAGTCGGCATTGTTTTTATGCTTCGTGTTATGAGTCACCAGAGCGCACTGTTTGCCCCTTAAAAAACCCCTGATACAGTTTTGGTAGATGTAATCTTGTACCCTCGAATCCAACGCGTGGAGAGGATCGTCTAGGAGATACACGTCGCTGTTTTTGTAAACGGCTCTAGCTAGATTCACCCTAGCCTGCTGACCGCCGCTCAGGTTCATTCCCCTGTCAGATACGATGGTTTCGTCCCCTTTCTCGAACAAATTGAAGTCGTATTCGAGGGCGCACACCCTCACCACTTCGTTATATCTGCGTTCGTCGAACGGTTCGCCGAACGTGATGTTCTGTTTTATAGAAGACGGAAACAGCCACGGATCTTGCGAACAATAAGAGAACGTCCCCTGAGACGCTATCTTCCCTTCGGACAGTTCGAAATCTTTCAAGAATAACTTCAAAAGTGCACTTTTGCCGCACCCCAGCGGACCCGTGATAACTGTCAAGCCGGAACCGAGCTCTAACGTCACGTTCTTCAAAATCTCTTTGTCACCTATAGTTACGCAGGCGTTGCTAAGTTTTAGTTTTGGCTCGTTGGAGTTGGCGTCGTCGTTTTCGCTCAACTCGTCGCTGTTTAGCACTTTGTTGATCCTTTTTAGGGACGCGGTCACCTCGGCGGCCCTGCCCAAACCGTCGGGGATGATGTAAGCGACAGCGAACCGTAGATCGTTGAAACACCGGAGGACGTAGAAAATGATTTCCGCGTTTGCAATTTTGTTGAAGTATATGTATGCCATGATCAGAAAATAGAAACTGATTTTCGTGGTGAAGAGACCGGCGACGAAGTTGAGCGCCTTTAGGTAGAAACACTTCATGAGGTACTTCATTTCCATGCTGCAAATGAGAAAGTCTCGACCATTTGCATTAACTCGGAAAACTCGCATACTCACGCCCTTTTCTCTTCCACCTTTTTTGCGAAGATCGTCTCCCACGTGTACATTTTTATCGTCTTGATGGCCGACAATATTTCCTGGGTCGTCTGAAGGCGCTCGTCGGTTTTGTGCGTCAGTTCCAATCTTAAATTTTTAATTTTCTGACCAATATAAACTGAAATAGACAAAACCGTATCGATTCAATTAAATAATCGCGACTAATTGCTCGAAACCTAAAATTTTATATTGTTTTTCGTCACAAATCCTACTTGAAGTTACTGTTCAATTCAAAAAGTACGGAATTTGTCTGAAAAAATTTTCTTTGCAATAAGTAGTGGACGAGCTGATTTTGATCGGAATTTCATCAAATTTTACTAATAAAGGTGGAGTGTCACTAGTCTTTTGTTTTTGTATCACCGTTAACCCAAAACTTCAGGTTTAAGGATATCTGCAGGTTTTATGAAGTGTTAGGCACAAAAGCTAATTTTTACTGTCATTTCATCAAAACCTCCCAAAAAGGGTGGAATTTCACTACTCTTTTGTTGTCTTTTAGTCAAAAATCTTCCTTGAAGATACTATTCAACTCAAAAAGTACGGGTTTAAGTCGATATATGTAGGTTTGATACAGTTCTCATTTTCTTTGAGTGATGAATAAACTAAGCTTGATTGGAATTTCATCGAAAACTACAAAAAAGATACAGTTTCAGTAATTTTTTGTTTCTTCTTTACTTTGCAACATTCAGGTTTGAAGAAATTTTCGTTACAACAAACTGTAAAAGAGCTAATTGTCACTGACATTTCATCAAAATCTACTAAAAGGGGTGGGTTTCACTAGTCTTTTGTATTTGCGTCAAAAATCCTCCTTGGAACTACCATCAACCCAAAACCTGAGATTTTAGGTAGACATCTGCAAGTTCGATGGAGTTTTTTGACTGGGATTTATACATACATATTTATTAATTATCACTTTTTTGGCATAAAACCTTTTAGTCAGTAGTATTCGCCTAGTTAACGTTTGTTATCAAACTGATTAATTTTCTCAAATTCAACATGAAGAAATTATACAGAGCGATCTAGATTGAACATCCTATCAAAACTTTTAGAGAACTAAAAAATATATTTAGAAAAATTAAGTTATGTTAAAATATATAACAACTATATAGATTTATTTATTAGGTTACTTTAACTAAAATAATTTTTTTTTAGAAACGCGAAATAAATTATATATTATAAATTATATATATAATATATTATATATCGCAGGGTTCACAGATCCTGAAAAGGACCGGTAGATGCTTTGCTGACATGCTGCAAACAGTTGCTCCTTTCTTTATAAGCAAAGGGCGTAGTTTTTGAAAAACGCACCCTCGTTGAAAAAAAAATACAAACCTTTTATTTAGGGACAGAAATTATATCAGCCTCTTATTTTAAATATGCATTTTCAGCTATGCCATTCGTATTTATGATAAAGTTTTTAAGAGTACTACCTCCCCCCGATTTTTGTTGCACTATTTCAATAACACCTTGTATATTTCAGAATTATGATTATGGTAAAAAAAAGAAAAAAAAAACAGCGTTGCAGATAGGTCGAGCCAAACCGAAATTGTCTACAGAAGATATATTCTTATATTATTTTAATTGATTTTATAAATGTGGATTATAAAACGAAATGGCTATTGTAATTTAGTCCTACGGTTTCGTAAATTTTTAAGAGGAACAATACTACGCAAAAGTATACCTTATGTTTGTGATGAACTGATGTGCGTGCTTACGATAAAATGATCTAGGTACTGATCCAATTGGCAAAACAAAATTTGTAACTTACCTTGTATAGGTATCACCATCAACAAAATTCCAACCCCAACGAAACTCGAAGCACCCATCTTGTTATAAATTAGATAACTGACCAGGGTTATCCTGGTGAACTCGAACCACACGTCATTCACCATAAAGATTGCCTGTTCGAATACCAAGACATCCTTCGTGATTACCGTTATTATGTTGCCCAAACTTATTTCGTTCATGGCAGCAGGCGTTAATCTCAACGCTTTCCTGTAGACCATAGAGCACAGACAAGTTCTGATTTGAATGGCCAATTGTTGCAGAAATATGATGTAGTTTTGGAATGAGAAAATGTTTAGCAATTTCACACCAATCAGTAAGCCAGCGTAATATAAGGCATCTTGGTACGTTAGGGCCACTTGTGCAGGGTTGAAATAGGATACTAATTTGCCGATGGCTTCTGGTTCGATGATACTGAAATTAAACAGGTAATTTCAAAGGTGGGAACGTGAGGAAGCTACATTCATAGCTTTGTCATGCAACCAATGAATTTAAATTACACACACAGGGACAATTCTAGACATTTTGCTTTTTTTATTTGGAAATCAAAACAAACTATTTATTTTTTTTATATCATTGTATCTATAATCAGAACTGAAAGCTTTATTGGTGTAATTTATAAGCATACATTAGTTGCACGTTTTGGGGTTGTGCTTTACAATTCCATTTCCCACCTGGATAAAGCCTTGGCGGACAACCTCATAACGCCGAGTAAGAGGTATCTTACACCGAAACACTGCCACATCAAACGTATCAACGACGGTTGCTTGCGTTCCTTTTCTCGGCGCCATTTTCGTTCGAATTTGTCCCCGTTTTTCTTTGCCTGGCAGGGCTCGATTACTTCATAGATGTCGTCTTCTATCAAGTCTTTTTTCCAGGCTTTTCTGAATAATTCGTAGGTATAACTGCAAGAGCGAAACCGATTGTTGGGTATATCTGTAATGCGGTGTATTTATATCGATACTTCTAAACCATTATTTACAGGATAAAAACCTGAGGTATTTGTAAAAATTTCATATCTCATTTAAAAAATTGTTTTTTAGTAAATATGTGACAATTTTTCTCTCTGGAAAGGTTATTGCGATCTAACCACAGAATCAGAATTCTATTTTTAATAAATATTGACTTGCTAAATGTATTTTAGACTATAAATCTTTGACTATTTTGATGAATACACGCTATTTGACTATGGTATTTGCTCATACAATAATGTTATAATAATAATATTTATTTTTGCATCTATAAATAATATTAATTCAATATTAAACAGAAATTGCACACCAATAATATGGTGTGCAACAAACAGATTGACTGAAGCCAATTTTAGACTAGAGGATTTTGATTTCGCTTTAAACTTTAAAATATACTTAAATTATAGATATAAAGAAGTACCAACAGTAAGATTGGAAAATATATAATTGTAACTATAATTCAAAGCGCGACGAAACTCTTTTTAATTTCGGAAGCACCAAAAAATATTTTCTTTATGAAATTTAATTTGAATGTCTTGTACTGAACAGGGATGTTATGATATAGGTGATACATTAGGTAGGTGAAACTTCTCTCAAACATAGCTGACCTGCTATGCGGGTGAATAAATAACCCACATAATCTTAAGGTTAAGTTATCAATGTAACACTACAGGAAAAATCTACATACTTTAAAATTGCAAGAAGTAAATAAATGGGGGTGAATGATATCAAATAGTTTTGAAAAGTTCAATATAATTATCATTTGCTCTAAAAATCCAAATATCTCGTATTCTCTGTGTTTAGACTAAGGAAGGAACTTATTCCAGAAAATCATATGTTCGTCCGTAACATATACGTATGATATACGTATCGTTAATCGAAATTAATGTTATCCCCTTCAAAGTAATCCCCCCTGATATAATACACTTGTGCCAACGTTTTTTCCAATTCTCGAAGCACTTGTGGTAAGTATTTTCCGGTATAGCCTTGCGTTCTCCCAGCGATTTTTTCCTTATCTCCTCAATCTTTCCAAACCTCCTTCCTTTCATGGTTTTCTTGAGTTTTGGGAACAGGAAAAAGTCGCAGGGGGCTCTATCTGGTGAATATGGTGGCTGGTCCATGATTCTAGTTTTGTTTTTGGCCAGAAAGTTATACACACGCATCAATGAGTGAGGTGCATCGTTGGGAAACAAAATCCATGAATTGTTTGGCCACAATGCCGGACGTTTTCTTCGTATTGCTTCTCGCAAATGGCACATTACTTCAAGGTAATACTCTTTATTGACCGTACAACCTTGTGTAGTAAATAGTAAGCATAGTGGTCGAACCTGAAGTGCTTTTTTCGGTATTGACGATTCTGCGTTCTCCCACTGGGGCGACTGAGCTCTGGTTTCGAAGTCATAATCATATTACCCATGATTCGTCGTTTAATAGCGATGCTCTTTCGATGGCCCTTTTATTCAAAATTAAGCAGTTTCGGAACAAATTTTGCTGCTACGCGTTTCAGGCCCTAAATTTCGAAAAAATTCAAGGCACGAGCCATCTTGGAGCAGCTTGTACCACTTATAAACATTTTTTTGTTTAAAGTAGATTCACCATATGCTGTTGCCAGAATTTCAAGAGTTTTGCAGAGCTGTATTCCATTTTTTATACAAAATTTTATGTTTGTTGTTTGTTCCATTTTTTTTGAGAACAGAAAATCGCCGTGCACACAAAACACTTCTAACGCTTCTGTCTCACAAAAGAGTAGTTAGGGACATGTGTACATAACATAACAAAAAAAAATCCAGTATCGAATGCTCATTTACAAAAGTCACCTTACTTTTTAAACACACTTTTTTTAAACATTCATTTTTTGACAATTTTCTACTTTGACTGTATTGTACGTATCTTCAACCGAATAATGATGAAATTCTTAAACCTACGAGCTTAGTGTGTCGAGTGGTCGCTGGATTGTGAGTGTTGGACGATGGAGTGAGAGTCCTAGTTACTGGTGCGTGACATCTTTCTTGGTGGTCCTGGTTAGCTGTAACTGGTAGTGTCCGTAGTTCGTTTCCCTTATCTATTGTTTCCTTGTTTGCTCTACAGCTGCCTGGACCTTTTGAATGAGGTGTTTTGAGTTCTCGTTGTTGATCAGATCTTTCTGAATGTATTTGACTCCTTCCTGATTACTTTGTGTTGTGCTCCATAGTCTTCGGGCCCTTTCCTCGTTTAATATTTTGGGAATGGTTTGAAGCGGCATTTAGGTGTGGTCCGGTGTGTAACTGCTTTCAGTATACTCAAGTCGCGACCTGTTCATTGCTTCGTTTGACTAGGACTCTTCTTCAAACCAGTTCATGAAAATATTTTCCATGATTGGAGACAATGACTATCACATGGGTAGTTACTTGTGAAAAGAAAGTGTTGTTTACTTGTTTATAACATTCAACATCAAATCCAATAGATAGGTTTGTCCTCTATGATGGTGTGGTGTTTTCATGATTTCAAGATCTTTCTTGACCGGCATCTTGGAGACACTTTCTGGATCTAAGTTGATCCATACAGTTTTAAAAATTTATTTGTTGAATGTATTTCTTGTTATGCAAATTTGGGAGAGAGTAAATCTTGACCTGCAGTAGATTTAATTCGTACAATAACGTTATCATTGTTCATTATTGTTCTTCTTTACTCAGCTGCTTATTTACAATAACCCAAAGACACCAGAATTATTATTTTTAGCATTTTCGCGGAAGTAAATATAATCCGAAATGTCGAAAATTCCGTTAAACGTTCTCTGGATTTGGCTTTAAATTGAAAGAAAAACCTTTCTCTGATTGTAAGTTTTTTGGTAGTAGGAAGTTTGTATTGGAGTGGACTTAATGGAATTGCTCACTGGAAACATAACACCAATTGGTCGCAAAGCTACTTACGTAAAAGTTAGCAGTGAAACTACATTGGCCCTGTCCCTGGGGTTCTGTTTTCTTGCGACCCGCCCGCAGTGATCCATGAACCTCAAATTTCCTTTTCCACTGTTCACAATTAGTCTATCGCGATTGTAACATCGTCGATTGTCTATGGAAATTGTGTAATGTTGTTATAGTCTTTAGATAGAACAGGGTAAAAATAAGACCGCAAATATTTAGTATCAAACATTGTTTTTTTTTCTGATTTAATTTTAATTTAAACTGAGACGGTTAAATAAATATATTGTTCAACGAGACAGTGATTTATTTTACGTCCTTAAGCGGTTTTATCTCTGATCCTTTGTGGATGCTATACGGGAAAGATATCCAAATTAAACAGCATATTTTTGATGCAGCAGGTTCAAACACGTTCACTTTGTTCATTTTATACTTATTTCAGATACCAGAAGGTTCGAGTTGAGCTAGAAAAGTTGCAGATTTGGGAATCTCTCTGGCTTGTACTCTTTGTCGAATCTCAAACTAAATTTGACTGGTAGTCTGAATAATGTTCCTGCATTGTCATGAATTGAACAAATGGTGATATATTCCAGTGTATTGAGGTTACCAAATTATTTTAATATTTTGCTACACTCACACACTGCACTGCTACATAGAGAAGGAAAAGAAGAGAAATAAATGAATGACTATAGGAAAAGAAAAAGGCAATATAAGATTATTAGAACAAGTTTTGAAAAAAAGAAGTACCAAGTAAGTTAAAGTTTTTAGATTCAATCAAATTAAATAAATAAAAAAAAACGCATCTATTTTAATGACATATACATTACACAAACTTAAACGTATTCACGCACCATCTTTGTCAGAAATGTGAATGTTGTCGGTGTTCAGCATTCTCGTAAGTAACTGTTATTGTTTCGGATAAGCAACCCTGAACTCTACTATTTCACCCTTTTCCATAACACCTATTTGATAATTCCACACTGATTGTAGTTTGTGAGCGATGATGAGCACCGTATAATCGCAAAACTGCTCGACGATTACTTTTTGCCCCACTATTTCCGTTTCTGAGTCCATATTTGCTGTTCTTTTTGATAATGGCCCTTGCCAAGGAGAGTAGTTGTTGCTGCCCTGCCGAGAAATTCAAACCGTGAGCCGTTATGGTAAATTCCAGGCTGTGAATGTGATCGATCATGTGGACTCTGTCAAAGGTTTTCCAGATTTCATCGTCACTGTAGTGGTAAAAGAGGTCGATGTTTTGTCTAATTGTACCTAGAAATAAAAATCACTGTCAGCATCATCACATACGTAGATTCTATACACGTATTAAGTCGTTAATTATTTCTAAGTTCTAGAATACACATTAAATTAACGAGTTCAATGTTTTCTTACAATATTCATGAATCTGGAACTGTCAATTGATGATAAATAAATAAATTCTGAATAATTTCCAAAATCACAACCAATTTTGTCACAGATGAAATTTTATCTTTTTAAGCAAAATATGCTATTACCTGCGAGACTATGTGCTTGAAGCTGTTGGATATTCAGGTTGTTTCAATCTTTTGTTGCAAAAATTTTTTTTTAAAGCTTGGAACTTAATTAATGTTCGTAACTTATAATGTTCTGGGAAAATGAGTTAAGTGTGTAGAAATTGCTTTTTAGAAAGAAAATGGTTAGTGGGTGAAATGTAGAGGCATGAGCGGAAAATCATTACTTTTTCTTTACCGTAGTATTTTATCTAAAAGCTACAAGACTTTAAGACTGAATCACCGTGGTCATTCGTTTTTTTTTTACAAGAAAAATCTATATTCTTTATAGGTCTTTCAAAAGCTTGGATAGCTGTTGCGAGTAATTTATTATAGGAATTAAGGCAGGAAGATTTACATTTTCTGGTGATAAAAGCACTTCATAGTAGAATGTAATGATTCGGTAGCGATAGCATATATCATCTACATTTAATCATATGAAGCCCCATTAATGAGGTAGACGTTGCCCGGAGGTAATTATAGTATTCAATAGCGGATCAGAACATTAAAGCTACTTTTTTTACGTTAAAAGTAAAAAATAATTCAGGAAAGAAGCTTTTAATTTACGTTCTTTTTTCTTCCACCTTATTCGCGAAAAATCCCACGTGTACATTTTAAGTACTTTAGAGTAGAGTGAGCTTCTTGGGTGGCCTGAAGACGTTGTGCTGTTTGTGGTTGAATTGGAGTCGTAGGTTAATTATCCTCTTTCCGATGTATGCTGAAATTATATAAGGAAAATATTCTATTTGCTTATATAGATACACAAATCAATTTCTTTTACTATATTTTAATCGGTCCATTATAAAAGAAAGATCAAAAGAATTATTTGAAAGATAAATCCATCTCATTTAATGTATAAAATTTGTCCCATGTTGGTGTCATTATTTTAATTAAATATCTCTCGCCGCTGACAGAAATCATAAAATGACTCGTCATTCACATATACATTGAATTTTTGAGAATATGGTAAACGAAATCTTTGCTATTTTTTTATTTCAATTCGACAACTCTCGCCATTTCTTAAAATGATATGGGTTAAAAATTAGTTTAATTTTATTAATTTTTTATTTATTTCATATTATTTCTATTTTTATATATTTCTGGTCTTCTTCCAGACATCTGGAAGAAGGCCAGAAATAGAAATAGGGTCAAGTTAAAAATAAGGGACATGAGTTTATCGCAAGCATTTGCGCAATCTCGCACAACCAAACAAGGAACTTTGTCAGTACCACAAGATACTCTGTTCTTAACCCGTGCTAATGCTCTTAATATAGTGTCATCAGTTAAGTGATCAATAGTAATAATTGCATTAGAAAATTCATTCAACTGAGGTATCTGTTGTTGAGAAGTCTTGTATAACCCCAGAAAAAACTTTGCGAAAGCCACCTCAATCTCGTCAGGGCTGGTGTAACTGTCTTCCCTGTAAGTGAAAAATCTCTGCCGATTTCGTATTTGAATGGTTAAATCTAGTAAACAACCAGAAAGAACTCGGATCCTCTGTGACTGCATTTTCGGCCTTAAAGATGTAGTTTCTATATGCGACATCCATCATTCTATTAATGTCCGCATGTATTGTTTTATATTGAATTAAAACTGACTGTTTTTGAATAACCTATGCTTTCGGTCAACTGCTTTAATTATTTCGGATGTGAACCATACCGGAAATGATCTTTTATGGATAATGGAGAAATGGACGCAGTCGTTAAAAATAATAAAAACTTGTCACAAACTTCATTAACATTTATATTACTTAGTAAATTTTACCAATCTGTATGAAGTGTGTTGTTGCAAAGTTTGTGGACATCTGCTTTCCTGAACTTATATTTGCATTATTGTATGCTGAAGGCTTCTATTTTGTATTATATTATATTCAACGCAGGATAGTATGGATCTTCCGCAACTAGGGGCAAGGACTCTTTCGTGGCTATACATATACACTTGATATTGGACACAACTAAATCAAGTAGTCCGTTATGGCTATTTAAAACGCTGTTAAGTTGGTAATAATGGTATTAAGTGGTCGACGTTTAAAGGTCGACGAAATCTCAGAAATTACTAAGCTTTCTGATACAAGTGTTCGTCGAATCCTGCATGATCATTTAGGTATGCATAAGGTTAGTGCAAGATGGGTTCCTAAAACCCTTTTAGCTATTGAAAAACAACGCCGTGTCGAGTGTGCGCGGTCCTTTTTGGAACTCTGTGGGTCGGAACCGAAGCCTGTAATAGAAACTATTGTGACGGGAGATGAAACTATGGTTCTCTATTATGACCCTCTATCGACAAAAGAATCAATGGAGTGGCGTCGTAAGGGTGAAGCACCCCCAAGAAAATTCGGAGTCTACCAGTCAAGAAAAAAGGTGATGGCCACGATCTTTTGGGGTTGTGAAGGAATTCTTTTGATAGATTTTAAAGCAACTAATACCACTGTCAATGGTAAATACTACGCAACATTATTACATAAATTGCGGGACTGCATACGTGTACGACGTCGAGGGAAACTGACCAGAGGCGTGCGTCTTTTGCACGATAATGCACCTGTCCATACTGCTGGTGTTGCACAAGCTGCCATTTTAGAGTGTGGGTTCCAACAGATAGATCATAGATAGACTATTATGTGTTTGGATATTTGAAAAAGGACTTACGTGGACGGCGGTCTAACGACGACGTTGAGTTAAAAGAGGCTGTTTTAGCTCATTTTGCAGACAGATCAAAAGAATATTTTTTTAAAGGAATTGAGTTGTTAATAAAGAGATGTAATAAGTGTATTGGAGTTAAGGAGGATTATATTGAAAAATAATAAAAAAATGTTACTCTACTTTGTTTCTTTCATATTCAGGCCGGGAAATTTTGGCGCTGCCCTCGTACATTGGAAGTAGGTTTTCAATGAGCGCAATTCCGACCGCTAATTCCATTTCCAGTTTTATTCTGGGACCAATTATTAAAAATCTTTCGTCATTTCGCGGTCAGCGACATCGTTAGTATTTACCTTAACCACCAACAATTATAGAATTGACTTTCTCAAATTGCCAAGTAGTTTATTTTGCTTTTTCTACCAGCAACTGTAGGCTAAATGCAAATGCTAAATTCTGCACGCCACAAATACTATTACTATTGCTTGAAAAAAACTTGTAGGACCAACGGATCAACGGGTAAATTATAATTTATTGTATAGGGGATTAACGTGCCGACCTTAGGAAAATTTTGACTAATACCCGTAACATTCGCAAAATTACACCTCTGACGAAACACTGCCACATCAAACGGGCTAAATAGGGATTCGTTCTTTTTTTTTCATGTCTCCATTTTTTTCGAATCGCTCGTATATGTCGTCCTCTACCAGATCCCTTTTGAAGGCTATCTTAAATAACCGTTAAGTGAAACTGAAATCAATTTCATATTTGCAAGTGCAGAACCAGAATTTAAACAAAATGTCTCAATTCACGAAAAAGCCAAAGGAAAAAAATGTTAGCACAGTCCTTGGGATTTTGATTTCTGGTAATAATTCGTCACTTCCCTTGTCCTTGTTGGTATTTTGCTATGCGTTGCAGGACTGGTCGGGCAAAACAATACACTAAAAAATGTTCTCTTTCCATCTACAGGCTCAGTGTTTCTCAAGTCAATTGAAATCTACATTTTATTGTTAAAGACGACGGGAGAGATTGTAAATATTGAGTGGTTGATAGTAAATATTTGCGGTAAATAGAAATCATTTCAATGCCTCATTGTTCTCCGATTTAAAAAAATCTTTACTAATAGATTATGGGTGCGTGCGGCAAATATACAGGCTGTCGAGAGCTTTCTGCCTAAAGACGCAATTCGGGGATAAAAGGAGTCATCACTTGGAACTCTCTTGTTGCTTATGTATTTATAGATTTTTTTTTTTTTTTACTTTCTTGATCTGTCTCAATATACTAGGTAATGGCATATAAATATATACAGCTACCGAATTTATAAACATCTTGTCAATCATCGGCATTAGCATATTTATTTCATATTTATTTTATTATTTATTTATTTATTTATGTCCTTATACATACAGCATAACACTGCATTAATCAATCCAAACAGATCATTGTTACAAGACTTTTCAAAAAATCTAAGATCTATCAAAAAATGTCTATTCTGCATTAAAATACCATGGACCTTACCAACATTATATACCATATAGAATGGCTTTACCGATTCGAAAGACAAATCTCTACTATTCCTTAGGTAAAACCCTAAAGTTGACAAACGAAAATCATTTTCATTACAAATGAAGCATCTGCCTACGTTTACTAACAAATTTCTTTGAAGTACTATGATGATAAACAAGCAACAATAAACTGACATCTCTTGAAAATTTATTAAGATTTGACAGATCGGCGTTTTAAATACGACCGCAAAAATGTTGCAGGGAATTCTTGCAACAAATCAACCTGAATAATATTTGCGAATTTTCCTATCATCACGAACCAAATGGTATAGTTGAAAGGTTACATTCAACATTACTAGAACGTTTTCGTCTCTCAAATACTCAAGGATTCTTAAAGTCAGTCAGTAACAAAACTTAAACCAATTGACATAATCAACGGGCACATACCCGACGATAGATCCAATTTTGGTTAATAATTATATCAACGACCATAAAGAAGACAGAAATGCTGTATTCAAATTTAAACAAAAAAATAATACAAAATAAAGAAATTGTAATCGAAAGCTTAAATACAAATCGCGACAATCTTGAAATATTTCAACCACAGCAAATGGTGTATGTGAAAAAACACATAAGACAAAAAACCGCGAGCGAATTCCAAAAACCCACTGTCATCACTAAATTCGATTCCGCTCATAAAACAGTTTCCACGGGAACGGAAGAAAAAATTCATATGAATAACTTAAAACGACCCAGAAAGAAAAATTACCCAAAGAAAGCAGCCACGTTGCAGTAAGAAACTTGAATACGAACCCCGCTATGATTCTTTTAAGAATAGATAAGAAAGAAAAAGTTGAAACAAAATTAAAAGAACTAGTGCCCGATATGTAAAGGTCTAAGAGAGGTTTGATTAACTATCTAAGTTCAATATATTTAAGTCAATTAGTGGTAATTTAGATGCTTCTGACGGCGAACATCCTTGAGTACAACCTAGAAAAATTAGGAAATGGCATAGCTCAGTAAAACTCGGTTTCAATTAATTTTGCAATTTCACAATTCGCAAAATAGCTACTAACGAAAAATTTTTTTAAAGTAAAATTAATGAAATAATAATTTTTAATAAACTTACAGAAGGTCACTCACTCACTCTTTATCAAAGATTACTTGAATCAATTAATAAGCCTTTATGAAATGATTAACTCAATGTTACAGGATATTGAAAATTCAATCTCTTTTGCAATGCTAAATACAGTACATCCTAGTATACTAAAAGTGAGCGATCCTTAATACTAACTCCAAAAAATATCTTTAAATTACAAAATTTAATCGATATCGAATGTTACATTAACGACCACAATATTATATCTGCGGAGAAGCCAACCTATAAGAAATCGCTAGACATAGTCTCTGCGAGCTACAACCATTTGAAGCCGGTAACACCTCCACGTCCCAACAAGCTCAAACTACAGTGACACGGAGCCAAAATTCCAACATATGGAAGGTCCCAATCAGTTTATCGGTTTCTTCCCTCGCAAAAACAAATTAAGTTGGTACATATTTGTTTGATGTGCCAACCGACTGTAAGGTATCGTCTAACCAGGGGGTATTCGTAAAAACCAAACAGTACGGGCCAGTCCAAATTTGGTGATATCAATAACCAATTACCAACTACACGTTAACATCGTGCTCTACGACGTCAGGTTGGAGGAGCTGCATACAATAACGGCCCAAATCCTGCAGAAACAACCGCAAATCTGCGCTATAAATCCTTTCGTCGAGTGTACAATCTTATGGACTTTATCGATCTACGGGGTAACGTTAAGAATATCAAAGAAGCCGAAAGAAGACCAGAACCAGTTATCGAGGTAGTCACTGTTCAACTTCCACCGTAACCCTTGAAGTTGAATCTGAGGAGGGAGGAATTATGTCACGAGCCATCCCTACACCCATAGGAAGAAGATGTTCACCTAGATTTTTCCGCGCCAACTTCTATATCACTGGTTGGCTATGAAATCCTCCTTTAAAAAATTTTATGATAAATATAATGATTCAAACGTTTTGAATCTATCCCCGTTGGCCGATTTTTTCTATCACGTCTAGATTTTTCGATATGATTTTCTTTTATATTTCAAAATTTTGTTTTTTTTTTCAATTTTTTCATTCGTCAACGTTACAAAAATATTATATATATATATATATATATATATATATATATATATATATATATATATATATATATATATATATATATATATATATATATATATATATATATATATATATATATATATATGATGACACTATATTCCGGGATATCATCCGTTCGCTCGTTGAACTCCGACTGGAATCCTGCAAATCCTGCATCCGACTGGAATCCTGCAGACGTTTCGCCAAAATCTCACTTGGCATCTTCAATGCTCGCGCTCCGAAAACACTTCGAACACTAGACGTTTCGCCAAAATCTCGAATACAGTGTTCGAAGTGTTTTCGGAGCGCGAGCATTGAAGATGCCAAGTGAGATTTTGGCGAAACGTCTGCAGGATTCCAGTCGGATGCAGGATTTGCAGGATTCCAGTCGGAGTTCAACGAGCGAACGGATGATATCCCGGAATATAGTGTCATTACATTTTTCCATCCGTGAATCAATACGTGAGAATATATATATATATATATATATATATATATATATATATATATATATATATATATATATATATATATATATATATATATATATATATATATATATATATATATATATATATATATATATATATATATATATATATATATATATATATATATATATATATATATATATATATATATATATATATATATATATATATATATATATATATATATATATATATATATATATATATATATATATATATATATATATATATATATATATATATATATATATATATATATATATATATATATATATATATATATATATATATATATATATATATATATATATATATATATACATACAAGTTAAGTACATAATTTACAAAATGAGTTTCAGAAAGTTGTAAGAGAAAGGAGGGAAGTGCCGAGGGTGATTTTTATGGTACTAAATACGCGCATGCGCAGTATTCATTGTGACACTACAATAGTTCAGTGAAAACTTGTCGTTTAATTGTTTACCTTTTATATAAAATATTTTGGTAAGTTTTGCATAAAGTTCATGTTATCTACATTGGATTTAAGTATTTGATGTGTAGTTTGAGTTTTTTTTTTAAGTAGAGTCAATAAATATAAAATAGAAGTTTGAAAGTTGTTTTAAAATTAATTTTATGTGATTTTAGGTTACAAAATGCCACGGACTTGTAAAAATTCCTCAGATTGTTTTTGCTACATTTGTGGGGAATACATACTAAAAACACAGCGACATGTCATGACTGATCTGGTTAAAACAGCTTATAAGCTATATTTTGGATTTTCTATCGATGGGCGAGATAAAAGTTGGTTGTCAAAAGTATGCTGCAATAGGTACTCAAGAACGTTGAGAGGTGGGCTTTAAGAAAGTCACAAATCCATGCCGTTTCCAATGCCAATGATTTGGAGTGAGCCTCAAAATCATGAGAATGATTGTTATTTCTGCATGACATTTACACGAGGATTCTCGAAAAAAAATAGAGATAAGATTGTTTATCCGAACGTCCTATCTGCAAAGAGACCAATTCCTCGTAACAAAGACACTCCACCTCCAGTTCCACCAGTTAATGAGGAGGCTGAAAACAAAAATATTTCAGGTTTACAATCTCAATCGAATTTTCTTTCTGCTAGTACATCTTCATCTTCATACACTTTATCTGGATCTTCACGTCCATCTACAGAACCTCATTTACTTGAACAAGGCCACTTAAATGATCTTGTTAGAGACTTGGGACTTTCAAAATCTAAGGCACAGTTACTCGGATCAAGGTTAAAACAGTGGAATCTATTGGCTAAAAATACCAGAGTTTCATATATATGGTATATTGTAATAATGCTGCAGGGCTTCTTCCAGAACTAAGTTTTCCAGAAGATTCTAGTGAATGGAGACTTTTTATTGATGCTTCAAAAATAAGCTTGAAAGCCGTTCTACTTCTACTATCTGTCCCCATTGCACATGCTACAAGCATAAAATAGAATTATGAAAACCTTGAGGTATTACTTGAGAAAATTAAATATTCTCAATACCTATGGGAACGCAAAAAGTGACAACTATCAACAAATCATTCGGGAGCTACTTATAAAGCTTTAGGATGCAATATGTCACTCAAGATCCATTTTTTAGACTCGCATTTAGATTTCTTTCCTGAAAATCTTGGTCAGATGAGCATGGTGAAAGGTTTCATCAGGAAATAATGCATATTGAAAAACGCTACAATGGAAAATGGTCAGCAGCAATGCTTGCTGATTTCTGTTGGTCAATTCACCGAGAAACTCCAATGGAATCTATGAAGAGGAAGAAAACTACTAAATAATTTGAATTCTATCACTCCATAATGAAATAACTGACGATATTAATTAGTTTTGTTAATATAATTTAGGATTTTTTACTGTAAAACTCAAGCCGCCACATTTTTTTATTTGCTTATAATAATTTATACTTTAATAATATTGTTTTTTGATGAAATAAATATTAAATTAAAAACCTTCGTGTGGTACTTATTTGTATATCAGATTCCGTGTTTAGAGCATAAAATAAGATGAATTCGTGCATGGAAACAAGAAGGAGAGATTTTTTTTTTATTATAATCACATAAAACCCTTGTTTCGCTTATTTTTTAGTCAGTTGAATACGCTCTTGAGGTAAACTATTACTTTTTGTAGTTTGTAGTAAAGTTTCTAAAAAGCGACTTTCGGTTTCTTGTTAGAAAAGTCACACTAAGTAATTTTTAAATGTTGTTGGGCGTGCCTTTTTTCCCAACACTTTGGTGATTGAAAAATTTAATTTTTATATGCAAAGTCTTACTAGGGCAGCTTTATAATGTTCCCACGCGTTGTTGCTGCATTTATCATAGTATAAAGCATCATAGTATAAAACTATCTCAAAGCAGCTTAAGTAGTAAGTGTTTAGAAGTTTCAAAAAAATTACTGGAGAACAAAGTTTGAGGGAAAATAAATGAAATAAATAAAAATATCTCGAATGATGAAAAATATATTAAAAAGCCCTCTTTTTTTCTCAATGCGATGAACGCCGGTTTTGTATAAGATTCGAAAATAAACATCAGAAAACCAAGTAAACTGCAAGAATTTAATTCTATCATTTATCGAAGAGATGGGCGTTGTCGACCTGCAGCATCTTTGTGAAGAAACTGCGCTTATCGTTCAGCAAACGTAGAGGTTCGTCCATTTCGACTATTCTTCCTTTCTCCATCACTATGATTTGGTTGCAGTCCAACACCGATTGCAATCTGTGAGCGATAATGAATACGGTATAGTCGGCAAACTGTTCTCTCACGACTTTCTGCACTAGAAATTCGGTCTCGGGGTCCATATTGGAAGTAGCCTCGTCTAAAACGACGATCTTGTTCTTCTTTATTGTGGCCCTGGCCAAACAAATCAACTGCCTCTGGCCTGTCGAGAAATTCGATCCGTGGTCTGTGATGGCCAGTTCCAACGTGTCAATGTGCTCTTTCATGTGAACTTGGTCCAGTGTCTGCCAAACTTCTGCGTCGGAGTACCGTCCTAGCGGGTCGATGTTTTCTCGTATGGTTCCTGGAATTATACAGGTCGTCCGATAAAAAATGGCCCATAAGTCAAGCGTGAAAGTGAAGCATATTGTTCGATCAATCGTTTTTTGTACACCCAATCTGTATATCTCGTCCTATTATGGAAATAAACCAAGCCTTTTTATTTATTTTAAACGACACTCCTAGATATCTAGTATAACATAATTTTGTTAAAATATGGAAGCTACATTGCTGAAGAAGGGACAAAGCGGTGTAGTCGAAAATATTATTTCACTCTCACTGGCAAAAAGCGTTCGTTATACAAACCTTGAAATAATAGAGGTTCCTGTGGTATGATTGAAATCTTATCTCTTAGCAGATCGAGAGATAAAGTTTTCGTGTCCACGCCATCGATAAAAATTCTTCCGTCAAAATTGTACAGCCTAAACATTGTGGATATGATTGACGATTTTCCGGCACCTGTCCTACCCACTATGCCAATCTTTTGTTTCGACTCAACCTCGAACGACAAATTTTTCAAGACTTTTTCGTCTTTGTATGCCAAAGATACGTTTTCGTAAACAATTTTGCCCTTTGTAGGCCAATTGTCAATTCGTCTGCCTTCGTACAGATCTTGCCCGACTTCCGTGTATTCGAGAACCCTTTCGACGGAAGTCATGTTATTTTCCACGTCAGACCATACCATCAACACCCACTGGATGATGTTGGCCAGAGATGCCGCTTTCGTTATGGCCAGACCCACATCGCCAGATGATGTTTCTGAAAAGATGTAGACATAGAGGTTTATTTTGAATTACTTTGTAAGGGGTCAGGATTGACTGGATCCTTTTGGCCTAGTGAAAAAGATGGTTGCTTTCAAGTTGAGATGATTTCTGAGTCGAAACTACGAAAACACAAGGGACAATTTTTGCTAAGAAATGAATCGCGATTTTGAAAATATAGTTTATGTTTGCAAAATTGTGACGTACCAATTTGCTTGATAAGAATATTTTACTTTTACTCAAAAATTCTCTATAGATGTGGCATTCAATAAAAATGAGAAAAAAACGTTTTTTAAATATTTTCAACACTCTGTATGTCAAAAATAAAGCGATTGAGGACCTAAATATTACCTACTTCGTAATTCTTCATCTCTTCTAGCGAATAATCCTTGACTAATTGCAAATTGTTAAATGACTAACTACATTAGTGCGAAAATAGCATTAAATAAAATTTTTAACAGCTCCGAAAATCCCAGGATCTCCTTGCCCTTACCTTTAGAGCACTGGGTATAACAGTACTTAAACATAAAAAAATAATTGGTGTTAATGGCCGTTTAGAAAAGTAGGTTTTTGATTTTTACGTATTTTGATTAGGATTGTCTGAGGATAAAAACGACATCTATAATCAAAAAATACTTCTTTCCTGTCCGTGCCAATTTGCTGAGTAACTTATATTTGTGATAGTAATTAAAGCAACTCCAATGAGTTTCAAAAGTACTTTACCTAGGTCGAAAAATAAAAATTTCGCCACAATAACGGCGACGAAAAAAACCGACAACATATCCATGGCGAAGGAGAAAGCTCTTCTGATGGAAAACGTCATGAAATGGGCCGACGTATAGAGATCTTGATGTCTATCAAACTCTTCTTCGAGAATTTTTTCCGCCTTGCACGCTCTTATGGTGGTAACTCCCTCCATGGAAGCGTTCAAATGGCCAATCAGCGGGCTTCGTGCTAAAATGAAAGAGTTATTGTGAAATTCTAACGGATTTCTGGTAGTAGGGATCAATTTAATTGTAAGTTATTGACACTGAAATATTATACACACTTGCCGATTCCAATCTCTTCAAGCTCCGCGACGTCGGTATATAAATGAATCTTAATCCAACCAAGCACAGTAATAAAATTACCGAGGGTATCAGAAATTGCCAACTAACTGTGGCTACTAGAATTCCGACTCCTCCTGCCGCCAGAACACACTGAAATTTAATGAATAACCTTAACCGTAACGTCAGTAGAAAATGGAGATGAAGGGGATGAAATGTTGGATCTATCTAGTCAACATGGATTTCCCGTTTTGACAACGTCATCATTTTCGAAGGAATTCATTTAATTAAGAGGAATATAAGCTGAAAAGCAATTACACTACTTTTCGTATAATTATAGATCTAGACCTTGGAGTGTAATTTTTCAGCAAAAGTCACTTTAATGGCGCATTTAAAAATGTTGCTGTAATTATATTTCCCTTTGGTAGAAAAATTCGAAAATAATTTCCTTCTCTACCCATTTTTGAGTGTCTTATGAGGACAGAAAATTCCAACCTGAGAGCATCACATTACAATAATGTACCGATACTTACCTCGATAACCATATTGATGCTCAAGGGTAAATGTTCATCTACCGTGGTCAGATCCTGGGAGAACCTGTTAAGTATGTTGCCGATAAAATAAGTGTCAAAAAACGACATTGCTGCAGTAACTAGTTTTTCGATCATCGTGTTATGGAGATTAATCGACGCCTTTCTCGAAAAATTCACGAATAATAACTGTTTGATTAGATCTAGGAAGACCGACGCAACAATCATCAGTGTATAGAGCTTTAGCAACCAATGGGCTTGGTCGTATAACTGAACTAGGACGATGTTCTCAAACGCTACTTTTGGGTATATTTCGTTGTCTATATCTTTTGCTTTTTCCGTACTAACTAGGTTGAGTATCTCTGGATAAGCGTTGCCATTTTCGGTAGTCGTGTTTGTGGCACCACGAGTGGCCCTTTCTATCGGATTTGTCAATATATTCGTAACGTTTTGTTGCACATTTATCCTACAAAGAAACGATGTTATGTCAAAAGTATTGCTTTTAATGCCATTTTCCACGCATTTCCTCAAACGGAAAATCCAGAGCTGCTTTCGATTTTGTATTGTATTTTCCAATTTTTCTTAAGGATAATGCGGGTGTTAAAAAACGTAAGTAAATACAGTTATTTTAAAACCAAATTAAAAAAGTCACAAGTACCTTTTTGGAGAAGGGACATTTGATTTTTGCTTCCGATATATAATTTTCACATAATCCAAAGATGGTTTTCAATTTATGAACACCATTTTTTATTTCAATTCTTATCGGCCACTTTCAACTGATCGTTAAAATATTTTTTCTACTGCCTACTCCCCTGACAGCTCAGGAAATGTACTGCTGTAATGTAATGTTTATGTACTATTTTTAACTTCTTTCTGACTCTCTCAATGGCGAATATCGCAATATCAAATTTTAAAAAATGTTAGAATTGTGATGCGTGTTTTATAGCGAGACGTTGCCATTACGAGCATCATCCCACGCAGCACAATCATCTTCCAAGAATACACATGGAATGTTGAAAGAATATATTTCAATGTTCTGTGAATATCTATCTATAAGGGTTTTTTCAATTTTTGAGGATGTACTGAACATATATGGTAGAATATTTTTGTAATATTCCATGCCTTTTTTTTAAGCGCATTTAGACTTAAAAAAATATATATTTTATTTTGCTTTCTTCAATTATATATATCAGACCTATTTTAATACAAACTAATTTTGCATTACTTCGTAACCTTTCTGCATTTCGTGCTTGGTTTGTCTTTCTTTACACTTCACTAGCCACTATTTGTTGCATAATTATATCATAGACTATTAAAATATGTAGCTAGAATATCCTCCTTTAATGTTCTATGAAGTTAATATGCAAATGTTCTGGGAATATTTTTATTAATGTAATGTATTTTATGATCATTTTCCGAATAATATATTCTAAATTTTAAGTTTGTCAGAATATTCTGCGCATATATTGCGCTGCCTGGGATGTAGTGACGTAAAAACTTCACCGAAAATATAAAAACGTAAATCACTTTTGAACAACTCCTTGTTCATTTTTCGTAGTGTGACGTTCCAAAAGTAGTAACCATGCCTAAGTTCATCATCCTCCGTCTCCGATTCCTAACTAACTAGCCAACATTTCCTCGCATTTCGCCACTTATCTACAGATGGTAGCGTATACTTTTCGGTTCGTTACGGGCCTTTTCTTTGTTAAAATAGCTTACCAGTCTGTTAGCACCCTCGTCGAGTAGCTGTCCGTAAACTCAGCGCACACGTACAAACCCACTATGACCGAAAAGAACAATAAGCCGCCGCCGAATTTAAAATAGTTTTTATAAACCTCCATCTCGACCTTGCCTTCTTTTTTCGATTCGCCGTACACCTTTTTTTTAGTTAACGTTCGTTTTATTAACGTCGCCGTTTCATCGTCGTCATTCCCTTCGTTTCCTTTTTCGTTTTCCTCCACTTTGTCCGCCTGCAATTCGACGCCCTTCAACAGTTCGCCGTCGACATTCTGAGGATTACCCTCGAACACGATCCGACCTTCGTTCAAAACGACGAGTCTGTCGGCGTGACTCTTGTGCTTTAAATTGTGCGTGACCATAACGCAATATTCGTTCTTGAGGAAACCTCTGATACAATTTTGGTAGATATAGTCTTGCACGTTTGGATCGAGGGCGTGCAAAGGATCGTCCAAAAGATACACGTTGCTCTTCCTGTAAACTGCTCTGGCCAGATTCACTCGAGCTTGTTGTCCGCCGCTGAGATTCATACCGCGATCCGAGACGATTGTTTCGTCGCCTTTGTCGAACAAATTGAGATCGTATTGAAGAGCGCACACTTTAATTACTTCGTCGTATCGTTTTTCTTCGTACGGCTGACCGAAAAGTATGTTTTGTTTGATAGACGACGGAAACAACCACGGGTCTTGCGAACAATAAGAAAATCGACCTTGGGTGTATATTTTTCCGCTTGTTACGTGATAGTCCTTAAGGAACAATTTCAACAGTGCGCTTTTCCCACAACCCAACGGGCCGGTAATCACAGTCAAACCGGGTTTCAGTTCGAACGATATGTTCCTCAGAATTTCGTTCTGTTTGATGGTTACATTAACGTTGCTAAGTTTGATTATTGCGTGTTCGTGGTTCGTATCATCAGTTTCCTCCAGTTCCTCGCTGCTAAATACCTTGTTGATTCGATTCGCGGAAGCGATCAACTCGGCGCCCCTTCCCAAGCCTGCTGGGATGATGAAAGCAACCGACATTTTCAGGTCTTTGAAACACTTGAGCACGTAAAACATGACCTCCGCGTCTGCCACTTTGTTGAAGTAAATGTACGCCATGATCAGACAGTAGAATCCGATTTTGGTGTTAAAAGCTCCAACTATAAAGTTAAGGGCACGCAAGTAGAAACATTTCATCAGGTATTTCATTTCTTTCCTGCAACAAAGCGATACTTAAGTATTTGTCTTTGTGTCGTTGCATGAAATTTGCATAAAAAGATGGAGGCGATCGGCTTGTGATTATGGTGATCAATAGAGACAGGGTACTGTAATAGTTTTTACAAAACTTCTGGATTCCTCCTGCGTCGGTTTTTGCTGAGTTTAACTTGCTGACATTTCACCAATCATCCTGTTGGCTTCTTCAGAGCTTGACTGAAACTGGCTAGTATTTTACTCTGTACCTGCATAAACACTATCTCGGATGACTGATTCCCATATTGGTGACAGGTAGAGACCTGAAACGCGGTTAAGATTGTTAGGTTGTTTATAGATTTCTATAGACTTTCGGATTTTTCGTTGGTAGAAGAACTGATTGCATGCAAGAATTTTACTTTTATCGAATCAAATTTTGTGTCCGGATCCATGAGTGTGTTCGGAAACAGCTGATGAGTTTATGTGTCTTAGTCGTAAGGCTCTTTCGTGGTCTTTGAGTCTAGTTGATATTTTTCGTCCGGTCTCTAAAATTTATTCTTTGCCGCATATGCATGGAATGCTGTAAACTCCTGGCATCTCAAATCGAATTTTGTCCCTGATGGACCGAAATTGTTGAGAAATTTTTGGACAAGTGGTAAATCTGGTTTTGACGTTATACTTCTTTAGAATTTTTGATATGTGGTCAGTGATGTTTTGAATGTGAAGTAGGACTACAGTGGCATGTGTAGGATTGCTTTCGGCCTCATTGTTATTGGAAGATTGTGGTGTATTTTTTGATGGAACGTTTAATATCTTTAATGTGGAAATTATTGGAGAGAAGAGCAGAGGTAAGGTATTTTAATTCTGGGTTCAGTGACTCGGGCTGAGATAGATTTACGGCTCTGTAAACAAGAAAGTTGATAACCGATGATTTTTGGGCCGGATGGTGATGTGACCATGCATTAAGGTATCGGTCTGTGTGCGTAGGTTTCCTCTAAACACAATGATCCAATGTTAGGTCTGATTTTCTATTGATAAGAATATCTAAGAACGGAAGGTTATTATTAGTTTCCAACTCAATGGTAAAACATGCAATCAGTTCTTCCACCAACGAAACATCCGAGAGTCTATAGAAATCTATAAACAACCTAACAATCTTAACCGCGACTCAGGTCTCTACCTGTCAACACTATATAAGCAGGTACAGAGTAAAATACGAGCCAGTTTCAGTGAAGCTCTGAAGAAGCCAACAGGATGATTGGCGAAACGTTAACAAGATCGACGCAGGAGGAATCCAGAAGTTTTGTAATTAATTAAAATTAATATTGATATTTAAGATTAGTAGATATACAAATGGCATGGACTTATGTCTCTATGTCAACTGCTTTCCATTGGAATGCCAAAGATATTTAGTGATTTTAGTGATAGGAACGTAAATTTTAATATCAAGTTTGAATTTAAAAATATCCATTTTGATGTTAAAATTAAATAGGAAAGAATGTTTGAACTTACGTTCTTTTTTCTTCGACCTTTTTCGCGAATATCTTCTCCCACGTGTACATTTTAATTATTTTTATAGCGGACAGCGCTTCTTGGGTGGCCTGGAGTCGTTGATCTGTTTTGTGGGCCAGTTCCAGTCGCAGGTTTTTTATCCTCTTTCCGATGTAAACTGATATTTTATAAAAAAAAAAATGTTAGATTTGGTTATATAAATATAGGGATCTATTTTTTTTACTATGGAGAAAATGACGCATTATAAATGAAAGGTGTTAACGATGATGGTGGAGGATAAATCCATCTCGTGTTAAAGGAGAGTCTGATATGAAAATGTATCAAATTTAATTAAATATCTTACTTTGGATCGGTATCACCAAGAGAAGGACTCCAACTCCGATAAAACAAGATACGCCCATCTTGTTATAAATTAAGTAACTAACTACAGTCATCCGGATGAGCTCCATCCACATATCGTTAAACATGTAAATTGCTTGTTCAAATACCAACACGTCCTTCGTGATCACCGTGATAATATTTCCTAGGCTGATTTCGTTCATAGCGGTTGGGGTTAGCTTCAAAGCTTTTCTGTATACCATGGAACAAAGGCAGGTCCTGATCTGAATAGCGAGTTGTTGCAGGAATAAAATGTAGTTTTGGAGTGAGAACACGTTTAACAGTTTCGCTCCGATCATGAGCGCTGCGTAATACAGAGCGTCGTGGAATGTCAACGTTGCTTGGGTTGGATTAAAGTAGGATACGAGCTTGCCAATGGCTTCAGGTTCCACGACGCTAAAAATATACATATTTGTTACATCGTTTACAATAATATCATAATGGTGATTACTGCTAGTTTCCGTCGTATTCTCACAAGTGTTTGATTTATGGAAAACTTTTAAAAACAAATATTAAACCAAACAAAATATTGTTTGGTTCTACCAAAAAAATTTCATTTTTGTTAGGTTATTGTCACTTTTTGAGTTAAAAAATATTTTTTTGAAAATTCTGATATGAGCTTAACAAAGTCTTCGCTATAAATTAAATTATCAGGACAAATATTAACATTGTAGAATTTTTTAGCACAGATAGCATCAGTTGATTCACCGTAGTTACCCAAAAGTAATTTTCTAAGTCTATGTTATCCATTCATTTAAATTCACACTCAAAAAGATTTCAGGCTGCCTTGAATTTCTTGTACCTAAACTTACAAGATTTCTAAAATCATAAAATCCAGTAAGCCTAGTTATTGTTTGAAATCCTATTGAGTTTAGATTTAACAGAACAAATAATATAAATGGAGTTCCATTAAAAAATATATTTGGACTATTACAGAGCTGCGGATGTTATTTAAAAAATTTTTGTTTCTTAACTTAAAAGTGATGATATTACATTTAATTTTTTAAAAAATTCGAGAAATTTATACGCTACGTCTATATTTTATATCGCATTAAATTAGGAGAAAGTTAAGATGCTTACCTTACAGCATGCGGTTTGAAAACGTAAAAGATTCGAAGTACTTGTTTTTGTAAAAACGAAGCAGGGAAAATACAAAGTTTAGACAATTATTAGCAAATTTTAACAATAAATCTCACCGGTCCCAAGAAATTAAAGATTTAAATAATATATTTATTTTAGTTAAAATTTATCGTAATTCATATTAGCTAAGTTTGAGTAGCATAGTTTGTGTAAGTGGAGTTTAAGAATTTTTTTCTATTTTTTTACATATTGAGTTTAGTTTTTAATATTGTAAGGACTACATTAAACCCCATTTTTTAAATTTCATTTGTTGAAGCACTTTAACTTAAACCTTCACAGAGAGAACACTACTCGATACCAGACTTCTATTTTAGTGAGCAGTAAGTTAAGCGTATCAGATTATTTTTCAGAAAATTATTATTATTATATTATTAGTTATGAAGTATGTTACATATTTAAAATTTTTGTTCCAGCATTTCACAATTTTATGGTCTATAATAAGCGTGTGTAAGGTATGTATTTCCTCACCAACATTTTATTTTTTAAACTATGAGAGATATTGAATTGAAATTGTGGGAATATTATGAACGAAATCTTTTTAATATTATAAGAACTGCATAAAATCCCATTTATAACATTTAGTTTCTTGAATCAACTTAAACCATCATAGAGAAAACACTACTCGATGCCAGACTTCTATTTTAGTTAGCAGCAAATTGGCGAATTAGAATTTTTTGCAGAAAATTGTTATTAGCGTTTGACAATTTTATTGTCTATAATATGCGTGTGTACCTCCTCCTCTCCTTACCACCATTTTATTTTTTAAAATATTGGAGATCTTGAGTTAAAATTATGGATATATGATGAACGATCTTCACTAATTTATTTTATTTCAATTCGACCTTTCCCGTCGCTTCTTTGAATGATATGGGTTCAAAATTATAATAATAATATTTGTATATTTACTACTATTGTATGTATTTTATTTAAATGCAGTTATCACTAGGAAAAATGAAATGTTATCATTTCTTTAACAAAATATGTTTAAAATTTGAAATAAAAAAAATTAATAATCAAAGTGTTTTTTTTCCAAATGGAAAAAATTTTAACTGTCACCAACATTGTTAGTATTTACTTTAAGCATAATAGATCTGGCCTTGCCAAATTGGTTGCCTAGTTTACTTTGCATTTTCTATCAGCAACGGTAGACAAGATGCTTGCTAAGCTTGTTCACTAAATTTACAAGTGCTTGAAAAAACTTGTAGGTCTTTGGTGAAACTGATCAAGAGGTAAATTACAATTTACGATTTAGGAGGTTCATGGCTCTTACCTTACGAAAATTTTGGCCGACACCCGAATGATTCCCAAAACTACATATCTGATGCCGAAACACTGCCACATCAAACGGGCTAAGGAGGGATTCGTTCGGTTTTTTTGCCGCTTCCATTTTTTTTCGAACCTGTCGCCATTTTTCTTCGCCTTACACGATTCGATCACTTCGTATATGTCGTCCTCCACTAGGTCCCTTTTGAACGCTTTCTTAAACAACCCGAAAGTGTACCTAAAATCATTTTCATATTTGTAAACATAGACGCCGAATTTGAAGTCGCTACTCACGTAAAAGTCAAGAGAGAAAAAATGTTAGCTCGGTCCTTGGGATTTTGTTTTCTGGTAATAATTCCGTAGTGATCCATAACGATTTCTAGACACTTCCCTTGTCCTTGTTGGTATTTTGCTTATTAATTTCATCACCGTGCGTCCCCGCACGTGTCGACCAAAACAAAACCCTAAAAAAGTGTTCTCTTTCCACCTACGGGTTCAGTGTTTTCCAATTCAATTGAAATCTACATTTTATTATTAAAGACAAAGGGAGAGATTGTAAATATTGAACGGTTAATAGTAAATATTTGAGGTAAATAGAAATGATTTGAATGCCTCATTATTCCCCGATTTAAAAATTCTTTACTAATAGATTATATATATTTTTGGGCGTACGGTTAATGTACAGCCTGTCGAGAAACACGCTGTTCGGAGATAATCAACCGGAGTCATCAATCGCAACTCTCTTATGGCTTGTGAATTTATAAATTTTGGTTGCTTGAAAAAATTTTAATAATTTTTTTTATTATATACTTGTTTGTCCTGTGTCAATATGTTTTGTAATAGCAATAGCTACTAGGTCTTGCCAATGCTGAGGATACACTCACATTTATTTATTTAAGTGGAAAAACGATATGAAAAATAACACTCTAGTGTAAAAGCTGCAACTGCAAACTTCTTGTTTACAAACTCTATTAAAAAGATTCTCTCATAATTTTTCCTATGAAAAGATATTGAAAAAGATTATAAATACTTAGAATTATATTACCTAAATTACCCAATGTAACTAATACTTTAACGATCAAATTTCCACCAATCCATAGATTAAAGCCTATACATTCTGATAGATTTGACTGACATATGTTCTATTTGATTCCTAAAACTCGATACAAAATTGGGCTGCTTCATTTATATTCAATATTGGGATTGAAGGCTATTCTTCTGTTACAAAACGATCTGGAAGTACTTGTGTATCTTTAAATTTTAAATTCAGTTATATCTAAGTCTTTTTGCAAGAAGATCATGTTCTTTAGCGAACATCAGAAATAAACAAGAATCTTTGAATCCCTTAACAGATAATATATATATATATATATATATATATATATATATATATATATATATATATATATATATATATATATATATATATATATATATATATATATATATATATATATATATATATATATATATATATATATATATATATATATATATATTAAAGAAGTGGAGTGACCTACTTGGGGGACACCCGTTTTTTACTGCTAGATTTCTCTTACTAAAATAACTCTAAGCACTAATCTTAATAATTTGTGAGAAAAGCTTATAACAGCAAGTGGTTGACAAAATATGCTCTGATGTCAACTTTAAAAAATGTTGAGAAAGATATGGAATGGAATTGCTATCAGTAACTAGCAGCCTTCTTCGGCAATATTTTTTGAAAATATGCCCAGGAAATCAAAATAACGGTTTGATTGTAGGAACAGTTTATTTGCGTATCTGCAAACTAATGTCGGCCTATAAACTTGATTTAAAAGAACAACAAACTGTTAAAAACTGCACAAATATCTGTTTCCGTTTCAGAGGTAGAAGAGTGTTTTTCATTTCAACATTTCCAAAACAAAACTTTAAGCGCAATTTAATATCTTAACTATAATATTTTTTTTAAGTACTGTTACGTTTGTTAATAACACAAAATTGTTTTTTTATATATTTATTTTGTTTTATATAGCTCGGTTGATATTTTGCTCTTGTATTGTTTGAAAAAACAGACATTTTGAAGTTTCAAAAAGTAGGTTTTGTACTGTCCGACCATTTATGTAGAATAAAAATGGGCGAAACTGTGATTTTGGTTCTAGTTTAGCATTTTAAATAAATTTCAAAGAAGCAGCGAGAAACACATAAATTCTTCTGGAAATCACTTTAACAATTTAAAGAGGTAGTTTTGGTTGTAGAACAAATTGCTTGCTTTTTGGATTCAAAAAGGTTTTGAAAAAAACCAAACACAAAACTGTAATATCCTATTTATTTGAAAGACCAATTCAAAAATCGATGTACTAACAGCCAGAATAGCAATTTAACAACTTCCAGTAACCATTTGTTTTCGATATTACGTCCAAAGCCTTTCAAAATGGTGATAAAAAGTGTCCAATTAGGCCCACCCTGTACATACATCGCTGTTTAGATCGAAAAGGAGGTTGTACGAAAATATCATAGCCGCCTATTTACAGCCTTATTATTTAATAGTTATAAATATATGGGTATGCCTTTTTGACAGGTTGATGTAACCAAGAAAAAATATTTCTCTTCAGGGTGCATCTATTTTTGTTTAACAATATTCAGTTCAAAATTACCAAACAATAAAGTAAAACATGCCAACTTACCGAATAGCCCGTAGTTTTCCAAAATTCGCAATGTCGGACGTAATATAAAACTACGCGAATCCACGCTAGAAACGCATTCATTAAAGGCGCCAAGGATGTCATGCGAGACGGCTTACTCTCGTACCTCCGTTTGCCAGGATTGAAGGTTTAATTTTTTGATTAAACGCGTCGTACTCAAGAGTAATTGGCCAATTTATGAATTGTTCCGATAGCTTCAAGGGTTTGTCCGCGACGAATTTAGGGAAATTGGAGATAATTTTTTAATGCCACTCATTTGAATAAATCGCCCGCGCCGCGTTTGCAATCATCATACAAAGTAAGCGACTTTAGCGTACAGGGTGTTAAGGAAATAACGACCACAATTCGTCCAGTCAGCCAATATATAATGTTAAAAAACCAAATCGCCCGTCGCGAATCTAATATAGTTAAAGTGTCAATAAGTGCGTTTGAAGGTTCAGACGACGGAGAGCGGCTCTTCTTATCTTTATTCGCCAATGTTGTCGTGTCATTAGATTTTATTTACGGAGGCCACAAAGAAGGATATGAATCATAGCCTTGAAAAAATGACTTGGAAATTGTTTTTCAAATCAATGGTTATTGTTTTTGAAAATTGATATTAGCTACACCGCGTGAAAAGTTTTTGCAGGTTTATGTCAAAAGTTTTCAAACACTACGTGAAATTAGTAATTTTGAGATATTGTTTGGCGTGCCTTTTTAGACACTTTTCTCAGCATTATCATCAACTTTTAGAGAGGAACAGGGTGGCTGGTGCAGTACACTGCGTACCATTGTATTCTGGTATATAATCCTTGAAAAAATTAATTTTTGAATGTAAAGTCTTATTAAAATGACATATGTCATATTACTGCGTGGCATAAAGTGTAGTCTGTCTCAATCTTCAACGTACCTGCAATTATGGAAGTTACCTCTGGTCTGGTAGGTATTAAAGGACAGAACATTAAAGACAAACTCTCAAAGGTTTTGGTATTAATTTTTTTTTGGTTTATTTAGGTTGGTATAATCCTATTAAATTACACTAAGAAAATGACAATGACATTGAATATATACAATAAATTCATAGCTATTCATAATTACATTTTTATTCTAAATGCTAAATGTATCTAATTCTGTTTCAATATCACAGTTTTTTTGTATAGAAATGTAAGAGTACTCAATATTCAAAATGTGCTGTACTGAATTTTTTCAGCTCTCAATTGGTATGTTATTAATTACATTTTTAACAAATTTATAACACTGGGTCTGAACGTAGGAACAACATTTTCTGTTCTGACATTTGATTTTACTTGGTCCTATAAATTATCTATAGGGTTAAACATGCAATGATATGGAGAAAGACGTAAAACAGTAAACCCAGTCTATTCAGCCAAATTAGCGCGTACATACCGTTTCTTAATTGCATAGGACTTCCAAAAGTTGCGCTTTTTTGTAACTGAGTTCAAAAATAAATATCACTTTCTAACAAATATTCCTGGATTTTGGTTTCTGAACTTGATGAGGCGTTGCTTTTGGTAGCAGACGGCTGTAGCTTACATTATCTATGACAATAACACTGTTATTGGGAAACTTTTTCAAAAGATTATTTTGAAACCAATTTTCAAAATTTCGGCACTTGTATCCTCATGGTATACCAAATTAGAATCCTTAATATTATTTACAGACAACAGCGAGCAGTTCTGACCCAACGTATATTATGGTGATGCGTTTTCCTTTATTTAAAGGTGCTTTCGACTGACAGTTTTAAATGGAATCATCCATCAAAGTAAATTATGGATCTATTGTCTAATATATATCTTTTAATTTCTTCAAGGTAATTAAATCTCCAAGTACGTAATCTGTGTGATTCCATTACCACTTGCATTTTGTCTATTTTGCGGTACTTAAATTCCATTTTACAAACAACTCTTTGGAGGGTGTCACGGCTTATATTTATATTGGTTTGATCTTTTTCTAACTTCTTTGCCAGTTCATCCAAGGTAGAAACAAATTCGCTTTGATAAAGGCAATATATTTTCCTTCTTATTACGTCCTGATCACTATTGTCTATACGATGAGTTTGTCAATGACTACGGTTATTCCTGTTCTTCAATTTCTTCAATTCTCCGCTTATCGACGATATTGGCGTTTTTGTAAGTAGGCAGGTTTCTTTTAACTCTTCTTGTTTAATAAGTCCTCGACAAATTAAAGGTTTTGCATCAAACGACAAATGATATTGTTCCTCGTAAATAGCCTTAAATAGTGTAAAATAGCCTTTTCGAAACGCACAGTAAAGACGACTATTCAACACTGCCACAAAATTACAACACTCAAGAAATATAGCAGATAGAAAGAAGTATACCCGACTCACGCCTGCCTTATCACTCAAGTAGGAATACATTTTTTGTTAATGGCTTTACCCCATAACAATAGGTAATGACATTGTTAAAGTTTTATTCGGAAGGATCCATAGAAAGCCAACACGATGAAGATTGAGACAGGCTATACCTCACAACATCTGCAGTGTTTAGAAGTTTAAAAAAACTACTGCAGAAGAAAAGTCAAGGGAAAATAAATGTAAACTAAAACTACACTGATGCGCCTCATATACATCATCGAAAGAAAAAGTAGCTAATGAAAAAGTTATTTCAGTAAGCTTAAAAAAGACAACATAATACTGTGACGGAAGTGAAGGTGACGCGTGGGTAGTCTGAAAGGGCAAAAAAAGCGAGTCTCAAGGTCCAATAACTACTATGTGCCACACCCCAAGAAAAACTGACTTTACCACCTCGACCTAGAGCTCATAATTCACAAGCTACAGGTGTTTTTCGAAATCTTACGATATCATTTTCCTAGTCTCATAAAAGTGAATAATATGCACACGGTATTTTTTGGTCTTCAATAATAACATAGTTTGCTATATTGACGCATCATGCATGTATGTAATAATTTTGATAAAAATATCTCCAATAATGTAGAAGATATCAAAAAGCACTCTTTTTCTGGTAGGAAAGAATTTTCCGATATATTTTTCAAAACATCGCGAAATCTGCGTTGTCAGATCGAGTCAGATGCACGCTAGTTTCGAATAGGGTTCGAAAATAAATATCAGAAAGAAAAATAAACAGCAAGCGTTTAATTCTATCATTTATCGAATAGATGTGCGTTGTCGGCCTGGAGCATCTTGGCGAAGAAACTGCGCTTGTCGTTCAGCAAACGTAGAGGTTCGTCCATTTCGACTATTCTACCTTTCTCCATCACTATGATTTGGTTGCAGTCCAACACCGATCGCAATCTGTGCGCGATAATGAATACGGTGTAGTCGGCAAACTGTTCTCTCACGACTTTTTGCACCAGAAATTCGGTCTCGGGGTCCATATTGGAAGTAGCCTCGTCTAAAACGACGATCTTGTTCTTCTTTATTATTGCCCTTGCCAAACAAATCAACTGCCTCTGGCCTGTCGAGAAATTCGATCCGTGGTCTGTGATGGCCAGTTCCAGCGTGTCGATGTGCTCTTTCATGTGAACTTGGTCCAGAGTCTGCCAAACTTCCGCATCGGAGTACCTTCTTAACGGGTCGATGTTTTCTCGTATGGTTCCTGGAATTGTACAGCCCATAAGTTAGGAATGTGCTTTTTGAGTCAAAATAGTCCATAGCGTGAAAATGAAAAATATCGTTCGCTCAATAGTTTTTTGTCCATCGAATATATATATATTTTTTTCCAAAATGAGTCGTCGTAAATTCATAACAATGAACATTATTAGAATTAGGTAAAAACGTTTACTTGAAGGAAGAGGACATGTCAAAACCGGGACTTATAGCACCATAGATAGAGTTACTTACCTTGAAATAGCAACGGGTCCTGAGGAATAATGGATATCTTGTCACGTAACAGATCGAGCGAAATAGTTTTGGTATCGATACCGTCTATAGACACATTTCCCTCAAAGTCGTATAACCGGAACAACGTGGAAATTATCGATGATTTTCCAGCGCCTGTTCTACCGACGATGCCGATTTTGTGCTTTGACTTGACCTCGAAACTGATGTCTTTAAGCACCTTTTCATCTTTGTACGCCAAAGAAACGTTTCGGTAGGCTACTGCGCCACCAGACGGCCAATTGGGCAATTTCTGGCCGTAGTAGTCATCCTGAGGCACTACGGTGTACTCGAGAACTCTTTCCACCGAGGTCATATCGTTCTCCAACTCGGTCCATGAGGATAAAACCCATTGAACTAAAGAAGCCAGCGTTGCCGCTTTTGTGATTGCCAAGCCTACGTCCCCAGAGGCTTCACCTGTGAAAATTTTATTGGAGATATGGCAAGGTGCCAAAATCAAATCATAAAACACGGACTGTACGAAAATGTGTAGTTATCCTACCTATTTTTTAATATATTTAGTTCGTTGAAAAAAGTGCATTCAGTATTTATTACATTTATCATAAAGCTCGCAAGATAAAAGTACATCTGGCAATATTACATTACCTGATCCAAAGAGAAGCAACTTTCCTACGATAGCGGCAACAAACAATGTCGATAAGAGATTCATGAAAAACCCGAAGGCGCTTCTTATGCAGAAGGTCATATAGTGGGCCGAGGTGTAAAGATCTTGGTGCTTGTCAAACTCCTCTTCGAGGATTTTCTGAGCCTTAGACGCCCGTATAGTAGTGACACCTTCTATGGATGCGTTCAGGTGACCAATTAAGGGACTTCGAGCTGAAAAACAGTCGGTATGATATAAAATAATTGCTGCAAACGCAGTTTTAGTATGTTTTGCTAATTTAGGAAACTTCAAATTGGTGGACATGGTGCAAACTTAATAGACCGACCTGAATGAAATAGGAGATGGTTTAAATTGATAAATTTTGCTATAAACACTTCACGAGATGAAGTTATATTTCATCCTTAGCCATAATTTAATGATTTTTATTTTTTTCTCCTTTCGGTGTAGAATTTTTTAATTGATTTTCCTATCGATAAATTTTCGATTGTTTTCTGTTGAATTTTCCATAGCTTTTCAATTTCAGGCACATTTTAATCACTCTTATTATTTACTGCGACACTGATTTTTATTTCAGAATTTCCAGTTCCCACCACATTGATGATTTTCAATAAACATTCAACCAAGCTTGCTGTTAACTAATGGAGTAGAATTATAGTTTAGTTAGTTGAAAAATTAGTCCGTTATCACACATCGGTGGAGTTAAAAATATAGTCGAAAGAAACCATTACTGTCCAATTCGACAATGTTAATAGTAAAACAATCATGTAACAAGTACTTAGATGACAAAAGATTAAACTGTAGGACAAAGAAGCAGATATTTTAATTTTATACAAAAAAAACACAGAATATCATCTGCGCTTTAAGTTGTTAGTGTTCTGTCCTTTGATTTTTCTTCATAAATTGCAGTGTTTTGTAGATGTAGAACTGGATGAAGCTTGCTGCTTATATATTGTTTGAGAGGCTGAGCTAAATGAGGGCCATAAACATCGTCTCGGATGACTGATTTCCATATTGGTGACAGGTGACAGACTTCCAAAGTCACCAATATGGGAAACAGTCATCCGAGACAATGTTTACGCCCCTCATTTAGCTCCAAGTCTCTCAAACAATATGTAAGCAGAAACAGAGTAAAATGCAAACCAGTTTCGGTTAAGCTCTGAGGAAGCCAACAGGATGATTGGCAAAACGTTAGCAAGTTCTACTTAACAACAACCGAGGCAGGATCCAGAAGTTTTGTAAATAGTAAGTTTGCCATTGTTTATACTATTCCTCTTAAATTAGAGTAGTATAATGTGCTAAATAACTTAATCAATCAAATAAGTTATATTTACTTGCAGCTTCCAATCTTTTCAAACTTCTGGCGGTCGGCATATAAATACATCTAAATATGTACATGCAAATCACCAATACTACTGCTGGAATCAAAAATTGTACGTTGACACTAGCAACCAATATTACAACAGATGTTGAAGAGAGCAATACCTAAAAAAAATAAATGCAAATTAAACTACATAAATACAACAAATTCGTAAAATTATTGAAAGTATTTTGAGCTTTTCGATAGCCTCTGGAGGTGTCATCCAAGACGGTGTTTACACCCCTCATTTAGCTCCGCCCCGCTCAAACAATATATAAGCAGGTACAGAGTAAAATGCGAGTCAGTTTCAGTCAAGCTCTGAAGAAGCCAACAGGATGATTGGCGAAACGTCAGCAAATTCGACTCAGCAAAAGCCGACGCAGGAGGAATCCAGAAGTTTTGCAAAACGTAATGTAATATATCATTTGAGTTGTTTATACATTGAAGTAAACACTTGCACCCTGGTACAATTTGATATACGACATGAATAATAACCAGAATTCAATTAATAGGTTTAATAAGATTTAGAACAACACCCTGTGTGCTGTGTGATGCAACTTGTTGCTGAACTTTGGTTGGCAAATGGTTTCACAGTAACTGGTACAATTGGTACAATGTTCATTTTGGCTGCTGTTTTCATTTGATGCATTATATTCGAAACATCCTCTATAACTAAGTGACTGGGTAATGCAAGGCAAAAATAAATAAAGAAATTCTTTACCATTATAAATCCGCTGACAGTGTGAGGCAAGTGTTCGTCTACAACGTTCAGATCTTGAGAAAACCTGTTCAAAATATTGCCGACGAAATAACTGTCGAAAAAGGACATTTTCGCAGTAGTGAGCGTTTCGATCATCGTATTATGCAAATTGACTGAAGCTTTTCTCGCGAAATTAGCAATGAGGTATTGCTTAATCAAGTCCACTATGATTGATGCGAATATGGTTGACGAATAAATACTCAAGCTCCACTTGGCTTGAGCTTCCAACGCAGCCATCACTGAATCTTGATGCGTATTGTTTTTTGTGGTCGAGTTTAGCTCTTGGATATACGAAATAGTGGTTCCTTCAAAGCTTGCAAATTGATAAGTTGGCAAACTTAACTCCACGGTTTTGTTGTCAAGTAGGACCGTGTTATTTTCAGTAACCTCTCTTTCCGACCTTTTCAACGTTGGTGCGTTTGTATACGCTGAAGTTTCGGTAGAAATTTTCGCCGTGCTGAATGTCTTGGTTGACTCTGTGCTAGTTTTTACAGCGAACGTGCCGTTCATCTTCAAATTAGTTATATCCTGTTGCAAGTTGATCCTAAAACACAAGAGGAATTATTCAAGAATGTTAAATGAGACAGACCAGATCTTTCCGAATTTCATACTTTCATTCTTGTTGTTATTATTTTTTATTTTTGAATTGATAAAAATTGTTCGATTATAATTAAAATGCACGTATATACAAAAAAACGCCTGCCGCCGAGTATTTTTAAATTTCATTCGTTTTTAAAAATGTGAAAACTACATTAAATGATTTCAAGTCTGCTGCAACCCGAAAGACAAGACCAATACATATTTTTAGAAGAAGGTTGGAATATTCTATAAAAAACACGGAAAATTTTAGAAGTTATCAGACTATGGAAGGTAATTAATAACAATAGAAGACAAGATTCACGGCAAAATAGGCTCAGGTAGGAGCCCAACTAAACCTGAGAACCCATGAAACATAACTCGCGTTACTCTTTTACTTTTACTGCCCTTTTATTTGGGCCTTTATAAAACCTAATTAAATTTTATAGCAGCAAGAAATACCATTTTTTTTACTGTTATAAAACCTACCTAGAGTTTTTATCACACACACACACCACACACACACACACACACACACACACAAATAAAAAAAACACCTCTTTTTCGCTGTACCTTTATCCATACCGTTTTGTTTACAATATATTTTATTTCGTGTCTATCTGTATTTTCTTTTTAATATAAAGTTGGCAGTAATGGATTTATACTTAATAACCATTAAATCAAATTAATTTTGTTTTTTAACCTTCCTAAAACTGAAGCGCCCTCGCGCGTTAAACCGTAATTTTAGGTAAAAAAATTTTTAATTGGATATTTTTGAAGTCTTAAATGTCTTCAAGTTTCAGGAATATTGCTTTACGAAGGTATTTATGGCAATGGCAATGGCAGCGCATTAAGAGACGCTTGACCAATTTAATTTTTTGAAAACTTATAGCTTTACATGGGCTATCAAATAATATAAAACACCTTGAAGACATTTATAAAATTTATCAGATGTGTTATATCAATATTGCTCTTGCAATAAAATCTAAAGTGTTTTTGGAATATATTTACAGTTTTATACCCACAAGGTATTTATACAAAACTTCGTAACCGATATAAAATTAAAAGCAACTAGAAGACCAATTGCTTTTGAGTTCTTTATTTATTTGCTCTACTAGACTAAGTGTTGTAATAAAGTTTTTAAGAACGCTAGAGAACCTTGTTAAAAAACCGACGTAACCATCCAAAGATTTTATAAATAAAGTAACGGAAACGATCTGCATGCAATGCAATGCAAAACTGTTATAAAAGCTAATATATCTTATAAACCCCTGAAAAACATCCTTAAAATAAAACCTTCATCTTCGAAAAATGTTAGTTGACAGTAGCACAATGGGAAATGATTTTACTTACCAGTTTGTCAGTTCTCTAGATGAATAAGTTTCGGTTCCGGTAGACACCAAGAATAGAATTGTTATGACGGAGAAAATAATAAAACCACCGCCAAACGAAAAGTACTTCGTGTAGACTCCGAAATCCACTTTTCCTTCCTTTTTCACTTCGCTGTAGATTTTCTGTTTCGTGAACTTCCTCTTTATCAAGTTCGTGGCTTCGTCTGCCACCTCGTCGTCCGTCTGCGAGTGCTCCGCCTCAATTTTCTCCTCCTCCTCCTCTATTTCCTTCAGCAGTTCGGTCTTGACTTCGTCGGACTTTCCGTCGTACACAATCTCGCCCTCTTTCATCAATATAAGATTGTCCGAGTTGTTTTTGTGTTTGACGTTGTGGGTAACCAAGACGCATATGTGATCCTTCAAAAACTCTTTGATACAATTCTGATAGATGTAGTCTTGAACGTGGGGGTCTAGCGCGTGCAGCGGATCGTCCAAAAGATAGATATCGCTTTTTTTGTATATCGCCCTGGCTAAGTTGATTCGAGCCTGTTGCCCGCCACTAAGGTTTATACCTCTGTCCGCCACGATAGTTTCGTCACCTCTGGCGAACAAGTCAAGGTCGTATTCGAGTGCGCAAACTTTTATTATGGCATTGTAGCGTTTCTCGTCGTACGGCTCACCAAAGACGATGTTTTGTTTGATAGAGGAGGGGAAAAGCCAGGGGTCCTGGGAGCAATAGGAAAATATCCCATCCCTGAATATTTTTCCGCTGTCTATCGTGTAATCCTTTAAGAATAGTTTGATTAGAGCGCTTTTGCCGCATCCCAGAGGGCCGGTCACAACGGTCAGACCAGGTTTGATTTCGGTCGAAACGTTTTTCAAAATTTCTTTTTTGCCGATCTTCACGGTTACGTTGCTAACTTTTAGTTTCGGCTCGTCGTAATCTCTGTGGTCTTCTCTGGCCAACTCTTTGCATTGGAGAATTTTGTTGATACGCGACGAGGACGCCAACAGTTCCGCTCCGCCTCCCAGCCCGAACGGAATCAGGATAATTATCGAACGTTGAATGTCGCTGAAGTTTTTCATGATGTAAAATATGACGTCGGCCTGGGCGTTTTCGGTTACATAAATGTAAGTGATGATCAGCGCATAGAGGCCCACTTTCGACGTGAAAATTCCGATGATCATATTGATAGATCTGTAGTAGAATGCCTTCATCAGATATTTCATTTCTTTCCTGAAATAGGAAAATTAACATTAATTAGGACACACTTAAAAAACAATAACAGTGTTAAGAAATTCTCACGGTTCTGAATACTATTCAGACGAACATTGTATTTACAGATTGTATAGAGTGTTTCAGAAAAATATGGTTATTTATTGCTTTCTAGTCCACGTCGGTGGAGACTACAGAGTGACCCCATGAATACTTAGTAGTATTAGTAGTACCACACGGATTTAGTTCAATCAATGATTCTGATAATTATTTACATTGTCTTTTGATACTTGCAAAAAAAATCCTTTTTTACCTATGCTTGAAATGTTTCGTTTTTATTTTCAATATTTTGAAAAGATAACTATTTTTGTTTGAATTTACGCAATCTCTAGTGTTTTATGTGTGTTATTATAATATATTACGATATTCAATCATATGGGACATTTAAAAATAATGTTGGCATTTTTACAGTCAATTTATACACATTTTGCTAACAGAAAATATTCCCAATGATGGCGACATTTTATTCTGTTACTGATATTATAGGTTAGTAGATAGTTTAGCTATCCTTTGTTGAAATGAAAGGTACAATTACAATACTGGAAGATCAAAAATTGTTTTATTGCACCAAATTTACCTACGCTTATGACAGACATCTAAATTGAGAGAAATTGCACGGAATTTCCCAATTTGATTAGTCTAGTCTATTCTAAAATAGAGAAACTAAAGTTGAAACATGTTAAATCTGAAAGTGTTATCGAGTGGTGAACCTGTGGCTTTGGTTATCTGCTAAAAATAAAATTGAAGTCTGTTAGGAATTTTAAAGGGCGCTGCTGATTGTTAGGGACTGAAACCGAGCACCAATGGAACTATAGTTTCTTGGATATTAATGACAGTTTTATTAAAAAACGAAACTATTCCAAAATTCCAAATTTGATTTTGACTCGTCTATCACTTATTTAGACCCCACATCCCAAATGCTGTAAATAAGTAATAAATTTAGTAGTAATAATTAGATTTAGATACTACACAAAATCCATCATGCGATGCAAGATTTGCATAGAATATTTCGCCGTACTTACGCTCGTTTTTCTTCAATTCGTTTGGAAAATATTTTTTCCCAGGTGTATATTTTTATTATTTTAATAGCGGACAAGGTCTCTTGGGTAGCTTGAAGGCGCACGTCCGTTTTGGCACTAAGGTTCAGCCTCAGGTCCTTTATTAGTTTTCCCACATAAACTGGAACGAAAAGAAGCAACAGTGACGTCACTAGGAATGAGTAATAAATCCTACCTTGCGCGGGTACTACAGCGAATAGTACCGCTACCCCCACCAACCCAGCCGGTCCGACTTTGTTATAAATCAAATAGCAAACCACAATAATCTTGGTGACGTCGATCCACGCGTCGTTTAACAACCAGACGGTTTTTTCGAACACCATCGCGTCCTTGGTGATGACGGTTATGATATTTCCCAGGCCGATTTCGTTCATGACTTCCGGTGTTAGCCTGAGGGCTTTTCGATAGACCAATGAGCAGAAGCACGTTCTGATTCGAATGGCCAACTGTTGCAAAAAAATCACGTAGTTTTGAAAGTAAAACGTGTCGAAAAGTTTTAGACCGATCATGATGGATGCGTAGTAAACGGCATCGTTAAAGGTTATCCGCGTTTGGTTCGGGTTGAAATAAGAGACCAGCTTTCCTATCGCTTCTGGTTCCAGTATGCTAAAATTAACAGAACAAACTACATAATTAGGGTCGGCTATTTTTAGAAATTTTCAGCATAAATAAATTTTTAAAACCACAAAGAAATGAAACTTTTAATAGAAATCAAAAAATCTTTAAGCTCAATTTTTAAAAAAACCACTGAATGATACTTAGGAAATTCCAGAACGACACTTAAAATAGGAGCATATTTTAATTGGAGAAAGATTGTTCTTAATTATTTTTAAAACATAAGTTATATATCGTTGAAAAAGGTACATAATTCAATTGACAACAAAAAGCAACATAAGCATACCACTCTCTACAACTTTGAAAATTTGAGTTGGGGGTGGACCGGTATCACCTACTATCCTGGCTTCGAAAAAAACAATTACATTTACATCTGAAACAATGCTAATATGATGACGATTTTTATGTTTTACTAATTTTGAGAAGTGGACCATTAAAATACAACAACTAGGAAGAAATAAATCACTGACAAAATGTATGTACATATTGATATTCCCCATAAATGTTTGAAATTCCCCTAATTCCCAGAAATACCCCAATGTGTTGTAAAATTCCTTGCAATCCCCCTGAAATTTCATAATGTTGTACGTTAAAATACCCCAATGATTTACCCTTCGCGTACAACTTCGGCGAAACAACGGTTTACGCTATGACAGTTAACTACTTCTGATTAACTTACCTATGTGTTAATTTTACAACCAGATGTATGACGCCCAAAAAAAGGTACCTTAAACCAAAACAAACCCAAAGTAGATGCACCAGCGACGGATTCTTTCTTTCTTGTTCTTCGCGCCATTTCTTTTCGAATTTGTCCCCGTTTATTTTGGACCTGCATGGCTCGATAACATCGTAAATGTCCTCCTCGACAAGGTCTCGTTTAGTAGATTTTTTGAACAGTCCAGCAGTGTATCTGGAATTAATGCATCAATTTATCTTTCAGTGATACGATGGCGTTTATAGAAAAACATTTTTCGTTCCTTTAATAATTTTAATTATAATTTAACTGGATAGTACCTGTTGCTGGTAGGATGTACTTACGAAAATGTTAGCAAAGAAAATATATTCGCCTTTTCTCTGGGATTTTTCTTCTTTTTTGTTTCTCCGTAGTGGTCCATTTTTTTATCGGCTCCTTCTTAAAATATATTTGGTGCCATATACGGAAAAACCTATGTTCCAAAATTCGCCACTCGATACCGTCTCTTAACGCGCAGTAAAATATAAAATGTTAAGTATTCCATAACAATTATTACAGAAATCAAATATCAAGTAGCAAAGAGATTAAACCTAATTATACATGTATTGTTCTGCAATCTTAACGGTGAGCTCTTTGTTTGTTTAAACTTATTTGTCAATGCAATTGTTTCGGCGAAATAACTGAGGTACACCAGGGTTGATGCGATAAGGTGTGTTAGTTTCAACCGAAAGTTTGATCAAGCAAGATGTCAAATGGAATGAAATGATCGTTAAATCTTGTGCCTCTGACAAGTATACGAATGTGTTTAGGATGGACCCAACTTGGATGCTTCTATCAAAAATTTTAGTAACTATAAGAGCTATCTGTCGCTCATAAGATATACAAAAAAAATGCAAATACAAAAGTAGTAAGATTTTTATTGAACTTTAATAATTTTTAACCGAACTTGTCAAAAAATATTGTAAAATGTCAAATTTTATCAGATTGGTGTTTTTCTAAGTGGGAAAATGTTTTTTTCTAATTTAACTTTCAAAGTTCAGACTTCAACATATCATTAAAATGACATTTAAGTCTTAAAATTTAATAATTAGCCATGACGAACGCAATTGCAACTAATAAGTCCATAATATCATTTTCGCTTCAATTTCTTAACTAGAATAAATTTCTTAACTCACACTGTTATTAACTGCTGCATTTTCAAGTTGCTATTCTTCTGTGATTTTGTGATTCAAAATACACTTCTGAATAATTCTTTAAAAATTTGAATGCCTTCGTAGATATAATCATACACATGTCTATTTAAATCAAGAGAAAGCCTGTCTTTAGATAGCCCCAGGGCGAAAACGTCAAGTGGAGCGCTATCTGGATTATTTGATAGCCACCTTAATGAGCAATGAGCAATGATGGATAATAATCACCATGTTGTCATGTTGAATTAACAGATTCTTCAATTTCAACAAATCGTATTATTTTTTCTCTTTACCAAAAATGTTTTTCTTTTGTGTTGGTCATTCCTGCAGTGCTAAATGTCGACTCAACAGTCAAAGGTAAGTATGAAAATGGATCACATGAAATATGATGAAATAAATCAAATAATGGTAATAAATAAGTGATGAAAAACGAATATTTAAAGCAGGAAACATTCAAAGTACGATAAAATATTATATAATATTTTAGTAGTATTTATATAATATAATATACGAGCTGCTCTAAGATGACCGAGAAGGCGCCGATGACGAATCACTATTAGAAAAGTGGCTGCAGACATCATCAGCATATCTATTGGCTCATGCAATGAAATTTTTTCCTAAGTTTTGGGCATAAAACGTGTACCAGCAAAATTTGTTCCGAAACTGCTTAATTCCCGCCGAAGGAGCATCGCTCAAGAGCTGATAACCGCCGTCAATGATGATCCTGATATGCTCAAAAAGGTCATAACTGGTGACGAATAATGGGTTTATCAATCAAGACTCTATTCACCGGATATGGCCGCCTGCAACTTTTTCCTGTTTCCAAAAGTGAAGAAACCCATGAAAGGACGAAGGTTGGGAACGATTGAGGAGATAAAGAAAAAATATCTGGAAGAACTAAAGGCTATACCAGAAAGTGCTTACGAGAAGTGCTTCGAGGATTGAAAAAAAAACGTTGGCAGAAGTGTATTATATCTGCGGAGATTACTTTGATGGAGACAACATTAATTTTGAAAAATAAATAAATACTGTTTGATAAAACACATTAAAAGTTAGCATATATTGTGAACACATATCTCTCTAGTTACTAGCTCTAGATACACTTACATAGTCATTTAAATAAAATCGTTTAATGATACCAAGCTTCTTTTCTTCGGAATAACCCTTTTGATAAATGATAAATATATTTGATACAAGTTGCGATCTACAAAATAAAGAACTTTTGAACTCTTATATTTATAAAACTAATTGGCGAAATGTCACAAATGTACTTTTGTATTTTTTAAATCAGAATTAACACATAAGAATTTGCAACAATATAGATACAGGGGAGTTCTATTAAAACCTATCAAAACATTTTATTTTGGCAAGTTCCAACAAAAAATTTTAAAAGTTCAATAAAAATCATAAAACTTTCGTATGTCAGATAGGGAGTAAAAATATCGCTTTTTTGAGAGCAACTCAATTATGGAAATCACAATCGTCGTTCTTTATCAATTTTTTGCATAGAATAAATATAGAAATTGTTCTACTTTGAGGCGAGAAGTGAAGTGAAGTGGTGACGGTTGGTCATGACGTTATATATGTTGTATATGTGAGGTTATTCCTTGCGGGTTGGGCACTACAACCTTCCTTTATTTATGAAGAGTAAATTCTGGTGTTATAGGAGAAGCAGATATAATTGGGATTGACAATTAAACGCCAACTTGTCCACCTGGAACTTACTTATAAATTTTAGTGCAACTCAAAACTGCCAATTTTTATTGGTGAAATTAGAAATGACACACGGATTTTCGAAAAAATCAGATCTTTTATTTTTAGACTCCTAAAAAACACCTCTCACTCGTGATATTCGCAAAATCTGTATTCAAAAAATCGCACAACAGTGTACTACAGAAAAATAACACTATAATACATAATTTCTTTCCGATCACTTGTCGTACAGATGAGTGTTATCCGCCTGGAGCATGCTGGCGAAATAACTGTTTTTATTCTCGATCAAATGTAGAGGTTCGTCAAACTCCACAATCTCGCCCTTCTCCATAACGATAATAAAATTACAATCCAGCACGGATTGTAATCTATGGGCGATTATAAACACCGTACAATCGACGAACTGGTCGGCGATAACTTTCTGGACCAAAAATTCGGTGTCCGGGTCCATGTTCGAAGTTGCTTCGTCTAAAACTACGATTTTGTTCTTCTTTATAATCGCTCGGGCCAAACAGATGAGCTGCCTCTGCCCGGTCGAGAAGTTGGAACCGTGATCCGTGATCGTCAGTTCTAAAGCGGACGTGATCTTTCATATGAACTTTATCCAACGCCTGCCACACTTCTTCGTCTGAGTACCGATGGAACGGGTCGATATTATTTCTAATGGTACCTACAAAGCGCAAAGAAATCCTTTATTGGTTTTTATTTGTTGGTTTTAATAATTACTGAAGAGGCCTAACGAAGGCGAAGAATATTGAACTATCTGTGCCAAAAGCGTTAATAATTTGAATTTGAGCGAATTATAAGGAATGTAGCAGGAAATTAACGCAAAAACAATGCTTTGCAATAATTTCAATTTAACATTATATCGAAGTGAAGTGAAGAGTAACAATAGATAATGTCGATATATATAAGTGTTCGAAGTGTTTTCGGAGCGCGAGCATTGAAGATGCCAAGTGAGATTTTGGCAAAACGTCTGCAGGATTCCAGTCGGATGCAAGATTTGCAGGATTCCAGTCGGATGCAGGATTCCAGTCGGAGTTCAACGAGCGAACGGATGATATCCCGGAATATAGTGTCATCACATTTTTCCATCCGTGAATCAATACGTGAGAATATATATATATATATATATATATATATATATATATATATATATATATATATATATATATATATATATATATATATATATATATACAGGGTTTTTCACTTAAAACTCCGCACGCCAATAAGTCCAAAACGAAAAGAAATATTTAATTTATGTAAAAAGTAGTCAAAGTATGGGGTCAAGTAGATATTTCCTAAAGTTTAAAAAATTCGACGCCTGCAAAGAGCTGGGCGTCGCGACGCGTCGAAAAATTATTCGATTGCAGAGACTTTGGAAATACGCGCATACAAAAGTACATATTATTTAAAAACTTTTTTGTTATTTACTCAAACTTATTTACTTTACCCGTTTCTAAGTTATACCGATTTAAAGTAAATATTTCTTGATTAATAAAAAATGTGATTAACGCTTATTTTTACAAGTATGCCATGAATGTTAGTTACTATGGCAACCATTGTTATCGCAGTTGTTTTAAGTGCAATTACAAACAATAGATTTCAACTATTTTAGTATGATTTTATTTATTATTTTTTATCGATTTAGTTCTGATAACATGATAAATAAATGAAAAAACAGTAAAATACCTACAAGTTAATAACCAAAATTATTATTGCAATTAACTACATAATAAGACATTTCAAAAATTTTGTTCAAAATTATGTCCATCTGCTCGAACACAACTATCAAAAACTTTTAACAGATGAGCTTGGGTCACTTGTAGGAGAGTCCTTCTTGTGATAGCGGCACACGCTGCACTAATTTTGTTAATGAGATCAGCCATATCTTAGATAGGTTCTTCATAGATAACGTTTTTCAGGTAGCCCCAAAGAAAATAATCTGGTAGTGTAATGTCCGGGGACCTCGCCGGCCACCTTACCGGTCCAAACCATCTATTGGGATATTTTCGGTTCAAATACCTCGTAACTATTTGGGCATTATGTGCAGGCGCTCCATCCTGCTGTAGCCACATATTCATTCTAGTGTCAAGAGGCACTTCTTCTAATAGTTCCGGAAGTGTAGTTTGAAGAAATCTTAAATAGCGATCTGCATTTAAAGTTCCTTCGTAAAAGTAAGGTCCAATAAGGAATCCATTTAATATGCCGCACCAAACATTGATACTAAAAATTCGTTGGTTACCTCTTTCTGTAATCCAACGAGGATGGTTTTCGAACCAAAAACGACAGTTGTGTCTATTAACGATTCCATTATTTTGAAATCGACTTTCGTCGCTCCATAAAATTTTCGAGAGAAAATTTGCATCTTGGCTATATAAATCGGACAATGTCGCTAAGAAATACATTCTTCTAGCATAATCGCCTGGTTCTAGTTTATGAACTAGTTTACTTTTGTACGGGTGAAAAGAGTTTCTATGTAGAATTCTCCACGAAGAAATTATGGTAACACCGGTATTTTCTTTTATCTCTGATAGGGATATCTTGGGGTTATTATCAACCTGCTGAATTACAGCAGCAGTATTTTCATCATTTGTAGCCGCCCTGTTCCTATCTCTTTTAGGTTTCATGAAGCTGCCATATTCTCTTAAGTTTTTACATAAACTTGAAAAGGTTTTTGCATCGGGGACTCTTCTATGCGGATAACGCCGTGCGTAAACTCTTTTTGCTTCCCTACAATTGCATCTGCATTCTCCAAACACCAGTAACATGTCTACTTTTTCCTCATTGCTAAATTGCACCATTTTCACATAATAATTCTTAGTTTTTTTTTAACCGAACAAATTTGGATATTTCTTGTGACAAAATGTGACAATTTTTTGATACAGCAATAACAACTTACGTTTGTAATTGCACTTAAAACAACTGCGATAACAATGATTGCCATAGTAACTAACGTTCATGGCATACTTGTAAAAATAAGCGTTAATCATATATATATATATATATATATATATATATATATATATATATATATATATATATATATATATATATATATATATATATATATATATATATATATATATATATATATATATATATATATATATATATATATATATATATATATATATATATATAACTTAGAAACGGGTAAAGTAAATAAGTTTGAGTAAATAACAAAAAAGTTTTTAAATAATATGTACTTTTGTATGCGCGTATTTCCAAAGTCTCTGCAATCGAATAATTTTTCGACGCGTCGCGACGCCCAGCTCTTTGCAGGCGTCGAATTTTTTAAACTTTAGGAAATATCTACTTGACCCCATACTTTGACTACTTTTTACATAAATTAAATATTTCTTTTCGTTTTGGACTTATTGGCGTGCGGAGTTTTAAGTGAAAAACCCTGTATATATATATATATATATATATATATATATATATATATATATATATATATATATATATATATATATATATATATATATATATATATATATTCTCACGTATTGATTCACGGATGGAAAAATGTGATGACACTATACTCCGGGATATCATCCGTTCGCTCGTTGAACTCCGACTGGAATCCTGCATCCGACTGGAATCCTGCAAATCCTGCATCCGACTGGAATCCTGCAGACGTTTCGCCAAAATCTCACTTGGCATCTTCAATGCTCGCGCTCCGAAAACTCCGAAAAAAAAGTGTTCGAAGTGTTCGGAGCGTGAGCATTGAAGATGCCAAGTGAGATTTTGGCGAAACGTCTGCAGGATTCCAGTCGGATGCAGGATTTGCAGGATTCCAGTCGGAGTTCAACGAGCGAACGGATGATATCCCGGAGTATAGTGTCATCATATATATATATATATATATATATATATATATATATATATATATATATATATATATATATATATATATATATATATATATATATATATATATATATATATATATATATATATATATATATATATATATATATATATATATATATATATATATATTATATATATATATATATATATATATATATATATATATATATATATATATATATATATATATATATATATATATATATATATATATATATATATATGTTGACGTTTAAAAAATTAATTAAAGAAGATGCTTCAGTAACTACAACTTAATTTAAGTAGAACGTAATCTTAAGTTAAATTACTTAAAGCTGTAGCGTTTAATTCCCTAATCAAATAAGAACTTTAAGTAACTTAAATAGTTTAACTCAATTAATTTAAATAGAACGCAATACTAATTTAATTTCTAGAAAGTGTAGTGCGCATTTTATCTCTGCATTTATGTGGTAAGCCTTTCCATCATTACAGAGGGACAAATTGTACAAAAATGCAAATAATTTAAAACTATTATATATTTAAAGACGGGATCAGCACATCTTCTTTAAGTGTCATCTCCTTTCAACGAAGATTGGCAACAATTATGCCAAATTCTTCTCTATTTTGTGCTCTCCTTAGTATTGTGTGTGAGCCCAAACCAGTCCAGTCTCTGATGTTCTTCAGCCAAGAGCATTGTCGACGTCCGACACCGCATTTTCCCTCGATCTTACCTTCCATTATGAGTTGAAGTAAATTGTATTCATTATGTCTCATAAGATAACCGAGATACGCTGTTTTTCTTTTCTTTATTGTATCGAGAAGCTCCCGTTCCGTGGTCAGTCGATGTAGAACTTCCAAATTTGAAACCTGATTAGTCCCTGATATCCTTAACATTCTGCGATACACCCACATCTCAAATGCTTATTCATTGTGATTACTTTTAATGTCCACGACTCAACACCGTAAAGAAGTATGGAGTGCATGTAACATTTGACGAAGCTATGTCTTGTGTGAATGTTTAGACTGTTGTCGCAGAGAATGTTTCGCATCTCTAGGAAATTTGTTCTTGCCATTTCGATACGTGCTCTTATTTTTACATCGGGATTTAGGTCTTCACTGATCCAACTGCCCAAATATCTTAACTTCGAAACTCTTGCTATTAGTGTCTCATCAACAGTTATATTCATGCGTTGGTTTGGGTTACGATTTATTACCATAACCTTTGTTTTTGTATTTATCTTAAGGCCCATCGAGTCGCTTAGGGTGGATATCTTATCTAGCAGTCTTTGTAGGCCTTCAGAGCTGTCAGCAATCATAACTGTGTCGTTGGCTTTAGTCAAGTTGTTCATCAATCTACCATTTACCTTTATGCCGTCCTCTGCTTCCTCGAGTGCACTTTGAAATATCAGATCAGCACCTGAGTTGACTTATTACATAACACTTACTTCGGAAACCAATACAAATTAGTTTTGAAGCAAAAAAATTTTGAATCTGTAATACTGTACATACATTACAGGTAATTTGTTATCATTTATATCATATTGTTTATTATTTATTATTTTTTTTTATAATTTTTACGTCATTGGTTGACTTCCTGCTTGGAAAGGCTCAAATCCAGAAGTTTCAACTTAAGAAAATATTTAAACCCTATTTTTTTATATTCTGCAAAAAATAATTAAGTAAATTACCTTGGAAAAGTAAGGGATCTTGCGGGATGATAGAAATCCTGTCTCTGTAATAGTCCAAAGCCATCGATTTGATGTTAATTCCGTCGACCAAAATGTCCCCTTCGTAGGTGTATAACCGGAACAACGTAGAAATGATTGACGATTTTCCGGCTCCCGTCCTACCCACGATACCAATTTTCTGTTTGGGCTGTACTTCAAAATTGATATTCTTCAATACTTTCTCGTCTTTGTACGCCAGCGAAACATTCTTGTATGTCACAGTCCCGTTGTTGGGCCAATTGTTCAGCTTTTCGCCGCCGTAATGATCCTGCGGCACTTCCGTATATTCCAGAACTCTCTCGACCGACGTCATATCGTTTTCCAGGTCAGACCACTGCATCAAAGCCCACTGCACCAAGCCGGCTAGCGCGGCTGCTTTTGTTATTGCCAAGCCTACATCTCCTGATGCTTCACCTAAACAATGGGATCGAGAAAATATGATGCAAAGTTCTTATTATCACGTAGTTTTCCAGATTTACAAAACACTCTAATTTTATTGAGTTAATTATTTAAACCTACACAACGGCACTGGTAGGATGCGAAATCTTCATAGAGGGGTAAAAGGGGAGTCAGTAGTTCTACTACTACAAATACGAGGTTAGCGCCAAAATTTCCCGGCCTGACATAGATGCAGTTGCAGTATCACGATAAAACTTTGTCTTCTTTTAAATATATGTCTTATTAGGCTGCAAAAAAAATCTTGCGTCATATATTTTTTTATTGACAGCATTTTAAACAAGACGTGCCCGAAAAAATGTCGCAAATAACGCAAATCGAGTATAGAGCAGTCATAAAGTTTTTGACAAAAGAAGGGGTAGCACCTAAAATTATTAAAGAAAGGCTGGATGGTGTGTACGGCCAAAGTTCTCCTTCGTATTCTGTAGTGAAAGAATGGGCAAAACGTTTTCGAATGGGGCAGTAGTCCCTTGAAGTTGATTTAAGAACTGATCGAAAAGTGGAGGTCATAACGGACGATATTGTTGCGATTGTGGAAGAGGTGGTATTGAGTGATCGACGTTTAAAGGTCAAGGAAATCTCAGAAATTACTAAGCTTTCTGATACAAGTGTTGGTCGATTCCTGCATGATCATTTAGGTATGCATAAGGTTAGTGCAAAATGGGTTCCTAAAAACCTTTCGGCTATTCAAAAACAACGCCGTATCGAGTGTGCGCGGTCTTTTTTAGAACTCTGTGGGTCGGAACCGAAGCCTGTGATAGAAACTGTTGTGACGGGAGATGAAACTATGGTTCTCTTTTATGACTCTCTATCCAAAAGATAATCAATGGAGTGGCGTCGTAAGGGTGGCACCTCCAAGAAAATTCGGAGTTTGTTAGTCAACAAAAAAGGTGATGGCCACGATCTTTTGGAATTGTGAAGGAATTCTTTTGATAAATTTTAAAGAAACTAGTACCACAGTCAATGGTAAATATTACGCAACATTATTACGTAAATTGCGAGACTGCATAGATGTAAAACGTCGAGGAAAACTAATCAGAGGCGTGCGTCTTTTGCACGATAATGCACCTGTCCATACTGCTGGTGTTGCACAAGCTACCATTATTTGTTTGGGTATTAGAAAAAGGACTTACGTGGACGGCGGTTTAGCGACGAAGTTGAGTTAAAAGAGGCTGCTTTAGCTCATTTTGCAGACAAACCACAAGAATATTTTTTTAAAGGGATTGAGTTGTTAATAAAGAGATGTAATAAGTGTATTGAATTTAAGGAGGATTATATTGAAAAATAATGAAAAATTGTTACTCTACTTTGTTTCTTTCATATTCATCCTATCGTCTTGCTATGATTCGTGGAAAATGTCGCAAAAGTCTTTCTCTGTCCACCACCTCTGTTTCTGCCCTTTGTTCTGAAGTGGTAACGACTTTCATATGAACCTTGAACCTGCATCTGAACATCAATTTTTTTATGGCGCTTTTAGTTGTGGTATTTGGCTTTGAGTGAGTTATACGATAAATGATTCAGTAAGAATAAATGCCTGTAGAAGTATATGTACTGGGTTATTCATCATCAGAAAAAACAAACAACGATCGCGAGCTATCAAAATGAGAGCAACATCTTTTTTTTCCTGAAAAACAAATAGTTTATTGACATTTCATTCAAGGTAAATTATTATACTATTACGACACTTGACATCATGACTTTGAGTTCTACCTTCTTAATTTTTATATTTCATATTTTTTAGAAAAATCCTGAATATTCTACACCTTACGTTAAAAAATAATAACTAATAATAAATACATAATAAATAAATAAATAAATAATAAATAAATAAACGAACGCTAAAATATCATAAGTTTCACCCGCATGAGTTCATTCCAGTGCAAAAAATTAACCGATGAACATACAAGGCAGAGGCTCGAATTTTGCACTGAAATGTATAGAAGATCTCAAAATCATGGAAATTTTCTTAACACAATAACAGCAGTTGTATTTAATAGGAAAAATAAACATTTTTGGTCCACCAATAATACACACAAAATGCAGGCAGTGAAAATCCAAGGACTGACGTCAGTTAATGTAACGATATTTAAATTTCCTTGCAACAGAAATAGAACAGTTGCTAGAAAATATGCCAGTTAGGAATTATTCAAATTTAAGTTGGAATCAAGATGGCGCACCTCCACAGGTTACGATTATCTAAATAATAAATATAGACTTTGAATAGGTAGGCAAGGACCTATCAAATGGCCTGCCAACAGCCCAGACCTGAATTCTTGTGACATTATTTTTGTGAGGATACTTAAAAATTACAATTTATTATAACAGGTCTGAAAGTTTACAAGTGATAAGAGAAAGACTTAATATAGTTTTACAAGATCTAAACAGAGAAAACCCTGATTTTGTCACCTCGTGTATTAAGAGGAAATTGAAAGGAAATACTGTCCGATGTATAGAAAATAATGTAGGTTATGTGGAAATTGTTTAACATTGATATTTTTATTGTTTGAATAATTTAATTTTATTATTTGGCGTTTTTCTTCTTCAATATAACCCATTTGAAAAATATGTAAATATATATTAATTGTTAAAAGTTGTTAAAACAATTGCAAATATAGATAATATGGTTGCTACCAAAGCAGACTTGACCATTTTGTCCAGAAATCGAATGATAATTATCTATATATTTTTTTTTCAATCAGGATTTAAGCTATTAATATATAGGGCATTCTGTACAAGAAGGCGTCAGTCCTGAGGAGCTAGAGGACGACCCCGAAAGAAACTAGGTTACAGAAACCCTTACGTTCAAATCGAGAAGCATTCGAGACAACACGGCACTGATTAGGACATACATCATTGCTCCAGTATACTCGTTCTGTATGAGTTACCTCTGTAATAGAGACGCGAAAATGTAAATGTCTTACCGGTACTGAAGAACAGCAACTTTGCAACGACTATGGTGGAAAACATCGTCGACATAATATCCATGAAAAACCCAAAAGCCCTCCTAATGCAGAACGTCATATAGTGCGCCGACGTGTAGAGATCTTGGTGTCGGTCAAATTCCTTGATCAAAATTTCCTGAGCTTTCGACGCTCTTATCGTGGTTACGCCTTCCATAGAGGCATTAAGGTGGCCGATCAAAGGACTGCGTGCTACAACGATGATAGTAAATTAAAAATCGCCGCGAAACCGTTTTCGACGCCTACTTGCAGCCTCCAATCGCTTTAAGCTTCTGGCCGTTGGCATGTAAACCGTCCTTATACAGAACAAGGTAACGACCAGGATCGACGCCGGTATTAGAAACTGTAAATTTACCGACGCAACCAATACCAAAATACCTGTTGAAGACAATACAACCTACAAATAAAAAATACGTGTTTCTTAAGAAATCAGGATACCATTAATTTCGGAAAATAAAAGTCGAAATATGCCTTTCATCACAATAGTTAATGGCTTCTGATATAACCGCTTTTGACCAAAGAAAGTTATCTGCCAAAATATCTTTCATTTTTTTTTTCTTCATTAAAATATGGACTATTGAATCGGGAATGTCTTACAGAATACTGCATAACTTAAAAACAATTGCTGATTTTCTTTAGATCGGGATTTTAATGATTTTTTTATTAATTATAGCTTTATGCCTCACTTTCCACTCTGTGGAGCATATTCTTCAATTTGATTTTGAGTATTATTTGTAATATCCTGTGGGGTTACACGGAAACATGTTTTTGTTACAATAGTTTTAATGCCCTCTAGGCATGTGGGGATTTTTAAGTGTCTTATTTGTTAAGCTCTAGTCAGTAGTACAGGAATGGGGGTTCTTCTGAATGAATAACCTATCGGAAAAAGGCGAAGAAGAAGAACTTGACCTATCTTTGAATTTTATCATATAGCTACATATGTCCAGTATATATACAAATTTAAATGCCGATATATCGAGCTAAATTAGGTATGTACATGTAGGAAGAAATGTTGCTTAGAAATTCGTAAAGGTATTCGAATCTGTAATAAATTTCCGTGTTATGTTCGGTTTTCATAGACTGCTTTTATTGCTTATTTAGTTTTTTTTTCTTTTTTTTAATTTCATTATTTTGATCTTATTTACTTTATTGCACTACATAGTAGTGAAGATAGTAGTGAAGACGCCTCCACGCCTACGCAAGCAATTCTGTGCAGGATAAAAAAAAACTGTTTTTGATATGTTGCGAGAGCTCTCGCGCGCGCGGTTGTACGGTTTGGTGTCGGCTATATTTTTCATAAAAAAATCCTTAAAAAATCACGTGGGTTAAAATTCGCGCATGCAACGCAAGAACTGTGAACAAGAATTAAATTTCTTTCCAATCGACTATATAACTGTTACGCGATTAATTTGAATACTTACTCACTTAACTCATCCAAAACACCAGTTATCCTGGTGAGACATTTTGGTCCTTCGAGCCGGATTTTGAATTTTTAAATAGAAGATTTGAATGGTATAAGTGCAACAGTTGATATACGTAAAAAATGTATGGACAAATTCGATTTTTGAGTCTTTGTTTTCAACACGCAAAAAACCTCTAACGATTATTTTGGTATTATTTGAAAAATAATCCGAGATCAGCCTCATTTTAGAAAAGCTAATAAGTTTAAAATTGGGTTATTTTAGGTTGTTTAATCAACGGTGTTACTATTTTAATAATAGGTAAAGGTATGCGAATTGTACTGACGTGGCTTTTACTTGATGAAAATCCGTTTAAAATAGTTAAATAAGAAAAAACGTTGTTCAGATTGTCACATAAATATATATTTAGAATAATAATTAATTTAATATATTAATATATTTATGTGAAAATCTGAACAACGTTTGTTCTTATTTAACTATTTCAAAAGTATACGAAGTTCACCTTGAAACATGGAAATGTTCCAAAGCCACCAAATTTGTTATGGTAAGAAAAAACGGATTTTGCCACGTGAAACCGCATGACCGCGTGATGTACTTACCATCACGAACATGTTGATGGTGTGCGGCAGATGTTCGTCCACGACGTTCAAGTCTTGCGAAAATCTGTTCAAAATATTGCCGATAAAGTAAGTATCGAAAAACGACATCGTGGCGGTCGTCAATCTTTCTATCATCGTGTTGTGGAGATTTACCGATGCCTTTCTGGCGAAGTGAAGAAACAAGAATTGTTTGACGAGATCTATGACCAACGAAAGCACTATCATCGCCGAGTACAATTTTAGGGTCCACTTGGCGCGGTCTTGTAAATTTGATACGGTATCGGCGGTACCAGTGTTATTTACAAATAATGGCACTTCCGTCATTTCAAAAAGGATGGTTTCGGAATAGTTTACCGGTGTAGTAACATTTAGAATTGCTTCATGCGAAAACATGCTAGAGTCGTTTGAAACAGCTGCGATGTCTCTTCTTTGCCGTTCGATTGCCGAGATTACTGTGTCATTGTTGTTGGGGTACGCTGTTCCAATTCCAAAGCTCGCATTTAGAAGCATATCTTCCAGCAAGAGATTCGTCGCTTTCTGTTGTAAGTTTATCCTGAAATGGGTTTTCGGGTTACGCGTAACTCTCATTTACAAAAAACAAATTCTTGGTTTATGTGAAACGCTCAATTTGGTCGTACATTTTCGCAAAGCTTGGCAAATCTTTGGATCAATCAGGGACACTTGATATAAAACGTCATATTAATGATAAATGATTATGATGCAAATTTGGTAGTCTGAATTAAGTTAATTCATTTTTTCGGACGTCGAGTTTCTAAATCAAAAAATCAAAGGAAGTGGGTAATGACAAGAGATATTAAAAATTACAAGGTATCCCAATTAAAATGGGAGGGCAGTGAGCTATATTACTTTCAGTCAATTCAAAATTGACAGTTTATTTTGTAACAACTATTATAAATAAAAATTAGAAAAATAGTCCTTATCCTAATTTAAAAAATCCAACTAGTGACCTATGAATTAGTTATGGTTGCAATGGATTTAAATTTTTATAAATTGTGTCACATGAAGGTCGACGTACAAGATGTAAAGATCATAACCAAAGTTTAACAAAATAATCAGAATAGAATGGTTCACATCAGAAGAGATAGTAATAAGAAGAGGTGTGTGACAAACGTGTACCTTATCCCCTTCTTGCTCAAGCTCTACATTGAGGCATTACAAATACAAATGAAGGCAAATAGATCAATAGCAACATTATCAACAATTCTCGTTACACAGATGGTATAGTAGTAATAGCCAGCCAGCCAGTAGGAATATAATGAAAGATTTGGTATTTGAGTAAATACCTTCAAGACCGAACTGTAGAATATTCACACAAAGACACGGCGCTCTAAGATTTCCACTCAAGGTTCATCTCTAAAATATGTACCTGGGTGCACTCATCAATCAACAATGCGACCCAAATCCCGAGGACACATCAAGGATTGAGCAATCTCGGAAAAATCTGAAACACACCAGGCCACTTCGGGTAAACCGATTGTATCGATGCGAGAGTTGGACCATAGATGCAACCACAAAAAAGAGAACGGACGCGTTTGAAGTCTCAATAAGTACGACACTAAACAAAAAAGTTAAATACGAAAAGTGTTTGAACATTAGTATATATATTTTATTTATAGCATTTTTATGTATACAGAGTGTTCGATTATGCCAGAACTTAATTTTTTTAAATGGAATGCCACGAATATTTTTAAAAATTCCAATTACTCTCTTGATTTCGGGTATTTTTTGTCACTTCAAAGCATAGGAAATTGTCAGTAGTTTTTTAGAAAAAAAAGCAGGTCTTTAGAAAAATAAATTCTTCTACACGTGAAAACTAAAATTGTGAATTTTTATTATGGGTCCATGGAAGTGGTTAATATTTAATGGTTTGACCTATCTAAGGCGAAAATAAATTATACGGGGTTGTCGCAAACGACCATCAAAAAAATATTTTTTCTAATTAAAAACTCTATTTTTTTAATGGAACGCCCTGTATTTAGCACTTTGATTGGGTTTGGGATTCAATTCTTTATCATGTCATATATATATAGCTTTTATTACAAAAATTGATAGTTAAGAAAATATTGCCAATTTTTTGCAACAACTCGTGTATTTTATTATAAATCTAACTATACCTATATAACATCCTATTCCAAGTTTTTCTTTAAACATTAATTACTTAAATTCAATATAAAATTAACATGTAGTGTGTACGAGGGCTGCCTTTTATATTTCGGGATTTTCATAAACTAGTCCTGCCATCTGGCGACTAACGTTTTTATAGGGAAGTTTGACATTTTGAGGTTAGATTTACTCAGTTAGGTTTTGGCGAAAGAGCGTTGTTTGTGCTTTTTTGGATAAATTTAAAAAATTGTGACGGTTAAAAATGGAACATAATCGGAAGCATTTTCATGCAATAATTTTTTACAACTTTTAGACGTGGACTAACTGTACAACAATGCATCGATGAGCTTAATTCGACTTTTGGCGTTAAAGCACCATCTATTTACCATATTTGTTACTAGGGCTATTATTTTTTCGTGAAGATCGCCCTAAATCGGTGGTTGTCCAAGAAAACATTGATGCAGTGCGGAAACTAATTTTGCAGGATCGTCATGTGACTTACCATGAGATTGAGGTATCTTTGGACATTTGTGGGACCAGCATACATACAATTTTGCATTAACATTTGGGCGTTAAAAAATTTGTTCGCGTTGGTTTCCATACAATTTGACATCAGCTCAAAAAGAGGCTGTTGTTGATTGGTCGAAGGAAATGCTTAAAAAATACGATCGCGGTGATTCCAATCACGTCTATGATATCGTGACAGGTGATGAATCGTGGATCTATGCATATGAACCTGAAAGTAAGCAGCAGTCGACTGTGTGGGTCTTTCAGAATGAGACAAAGCCCACAAAAGTTGTTCGTGCGCGAAGCACCCCGAAACAAATCGTTGTCTGTTTTTTCATTAAAACTGGCCAATATTGTTCTGAGTGGTGAGAGATATTTAAATTTGTTTCAACAAGATAGTGTGCCATATCATACCGTGGTGCTTGTTAGAAATTGTTTAAATCAACGTTTTCCATTTTGAATTGGTCGGTACGGGACCATGGACTGGCCAGCGAGGAACCCTGAATTGACACCCCTGGACTTTTTTAATGGAGCTGCATGAGAAGCGAAGTGTATAGAAATAGGCGTAACAGTGTTCAAAACTTAAAAATGAGAATTCGGCAACAATTGAAACCGTATAAGGTACTACTTTTGTTGCCAAAGCTGGAGGTTATGTAGAAAATGTTTTGTAATTAGTAATAAGTTCTGTATAGGTTTAGTTAGATAGATTTAAAATAAAATACTTGTAAGCTACCAGAATTAAATCCCAAACCGAATAAACGTGTTAAATATAGGGAGTTCCATTTTTGAAAATGTTTTTTTTTTCTTAGAAAAAAATATTTTTTCAACACCCTGTATGATATATTTTCGCCATAAATAGGTCAACGCATTAAATATTAACCACTTCCATGGAAACTAAAATTTCTAATTTTAGTTTTCAAGTGCCAAAAAATGGAAAAGTTAAATTTTCTCAAAAACTGCTAAAAATGGCGTATGCTATGTAACGACAATTAAAGAATTACAGAATTTTTAAAAATATTCAAAGTATTCCATTAAGAAAAAAAGTTGGTTATTGTCCTGGCACAACAACATAAAAATACGAGATTCTCCCCCTGATAATAAAAGGAAAGATGGAAGAAACGACCGTCGGTCGAAGACAGAATTAATGACTGGAAGACCTACGTAGATAGATATTTGGATCGTCAACCTTCAAAGAAGAAGTCTGCATTGAAACGAAACCAAATTCCATTGAAAATAAAAGTGAAAAAATAAAATCAGTGAAAGGCAGAAACTTTTGAACCATTTAAAAGAAAACAGGAGCTTTTTCAAAAACTTCGAGCGTTTCACCTCTCTAGTATTAACTTATGTAGGATTCTGCAAGGGGAGAAAATAGCACATATTGTTTGACCTGCCAACGTCATACTATAATGTACATCAATAATAGACGAAGGAAGGGAAAGAAAAACCTTTAATATAGGCAAAGAATTAAGACAAGGGGACGGTGTAGTATTGTTGGCAAGAAGTAGCACAGAGCTCGAAAATACCACCAAGTATAAGTATAAGAACGGCACAAACTTTTACACTCCAATTTAACCTGGATAAAACCAAATTTTTGGAGCTCAAGAATGCTCCAGGGAGCAAAAACAAACGAAACTTACAAGTACAAGTGGGGACTAACAAGAGGTAGATGACTAGACGACAATATGTATTTGGGAGTACTAATATCCAACAAATGTGAAGAGGATAAGGAAGTGGATCTACGAATAGCAAAATGTAATCATTGTCTGTGGTGGCTCCACAAAATTCTAATGTCAAAGCAGGTCTCTACGGCAACAAAAATCAGACTCTACAAGACAGTGGTCCGAAAAACTTTAACTTACTGTTGTGAGACATGTACCCTCAATCAAAAAAACCAACAGAAACTAGGTATACCGGAAAGGAAAGTATTAAGACGAACCTTTGACGGGAAGAATGCAGAGCATGGCTGGGAGAAAAGGATGAATAGTGAACTCTACTAACTATTTGGAGATAAGTCAATCGAAAAATTTGTTCAGGCAAGGAGACTGCAATGGTTAGGATGGAAAATAATTGAAAAGTAAAGGAAGTGGCTTGTAAAAAAACCAAAGGGAAGGAGAAAGCGCGGTAGTGCAAGGAGAAGATGGAGAGAAGGCGTGGGGGAAGATTTAAGAGAAAGGTGGGTTATTAAGTGAAGGAATATAGCAAGAGACAGAATCGAATCGAGGAAAGGTACTCAGCTTTGAGCCTAAATGTCTTGTCAAAAAGCTGAATTTGTTTTGAAATAGTTTTCATTGAAAACTCGAAAACTCACCAATCCGTCAATAGCCTCGACGAATAACTATCGGTGAACTCATCCGAAATGAATAGGCTGGCGATCGCTGCGAACAAAAAGAAACCGCCGCCGAAAGAAAAATATTTGCGGTAAACTGCAAAGTCCACTTTGCCCTCTTTTTTCACCTCGCTATATACTTTTCGTTTGGCGATTTTCCGATTTATCAGTCTAGTGGTTTCGTCGGCGTTTTCATCCCCGTCATCGGTTTCCACTTTTTTGGCCGCCTTTTGGTCAGCGATTGCGATCTCTTCCAGAATTTCATTTTTCACGTCTTGCGGTTTACCGTCGAACACGATCTCGCCCTCGTGCATTACCACCAAGTTGTCGGCGTTGTTCTTGTGTTTTAAATTGTGGGTCACCATTACGCACCGTTCGCCCTTCAAGAATCCTCGGATGCATTTCTGGAAGATATATTCCTGGACGGCCGGATCCAAGGCGTGTAAAGGATCGTCCAAAAGGTAGATGTCGCTTTTTCGGTATATCGCTCTTGCTAGGTTAATCCTGGCCTGTTGTCCACCGCTGAGATTTATGCCTACGAATTAAATCAAATTGTTTATGTAATAATCAAAATAATGAGCATAATTTTTTAACAAATATAATATCCATGTGCAAGACAATTAAATTCACTAAGTGCAGTTACGAGGCCAACATAACCAATTAACAAAAATACCGATTGTAAGTTTTAATAGTGTTATATGTGGAAGAGCTCATAGAGATACCGCGGCATTTCGTACCTAGTAATTTTATACACTAAAGTAGACAGATGCGCAAAATACCTTTCAGACAGATTTAACCACTGAGAATCCTTGAGTGCCGGCGTTATATGACCAAACCATAGCTGTATCTCAAGCAGGCATTTTACAATGTTTGTAAGCTGTATTGGTCTTTCCGTCTTAGAGACGGCCAGTATACAACGTCCCAATAGAGTATAAGAGAGTCACACAATTTAAGTCTACTGTCAGTAGATAAGTAGTCTTTATACATCTAAAGTACTTTCAGTTTACCGTAGGAGAGTTCAGTTTTTTGGCAATATTTTCAAAAGCAAAAAACAAATTTTAATGGAATCATAATCGAGCTCATGTCACTTTGTCCTAATTTGACCTGCATTGTATCCTATTGACGACGGTGTAATTTGAAACACCTGGTACAGGACGAAGTCAAACCGACTTCATTAACCAACCAAAACTATAATTCCAGAAATGTATCTTATAACTATGAAAAATTCTTTTTGCAATTTGCTCGTAAGTTGGTTGGCATGCAAACTATAATAGAGAGACATCTCGCCAAATCTGAGAGTTAATTAGAACTATCAATTTTAATAAATATTTTTATGAAAGCTCGGGTTGTAAAAAAAATACTGCTTGAAAAGTAACACCGTCATTCTTAATACACAAATAGTTATTTCAGTCTATCTAACATTTTTTGAAATTTGGAATCGGGCAATTTGTCTCTGAATTTTTAAAATATGTTTATTTACTTTTATACAGACTTTTTTATATTTCCATTCCTAATATTTATTATGGATCTGGATATGAATTTTTTAAAGAAATGAAATGAGTGAAAAAAATTCGAGAAACAAACCTCTATCTGCTACAATAGTTTCGTCCCCTCTCTCCAGCAAATCAAAGTCGTATTGAAGAGCGCAAACTTTAATGACAGCGTCATATCTATCTTGATAGTACGGCTCGCCAAACAGAATGTTCTGTTTTATAGATGACGGAAACAGCCACGGATCTTGCGAGCAATACGAGAAGACACCTTCCGAAAATATTTTCCCGTCGGTTATCTGGTAATCTTTGAGGAACACCTTGAGCAAAGCGCTTTTTCCGCACCCCAAAGGTCCGGTCACTACCGTAAGTCCGGATCCAAGCTCGATCGAAACATTCTTCAAAATTTCCTTATTCTTGATCTTCAAAGACACGTCCTGTAGTTTTAATTTTGGTTTCTCGTAGTCGCGACGGTTTTCTTCTTCGACCTCTGGACATTTCAATACTTTGTTGATACGTGTGGACGAAGCGACAAGTTCCGCTCCCCTCCCCAAACCGATCGGGATCAAAATCGCGATGGAATGGCGCAAATCTTTAAAATTTTTCATTACGTAGAAAATGACTTCGGCGTCGGCATTTACGTTGATGTAAATGTAAGTCATGATCAGAGCGTAAAACCCAACCTTGGAAGTGAATATGCCTATAATGAAATTAAGGGACCTCAGGTAGAAGGATTTCATCAAAAATTTCATTTCCTTCCTGAAAAATGAGAGTCTTAGGCGGAATGGTCTACGTAAATGGAAAGGGCGAACTTACGTTCTTTTTTCTTCTACCTTTTTGCAAAACACCTTTTCCCAAGTGTACATTTTGATCATTTTTATTGCCGACAATGTTTCCTGCGTGGCTTGAAGACGTTCGTCAGTTTTCTTGCTGAGATCCAACCGGAGGTTTTTTATCATTTTTCCGACGTACACTACAATTAAATTGGAATGGTTTTATTGGTGAAATACTTTAATAGAATTTTCTATAATGACGTTACTATATAATATAACTAAATATTTTTAAACAGAACTGTATTGCACTGCACCACCTGAGTTTTTTGTTTAACCACAGATCTGCTCTTTACGAGCGGCGGTTGACCTGTAATGCGGCAAAATTTCTTTGACTTATCATCTTTAAAACCGTTTCGAAAGAACATTAAAAACGTGTTATTAGATAAATAAAGTGATAAATAAAGTCTTTTAATTAGTCACAGAATTATTTCTATAATTAGTTATTTTCTTTTTCTTTCCCTTTTTATAATTTTTCTCTCTTGTTATAAATTTTATTATCAAAAATTTGTATAATATATAGATTAATTATGTTGGGTTAATGATGAATAGCTGACTTTGTCAACTAGACTTCGCACTTTAAAATTTCAGTATTGTATATATATGTACATATTATTATTATTATTATTATTTTTATTAATAGTATTAATATTATTATTAATCAGAAATCAGAAATAGATAAGCGCCTTTCAGAAAAGTTGATTAAATAAAATTAAGCGATGAAACACTATAAAAATGCACTTATCTCAATATTCGTAAGTAAAATAGTGGCAATTTAAACCCTGGACAAACTTATATACACAGAAATATATTTTTACAAAGAATTTTATAATCATTGAATTAAAAAAAAAAAAGGGAAATAATTAGTTTTTCGAGATATAAAAATTTATTATATCAAAATGACGGAAAATGTGGAAATTGAAAGTGTTTGCAACAACTTGATAGATTCGATGAACCCGTCAAAACTTTAAAAGCTGCAACAGAAATAGAAAAATAATACATAAAAATATTATAATGATTCTCGCAAATAACTGATACATCTTGTCCATTGGCAAAAAAAAAAGTTGTGTTTAATGTTTAATATATATATTTAATGGTTTTATCGAAAAAATAATTCATTTGAGTCAGTTTATACATACCGGATACCCCGAAAGTGACATTGGAATATTTCGGCCCAAGTGGTGAAAAAACTAAAAAGTGCCTTAAATATTGGGTAAAAACACTAACTCTCGATAATGATGGACCACTTTCCTATTTGATAAATAATTAGCATCAAACGTCGTCTCACCTTGTGCCGGTACCACAGTGAGGAGTACCGCGATTCCGACAAATCCAGCAGGACCCATTTTATTGTAGATAAGGTAACAAATCACCCCGATTCGAATAATTTCGATCCACATGTCGTTGAACAGGAAAATAGACTGTTCAAATACCAACACGTCTTTCGTGATAACGGTGATAATGTTGCCCAAACTAATTTCGTTCATTGCGGTAGGTGTCAGTTTCAAAGCTTTCCGATATATCAGAGAACAAAACGACGTCCTGATCTGGATCGCTAGTTGCTGCAGATATATGACGTAGTTCTGGAAGTAGAAGGTGTGGAAGAGTTTCAATCCGATCATTACGCAGGCATAGTAAACGGCATCGTTGAATGTGAGCTTGGTCTGGTTGGGGTTGAAGTAAGAGACTAGTTTTCCGATTGATTCAGGTTCGTAGATGCTAAAATTCGAAACGTGTTTGGAACAACAAATGCCATGCAGCATTGTCAACACAACGAAAAATCTTATCACTGTTTTCCTTGGAAGAAACAAAATTTGGTTAACAGACCATGATATAAAAAATAAATGTAATGTCATGCGCCTTTTTCAATAAATTTGATTTAGAAAAATGTTTTGGGTCGATGTTTTGGGTTTTGGGAAAAGAAAGAAAAAAATTGCTCAAACATTAAGAGGTTGGCTATATTAGCTTTTGTCCACTATGTATATTGTATTAAAGATATGTCACAGGTAATTAACATATCGCACATGTTGATATATAGATAGTACAATTAATTTCCAATGTATTTTCCAATAATTGCCAAAAGTCTTGTCTTTTTCTTTTTTCTTCTTTCCTTTTTTAGTGATGTGCTTAGTCAATTTAAGATTAGTTTTTACGTTTTAAGCGCTACTACAACATATAGTTAACTTGACACTTATATGATTAGAAACTAGATATAACACACAAGTATGCAAATTTAACTTGTCGTATTTTTTAAAATTTAGAAACTTCAAAGCCTTAAATATACACACATGGCGTTCCATTTGTGTCATTTCATTGTAAATACCCAATTTCCGGAAAAAATATTTCCCTGAAAAATATTCCTTTTACCTGTTAATAAGCTTGGCAAATAAGTGTATTAGTCCTAAAAACGTGTACCGAATTCCAAAGCACACCCACAGTAAATGAATAATGGACGGATTTTTCCTTTGTTGCTCAAGACTCCATTTTTTTTCGAAACTGTCTCCATTTCTCTTTGCCCCACATACTCCTACAACGTCGTATATGTCATCCTCGATCAAGTCCCTCTTCACTCCTTTCTTGAACAAACCTCCAGTATACCTGAATAGCAATTGAAATAGTTTTATTGTGTTTTATTATTAAGCCACGGAAATGTCGGAAAGCGCCCGAAATCCATTTTTTTTTTGTAGAAACAGTAGTTTTTGTAAGCTTGAAGAAACAAAATGTCGCAATATCCATGACACTTTGTGGTTTCATTAAAAATATTACAACAAAATAAGATATAGAACATAATTTGAATTTATTTGATACCAATTCAATTATGTTCTGTATCTCATAATATTTTTGAGGAATATGTATTTGCATTACTCTTCTCCCTCATTTCAGGTTAAAACCTAGATGCCTCAAAAAGAAAGAAATATAAATAAACTCAAAATAACAATACCATATTTCCTGTAAGTGGACTGAATGAAACAGTTAACTATCACTGGTTCAAGAAGCTTGAACAATATTATTGTCTGCCAGTAGTATTTTCCACTGAAAAATGTCTTTTTTTTTAAATAATTCCTTTTTTGTACTTTGAGGGGCGAGAGGAGTTCTTTTACGAGAGTTGAGTGCAACAATAATGCGTGTGCTCTTTTTATCCACATCAAATTTCAAAGAAAGCGAACAGAACAACGAAATGGATTCATACTTTTGCAGAATGCTATTTAACTATGTAAATGTGTTTATAGAGTAATTTATAGGTGAACATTTGAAACATTATTTTTATTTTATGGGTCGTGTCTCTTTTTTAAAATGTTTTTGTAATACAAGTTATTGCAAAACGCTGTTGTTTGTTTTTGATTCTTTTTTAATTTTATTATTTTTTAATTATAAACCATGGTTTATTTGCTTTTTTATCTCATTCACTTTTTTAAATGTACTATAATAATAATACGCCGTTGATTATGGACACTTCAACTTAAGCTCAGGTGCCCTATCGCTCTAAAATGTTACTTTGACTTGCTTGTATAATTTGCTGCAGGTATTTTTGTTTATTTATTGCCTAAAACATAGTAGTATGGATTTTATTTTCATTACAATATTATTATATTGGAAACAAAACGGAAATCTTTTATACAGAAATTGTTACAATTTATGTCAATTTCTGTTGCGGCTCTTTCAAAACAACGCCTGTTATTCCATTTTTTACCTCCAATCCACGAAGATCGCCTAATTCCGATTATAAAAGTTAAATTACGATAGAACATTTTCTGGAGAAAGGCCTTCCTTTCCTTAAATTTATTTAAACCTACCATTATCAATTACTTTAAGAATTTAAATGCCATTAAATTGTTATTCAGATAACAAAAATAATTGTTAAAAGCTACTCCTGTCAATTATATCAATTATCACCAAATCATTAATTCAAAATTTTTATACACAATATAATATAATAGTATCTGAGTGATCACGCTATACTGGGCGCTCTTTAATGTACAAAACTTGCAATTTCAGAAGTAATTCGAAGCTGAAATGTTACTATACACGTGTGGTTTAGAGATATGGGATGTCAAAGTTTTAGTTTTGTTTTTCTGCATAATTCCCTAAATAATGCCTATTTCTGACAGAAATTGGTACCTGAGCATTTTGGCCCTTATCATGTTTGTATTTTTAGGCGACAACAAAAACAAAACGCATTTTAGAATAAAGCCATCGGCTGCTTTACCCACCCAATGAACCAAAAATATAATACAGGGTAGCATAAAAAGTCATGAAGCTTTGAAATTGGGAAAACACATGAAGGTACAATTCCAAGGAACCAATTATCGTGAAGAAATCATTTAGAAAAATACACAGAAAAAACGAAAATAGAAATAAAACTTTAATACCCTGTATTTCGAAATCGAAGCATTTTAAAAGACACTTTTATAGTACCTCCCCTCAAAAATACGTGAAATATCGTGCACTACTTACGAAAACGTCAACAACGAAAATATGTTTGCTTTCTCCCTGGGATTCTGCTTCCTCGCAGTCTTCCCATAGTGATCCATCGTTCCCGCAAAAGAATCGCCACGATGACCGCGCTAATTTGAAAAATATCTTATTTCTGCATTGACGATAAACAATGATTGATATTAATTGAGGGCAGTTCGAGGAAAGCGCAATAAATGCCTGGTAATCTTGCATCAATTCATATTATAATCGTTTGCATTAGAGATAAAACGGAACACAAAAGGCAAAAATTGTAAATATTTAACGTGACAAAATAATATTTGAAAGATTATGTTTTAACTATTTAGTATACGGAGGTGGGTTTACCGGGCGCATTGTTTCAACGTCAGCGTATTATACTTCGTATTTTATATGTATTTTGTAGGGATTTGGCTTTCCGAATTCCAAGAATCGCACATTTTTGAATAATATGGTTTAACGTCGCCAAATTTATTTAAATTTTTGATATAGATTGCTGCATCCACCAAATAATAAAAGCATACCCCTAGAAATCACTATTTTAGAAAACTAAGCCCAACGATTCCCCGTTCTATCGTTGCACATCAAATTTCAGGACCATCTCTCCAGAAAAAGTTGAATCGACACATACAAGTTTATAGGACAGCGATTACTCTATTTCGCAATTTTTAATTCGTACTTAAATTTTAATCGTAACTTAATGTAAAGTTTTCTCGACACATTATTTTTATAATATTTATTTTGAATTTTATTAAATTTATTAATAGTTTCCTAAGTATTTTAATTTGCAATATCTAGAAATAATAAAGAGGCAATAGAGAAGACAACAAAATAAGAAGAATAAATATGGAACTCATCGTGTTTATTCTTCAGCACTTCTTGCAGGTAGGTTATGCTTAACCGGCAAACTTACGATTGTCAATACTAAAATAAGTAACGTCAGCTTTTTGGTAAATCTGAAAGAGTTTTCTGACTGGTTAATTCCATTTATTGCGTGTTATTTACGTTTGTTTTATGTTTAAAATATTATGATATATGGACAAAATTTAAATTGCGGAATGTCAAAACTTTGCTAGGTGTATGATTTTGACTTTTTTTATCATTTAATCATATATCTGCAGCATCAATAAAACACAGATATAACACGAATACAAAAACAAAACGTAACTTTCAACTTTTTTACATCTCATGTCATACAAATATCCGATTTTAGTTTCAGCTATTTTATCACCTTCGCCATCTTTGTCAGTTTTTCTTTGCATCTCCCGGAGGTTTGCCTTTATTGCAGTTATTAAACTGCTTACTGACAAGCTGATATTAAACCCCCTTTAACAGTACTGGAACACTGCGTAACACTTTTAATTGACAGGAACATAAATCTCACAGTTTGATCCTAAAAAAGTGTGTAAACATTTGATTTTTCATTAGTTCCGATTATCTGATTTTGTTTGCGACTTCATATTCGAGTGAATGTCATTTGTCGTAATCTTTAGTCGTATGTTTTATTATTTTTAATCTTAGTAACACCGTCTCGGTTAAAAATTATACAAAATCCACTATTATCCAGTTTATATTTACAAATTTGGATTCCTTCTGCCTCCAGTTCGTTCGCATGTGCGGACAGAAAATCTTATCGAAATAGGTGCCGTTCTAGTCCGTTGCATTCGAGAAATAACAAAACCAAACACTGTGTGAAGATACAAATATATACAATTTATAAATCAAATAGTGTAAACGCACTTTAAGATGATCAAAGTTGCATCACGTAGATAACAAAAGTTCTTAGCATTTGTATAGAGGTGCTCCATATCATTAACAATAAAGCCGCTCAATTTGTTTTAATTTGTTTGTTTGTATTTAGATAATAATAAATGATTTTGTTTATAAATAAGTTTCAAAATTTTGTCAAAATATGAAGTCAATCGACTTTATGAATAAACATATCTTTTTAAACAAAACACCCTATATAGTTTTGCGCTAAGAGGAATGAAATCAATAACAATTAATTAAAATGCCTTGTTTGTGTTTGACCTATTAATGTTATTTTCTTTTATAATAAATCGCTTCTAAAAATAGCGTTTGCGATGCATCGGCTACACTAGAACCACCTAGCACGTTATTCTTTTACTACGTATTATGTACACTGCATTCAAAAAGCTAATAAACCTTCTTTTCTCACATTCTAATCCTGGGTTTTAGTTTTCACAACAGTTCTTGGTTGGTTTTGCTATGGACGCTGTCCTTTTCCTACGTACTCAACATTTATATCCTATAATCTCCACATTTTACCATTTAACTAGTTTCCTTAACAAAAAGTCATGGTTATGGGATGGATATAAATATAAATTTACAGCAAACTATAACTCCAAAATAAAAATTTTGATGTTCAATTTTGAACTACTTTGGATGGATCACTGGCGATTAAATAAAAACATTTTTCTCTTTAACATCTAATTTGTTGACGTAATAGCCTCCATTACAAAATTGACTTTTGGAAAAAGTACTGATACATCTTGGATCACACTTTTTGATTTTGATCCAGTCAAGAGATTGGCCTCTACTTTCAGTTAGCAGTTCGACTTGTCCAACAGAGGGCTATGAATTTATTGAAGTAAAAAAAAAAAAAAATTATTGAAGCAAAATAGTTATGTTGGTATGAATCGTATAATTTAGGTCAGACCAATTAATTTAAAAAAGTTTTCGTGAATTTACTAAACTCCTATCCCTGTTTGTTTTTGACGTACAACATACCTTTCGGCACTATTGAGGTAGAGAAAAATTGTTACTTCTTAAGGCCGAAGGATAAATGGCAAATCTTGCAAATTGCTTGATACTAACACCCAAGTTTACAAAGTATTTGCTCCGTAACACTAGCAGATGACTAGCGAGTAAATAAAAAATGTTTTCATCTTTAACATATAATTTATTTCAATTGAATACGCTCTATTACAAAATTTGCTTTTAGAAGGAAGTACTGTTACATCTTTGGTAAAGAATTTTTAATCACAATTAGGGACTTAAACTCTAAAGTATTAAAACTACATCTAATTGTCTTTTCTCGAAGCGATTTTATTTTTTTTGTGGCTCCCGTTCGACACATTAATTAATTAATTAATTAATTGAGTAAATGCTAAAATCGCGACAAAAAATTAAAAAAAATATATAAATATTTTTTTAACAACACCATTTCTGGATAAAAATTTAATTACTTTAGGCTAATCGCGATCGCAATTTTGTGTGTTAAATCAAATTTATATAAACTTCAAGTAGAAAAAAAAACTCCTAGTAATATAATACATATAATACAATATAAAAATAATTTATTGTTCTAGAGGGCGGGTAAACTCGACGGATATATTTCAAAGGAAAAATTATTTAACTTACGGAATAAGCGTTGCAAATTACATTGATGTCTAGATATCTTAGGTCGAAATTTAGCAACTGTGGGTATTGACAGTTGTGGCAACTACATCACTTACGATTCAGAGATTATTTGGTTAGTGACTTTGGCAACATGGGTAAATGGTCTATTTGATATTTAAAAGAAAAGCAAGCACACAAGAGTCAAATGAGAATATGCGTGTGTTGCTCCGATTAGTGCCAACATTCCCTAAGGATATCTTAAAATATGACTTTGTTCAAACTGATTTTGATTGAGCGATTAATGAATCATTTTGGTGGGTATTTCTTTCGTTACGCACAAATTTCATGTAGTTAATAATTAATGTTATCTTTGACTTTAACATTTTCAGCCAGCCATTGATTCTGGTTTGAACAAAAGTGACGTCCTAAATATTTTATAAATTTGTATTCTACGTTTTATTTAAAATAATACGCTATTCTCTTTTGGGGATTTCATTGTTAATATGTGTCAAAAAATTCTGAAATATTCATAACATATTCAATTTCAATGTTTTGGGCACTTAAAAATTATATGTTCAAACTATTTTTTTTATATTAAAGAATTTCCGACCTTTTTCCGAGACTTCGACAGTCAGCCTGACTCTAACCGTAGTGCCAAGTCACAACCAACTAAACTATAAGCTTTGATATCGAGGGTGATTTAAATATTAACGATAAAAATAGTGACGTCATGTGGGCATAATGTACCATCTTGCCGGAAGAACATGGATTCTTTGGTCAGAAATATGTTACACATAAAATTTAACTAGTTCCCATAGAAATTTTATTTTGACGTTTCAAAAGGTTTGACAATACTGTTGTTAAGCTGTTAAAAATTCTATCAGTGCTGTCCAACGACACGGCAGTAAATTATTTTGATTTTACGATAATCCAAATGGCATTACGTAGGTTATAATAGTATATTATGCAACAAGTGCGGTAAACGGCATTTGACTCACGAGTTTATTTGACACGAGCGGAGCGAGTGTTTAATAAACGAGTGACTTAAAAAGTTTACCGAACTTCTTGCATACTATACTTTTTACACGACCGGGGGTATATTTTCGCAAAACAACACGAATACTGACATGATCGTCAGAATTGACAAACGCCAAAATTCAAAGCGTGGGAAAAATCTCCGCAAACATCCGATTGCTCCCAAACCCGTGCGGCAATATGCCGGAAACGTCCGAAGGGGCTCGGATCAGTGGGAGAAGAAACTCATTTGGTAAAGTGACGTTTCTCGCACACTAGATCGGTGTGTATTTTACAGACGGGAGTAGAAAAACTTTATTATTGACAATGTCGTTTTAACTTTTTTTTGGCAATGATTTTCCCTTAAACTATATTTTCAATTTAGTAGAAAACATTAAATATTTGATTTCATTATTGGTGTGAATAGTGATTTCTGTAATAACAAAAATTACTGGATTCCTATTTAGCACTAAATATTGAAGTATGATTATGCGTCTGACATATTTGTGCTGAAACTCATAACTTTTAGATTTTTAATCAATTTCAACATTATTTAAATTGCAGATTATTATATTGGTAGCAAATTGTCACAACACCCTGTATAACGAGAGGTTCGTTAATAGATATCTAAAACTTGGAAAAACTAGCGAAAATACGGAAATTTAGTAATAAATAAATTTATGCATATTTTTGAGGGACAGTGCTATATTCTTTTAAAACTAAATTATATCACACAATCTTAAAACATAAAAAAATAAATAAAAATATTTCCTAAGTTTCTACTGCAGTGCCCTTACTGTAGCCAGCAGCTGGTCCAGCTCGAGTTTGTAGGTTATCAGCTGCTGCTGTCTTTCGGCGCACTGCTCACAGCTCTTATTTGTTATACTTTTTTGAGCTAAACCCTGGACGATAGCTCTAAGACGATGTTCTCGCTCTTCGTAGCGTTTCTCTAAAAATTCGATCTAGAATAAAGAGAAATGAAAAAAAAATCAACAAAAAATCAAAAATCATACCTTCTTTAAAAGGGCGGCGACTTCCAAACTGTCCACCCCATCCTTTGAATCTAAATGGGTGGAGTTTACCAATCTGCTATTTAAATGATCTCTGTCGACTGTAACCATAGCTAATTCCTCTTTGGTCTTTAAAAGTTGGGATTGTAAGGTGGCGACCGACACCTGTTGCAGTTCTAGTTGCTCTCTGAGAGGAGTGACACTCAACATGTAATTGGAGATCTCGCGCTCGTGGGCTTCTTGAAGCGCAGTCAACTAAAACCCATCAAAAACATAAACAAAAACTCCTCGGGAGACAAATTTAAAGATGTAGTAGAAATTTGTATTGCAAATTTTCGTTGACAATCGAATTGTCGACATTGAGAAGCATATACTCACATCTTCCAAGCGTTTATTCTTCAAGGCCTGATAATCCTCCTCTAACCTAATAAGCTGTTGTTTCAGCTTGTCTCTTTCCTCTTTCAACTGTTGCAATTCTCCTTTTCTAAAGTCTTGCGCGCTATTTGACCTGGACTGAGCTGAGAGCCTCTCTGGGTAACTACGAAACTCTTTTCTATCGCTGATGTTTCTTAAACTACCCTCTCTTTCTTTTTGCAGTCTCCTATTGGTCTTCTTCACTTCGTCAACTTCCTTTTGAAGCTTGCTTATTACTTTTTCCTTATTGGACAGGTCCGCTTGAAGGCCCCTGATCGTGGCCAACAGATGAGCATCTTCTTTAACTTCTTTCTTTGTATTGCTGGCAGTGACTTTAGTTTTGACGGGTGCCGAATCAGTTTGAGTGGATATTGTAAACGTATCTTTTTGAGGTATTTTTTCGTCATAGATCGTTTGCGTGTAGATGTCAAAAGTATCGGCCTTTCGTTTAAGTTGGTCCTTTAGATCGCTAACATGAAGTTCCAGATCTTCTATATGGCTCTCGTACTTGCTTTTCATTTTATTGAACTTTTCTTGGATTTCGAGAAACACTTTCGCTTGTTGACTATCCCTGCTGACCACCTCCTGTTCCAATACTTTGATTCTGTCTTCCAGAAGCTTTCTGGCCGTCAGATTAGTGTCGGTAGCATCCTCTTTTGCGGCAACTATCAGAGCGGATACCGAGTCCGGATGTTTTCTAGCTATTATTCGTTCCATTTCCTTAATTTGCCTATTGAGGTCTTGTATACACCTAGAATCCTTCTCATTTTGAAGCTTCAAGCTTTTCGCCTGTAACTTTTCGATTTCCAATAGCTTGTTGAGATTAACTTCGTTTTCCAAAAGTTTGTCTTTGGATTGTTGGGCGTTGTATAATTCAGTCTTATACTTGTTTAACGTCGTATCTAGTTCCAGCACACGCCTTTCCAATGTTTTATTAGAAACCACCAAGTCATCGTATGAGCCTTTTAATAACTGGTGCGTCTTATTTATAGTGTCCAGCTGAAGCTGCAAGGAGGTGTTGATTTCTTTGGCATCTTTAAGTTCTTCAAGCGCTTTCTCCAGTTCCAAGTTGATTTCGGGGGACGATAAAGTTTTTGCTTTCAGCTCTAACGTTACCTTTTCGAGATGGGAACGACTAGTTTCCAATTCACGCTGCAAAAACAAAAACAGCGACATTAGTTTACGAGTGTTAAACACACCCAACTGTGAATGTTACCGAGCGCAAATGCCTTAATATTAAATAAAAACAAATGGGAAATACGCGCGTTGACGTTGAATCAACATTTTGTTTACTTATATTCGAATTAAAAGAGGTTTTATCTTGTAACCCTATCCTCGCCACCTAATACGCCAACTTACAATCGCCATATCTATCAAACAACCAAATATTGCCACTACTTTCCTTGATTTCCATTAATTGGTAGCTAGGAGAAACATTTTTAGATCGTTATTATGCTGAGACTGTGAGAAGAAAAAATGTATAAAGTTTCGAAATTTTAAGTACAGATCAGAAGAGATGAGCTCGTTGCCACACAGCCATTGAGTAAAGTTTTCGGGCCGTTTTTTTAAAGTCCAGCAACGGAAGAAATTTACACTTTGCATCATATTTCCGAAAAACAGACATCCTTAAATCACTATCATTCATATCGCAAGTGATGTGGGCAGCGGAGAGCTAGGTGAAAGAGTTGTTTAAATGCCGTCGAGGTGGACGATTTTGTAGAGAAAGAACATTAACCTGATGTATTTCATTAGAACAAACCATATAGCTATTAGATTATATAGTGCTCCTACTACGGTAACAATTGATATTTTCGTATGGAAAGTAAGGATTTTCGGCGCATGCACATCTCTCCCATTAACCTGCAATTTGCGCCATTTTCTTTCTGAAGTGCGATTTCCACACACTGAACTCGTTTTCCCAAAACATTAAATAAGATCTAGGCATATTTTGAGAAAATACTGCCGTAAAAATGCTGCATCAAACTTATTGACGATCTGTCAGTGGTCATATTGGATTTTGAATGCCGCAAGGTCATTGGTTAAAAGCGCACCTCATTTTTTTTTAAGTCGCTTCATAAGTTCCTGTATTATCGGCATAGACAGGGCCTCTAAATCTTTAGTAGCTATATGGAGCACACCTAGAGGGGAAACTACAAGGAGAAGTGAAAAAGTGTAGAAACGGGTTCAAGGACAAAAAGCACAGGTATAAAAAACATGACCACCACTATAAAGAAGGAACCGCTTGCTTGCTCTAATAATTCTCGAGAAAATCGTCACAAAACACCGCACTGGGGTCGTTTATGAGCGTGGCGTGTGAGACACATTACATAATAATTCTAGGCAGAATTTTATGAAGAATATAAAAAGTCCTATAAGATTTTGGGTAGGATTTTTGAGTGAGTTTCCACAGGGAGGGGGCATGTTAAATTACTACAAACAAAAACAGATTCTATAGTCTGAATTTTAATCGGAACAGCGATAATATTCTGAAATTGAAATTTACCTGCAGATAATACCAACAAAATTAAACAATCTTAGCCAGCGGTGTAGGGGCAAAGGATTGTTCACAACAGAACTTTAAGGCTGTGTTGAGAATATTCATTATTATTACGGCCTTGCATATATTTATATATTTATTAATATTTGATTAAAAGTTGATGATATAATTAAGTTATCTGTTGACAATCAATAACGTTAAGTTGCCATAAAAAAGGACCAGAACTACAGTTGTTATGTGCCAAAATACCAATAGTTAGTTGAAGTGGGTTTTGTAAAAGTTATTTTGTTGGCGCCTTGATAATGGATTAAACAAAGTTTGAAAAAATGTATGTATTATATTTTAGGGGGGTATGAACAACGTTTTTAGAAGTTCAGTATTTTGCTTAGCAAAATACTGAACTTTATCCAGAAAGACGACAGAGAGGCTTAGGTTAGGTCATGAGTGAGACGGGTAGAAATGGAAATTGTTTTTCTTCAGCTCACACGACAATGCTAATGGTAGAAAGCCGTAATAAGAAATTATTTATAATTATTTTTCAATTTTTTTGCCTACTTGGGTTGTGGGTAAATCGTTTGTCAACAGTGAAAACTCCCTATAGCGAAATTCTGTATAACGTAAAACTCTGTATTACGAACAAATTTTGTTGTACTATTAGGTCTCCATACAAAGCTATGTATTAATCCACTCTGAATAACAGGCAGTTCTAGTAAAAAACTAAAAAAGCCAAAATTTGAAGATTTGGATTGGGCAATGTTGCAGTAGTTCCAACAGCAACATTTAAAAATGTACCACCCTCTGGACCTATAGTAAAACTAAAGGCAGAAAAGTCTGCTGAACAGCTTCGCATTATCGATTTCAAGGCTTCTGAAGGATGGTTGGGAAGTTCAAACAGAGACGTGGTATAAATTATGGACAGATAAGTGGTGAAGCCCGTGATGTCGTCAGAAACGTCACTAACGATCGGCTGAAGAAGACGTAGCCAAAACTGGCAGAAAAGTACCCTGCTGTCGACCTTTTTAATGCTGACGAAATTGGTATTTTTTACAAAATAACGCCAAATAAATTGAAATTTAAATTTCGAAGCGAAAAGTGTGTGGGTGTAAAACTTTCTAAAGAACGTATAACAGTGTTAGTAGCTGCCAATATGAGTGGGAGAGAAAAAAGAAAGCTAGTCGTGATTGGAAAATCAACTAACCCACGAGGTTTTAAGAACATCAAACATTTTCCGGTTACTTACAAGGCAAACAAGTCTGCATAGATAACATCGCAAATTTTTGAAGAGATACGGAAATGGGATGCAGAATTAAAGGGGAGGAAAATATTACTTCTCTTAGATAACTGCCCTGCACATCCCCATATTTCAAATCTACGGAATATTAAATTGGCATTTCTTCCAGCCAAAACAACAAGTGAATTACAGTCGATGGAGCGTAATAAAAAGTATTAAGAGTCGATACAGGAAAAACATTTTAATGGAAGTGATCGAGTCCGAAGACAAATTTTCCATTAATATGCTAGATGCAGTCAACTTTATTAGTAAAGCTTGGAAAGAGGTGACAGCAGAAACAATTCAACACTCCTATCGTTATGCAGGACTAATTACCGAGGCAGAATGCGAACAGGACTTGGAAGATGATCAGCCACTAAGCGAGTGGATAAAGCAGTTTCAAACAACAATTACGTTTACAAGTGAGGAGTTGCAAGATTTTATGGTGATAGATCAGGATTTGCCTACAACAGCAGACTTGATAGAGGAAGCCAGATTGCAACAAGGAAGAAAGGGTGAGGAAGAGCACCAAGAGGCAAAAGAAGATGAAGAAGCGGATCTGGGACAACCACTCAGCATTCAACAGGCCCTATATTTAGTTAAGCTGCTAGAGAATTTTTTTATGTATCATAGGGAAGATGCCCCTCTGGAAGAAATTGTGAAAATACAAGCAAAGTACGAGATGCGTATTGGCATACTAAAAAAATTCAAAAGAAAATGACCGATTATTTGAAACACTAAATGTAGTTCTTAAATATTATATAAAATGTTCCTAAATAGATTTTAAATATGTATATAAAATAATTAAATATTACAAAACACATATGCGTATTGTTATTTTTCAAGTGCCTATAACTATAACTATAACAGTCCCCTCAATTTCGCTATACAGAGTTTCACTGTAATTGCTTTTGATAACATTTAAATATTTTTAATGGTGACAGTCTCGGCATGTCTAGAATATCTAGAATAATGCAACAAGTTTGATAAAAACCAAACTATTTCTGCTGTTTGCTACCAACAAACTTTTCAAAACGTTAGAGAGGCTTGCACAAATTGTTTTTTTGGATTATTACAAATTTTATTTCGGACAAATATATAAAGGAAATATGGTTTGATTACCAGATAATAAGGAGGAAATAATTCAGAGCAAGAGAAAGACAACGATCCCCATTACTAGCCATTCCAGTTTAGATCGAGTTTCGACAGGTTGAAGCTGCAGTTTGCAGTCTTAACATTTTTTTTTTAATTTAGTGACAAACATCCAACATGACGTAATAAACGTTTTTCTAAGTGTCAAGTAAATAGTAAAACAATTTTAAAAAAATGTATTTTTTTTACAAATTTTAAAAATGAACCGAAAACCATACGAGACCAAAGTGGACTAGATCCTGTATACTATCACGCCCACGCTCATCGAAAGAAAACCACGAAAGATATATTGTTTACTGTCTCCGATACCGTTGGTTCCATCCAGGTCAGGCCAGGCAGAGTTCGAGGGGCCAACCTCGACGACGGTTCACGTATATAAAACGGGGACGTAGGCCCACGCGAATCCCCATTCGAGATGAATCTGCGTTGGCTTCTGGTGTTCGCGTTTTTATTAGGGGTGTTTGCGGGAAACGCGAGCGGGAGATCTGCGGCCAGAATCGCGCCACGGTGAGTGATTTTTTTTAATTTTAAACATTAACGGAACATTCGTGAACCAAAGACAAACGAAAAGAGAGAAGACATTTTTTTTAAAACTTGCTTTTTTTAACTCATATTTTTTCGGGTTGCTCTCAATCAAGATATTCATTAACTATCATAAAGAAAAGTACATGTTTCATATAATAATAATAGAAAAAAATTGATTTGTCACGGGTTTCATAGGCTATCAAACTAACATCGAGACTTACCGTTTTTGTAAATTTATTATAAATTTATAGCTTATTAAGGTTTCAATTTTTCAAAACGTTGCCGAAATTTTGTCATAGGAGAATCAATCGGTGATAATTTTACTTTGACCCAAAATTTCCGAAAAATGTTCAGTTCTCAAAACTAAATCCCAAATTGGTAGGTTTCAATATTGAAAACATTAAAAACACACCATTTTAAAAAACTGAACTTGTTAGTTTCTCCCTATCGGCCTTGAGATAGTCTTCACATAATTTCACTTAATCTACAAAAATATATGAAAAAAGTAATGATAAATGATTAATAGTATATTATGCAACAAGTGAGTTTTTAATAAACGAGTGAGTTAAAAAGTTTACCGAACGTGTTGCATAATATCCTTTTTCTACGACTGTTAGTTTTTGGGTACATTTTCGCAAAACAACACGAATACATTCACAGACATGACCGTCAGAATTGACAAACGTCAAAATTCACAGCGTGGGAAATATCTCAGAAAACATTCGATTGCTCCCAAATCCGTGCGGTAAAATTCCGGAAATGTCCGAACTGGCTCGGATTCATGGGAAACGAAACTGACATGGTAATGTGACGCTTCCCGCACGCTAGAGCGGTGGGTAATTAGGTATTTTACAGAAGGGAATAGAAAAAATATGTTAGAGGAAATAGTTGAGTAATCTTAATGATACGGCACACATATATACCTTCCAACGTTAAAGTTAGGAAAAAAATTGTTTTAGTGCCGTCCTGATTCGTGACTAGGAATCAGGACGACAGTTCATGAAGTGATCGTGAAAGTCCTAACCAATCTGTCAAAATTTGTTTTATTTAATATAAATATTAAACGCGCCATGCGACATTTAGAGCAATGAGCAATGATATTTGCAAATGTTTTCAACTTTTCCTAATTAAAAAATAAATTCTACAGGTTTTTGTTTTAGTAAATCTTACTGAGTATATATACTTCAGTAAATGAATGTGGCACAGTTTGTATGGTTTATAGTCTAGGCCCTTCGTCTACCAATTAAATAATGAATTTTATCGCCACAAAAAATAGAAAATTAAATTGTTTAATTTACCCTAAAACATATTCTATATTAATCAGCAAGTTAAGAATAATTAATAACAAAGTACTAGTAATGAAAACCACACCAATATTCTAGAACCTACAACAATGACAGCCGTTATCAGATCGAAGATGTTTTGGAGATAGAAGAAGAAAGACCTAAATTGGAACCGGTTGTGAAATCGAATCAGCAAGAATCAGATGAAACTACGCCCCAAGGAAGGGTATCCTACGACGGCTGTCAATTATGGAAAACTGCGGTGGACGATGATGACAAAATTCGGCTGCTTGTTCGACTGAGAGACGAAGAAGGTACGAAAAATGATGTAAATAAATAATAAATCTTCGCCATATTTGTTCCTATCGCCATTTTTTCCATATAACCTTAAAAGTCAAGCCGATATTGCAAGAAAATTATAAGTAAATAAATTGGTTGAAACTAGATTTTCTCTTTTTGAAATGGTAACTATTTCTTCTACTCAAAATTTCCGATTAACAATATCAATTAAGTAGCGAAAATGACGACGACTGATAGGTAAAACCCAATTTTCTAATTAACAAACAATCAAAGCTGCGGTTTGCTACGATGTACAGGTTTTCTGTTTATTTGCTTTCGACAGGTTATTATTGGAAAACGAATAAATTTAATCATTATGATTTTTGTTCTTTAAGTAAGGTTCCCTTTATTTTCAATTTAATTTTCCCTTCCAATCAAGGTTGCAAGCTATTAATTTCATTTCTTTATTGTTAACTTGGCTTTGGTGAGCTGGACAATTATTAGAAAACAATGAAAATAACTCAACGCATAATAATATGTAATTGGGTGAAGAAAGTTTTGACCTCCTGAAAGTACACATAATTTGTTTGAAGATTATACATTATTATTCCTATCACATACAACGTACAATAACCAGACAAAAAATATTTATTAAGTGAACCGCTGTAGTAGCTTTTTGACTATTCCTGCATCACTCAGTCCTTCGGCGGAAATGTGATGTAGTGTGAAGTATAATACGACCAAACATATAGTGCATTTATTGCCTTGACGTTTTAAGTATTTTACAGTACCTTAACCGCAGACCTTTGCAGACAGATGTTTATTCTGCATTAAGTAGCTCTTGCCTGAGATGAACCATAATGAATATTTGTAGAAACTTGAATTTTTTATTTGAAACGTAAATGGTCCGTTTTAAATTTGTTTAAGCATTGATGATGCGGGGTATTTTCCAATAAGTAGAAGCATTTATTTTAACAGCAGGTGATATGTATCGCTCTTCTATATTAAGGAGGTATTTGACTGTGATCCTTCCAGTAAGTACATATTTATGTACCTGATTCTCGAGCTTTGACACTGCGAGGCTGTTTTCACTGGATAGTTCAAAGGGTAAGGATAAGGATAACTTTACTCTATTTATCTTACAGGTAAGGTTAAAAATAATCTTTTTTGTCTTGTGTGCCTTTCGATTCTTCTTGTATTTTTGTGTCATCTACATAGTTCTTCGATTCGTAAACAACAACGTTTTTTTTAAAGACTGTAGATTATATTCCCGGTAGATAAAGGATACAGATAAATATTTATTAGAATCTTATAATTAAAAATTTTTGGAAGGTTTATGTTTTTTTAACACTTTACAAGAAAACATGGAAAACAACGCAAAATTTGAAGACGAAGGATGGTGTAATAACAGTAACAAGTGTGTCCTAGACGTGACGCCTTCACATGGAAAACGCATAATTCTTCATGCTGGGTCCAAAATGGTTGGGTGGAAGATGGCTTATTTTTGTCTGCCAAAAACGTCAAAGATTTAACTGTGGATTATCATGAAAACATGACCGCGGAAATATTTGAAGATAGCCCAAAATACTATTATGTTGGATAATGCCTCTATCATTCAGTTCAAATTAGAAGAATTCCAAATACTTCTTCAAATAAAGAAGAAATTAACGAATTTCTGTACGAAAATTATTTATATTTTGAAGAGAGCTACTAGAAGAAACAACTTCTGGAATTATTAAAAATAAAACATTTTAATCAAGACTACAACATCAATTCGATCGCACAACAAAACGGACATGAAATCTTGAGATTACCTCCGTATCATTCCATATTTAACCCTATTGAGATGATTTGGTCCGAGTTGAAAGCGCATATAAGAAGAAATAACACTGCACAAAAATTTAGTGATAGTACCATAAAAGTAATTCGGCAAGAGGTAGCTATAATATCAGTACAAAGCTGGTCTAACTGCGAAAAACGATTAATGAAAGAAGAAAATATTTATCCAGAACGATTAGTGGCGGAGTTGATCATTGAACTAGGTAACGACCATAGCGATAGTGACGATTTTTTAAGTGACTGATACTTTATTATTATAATATTTAATATTTTATATATTAATAAGACACTAATAGAACGTAATAAATTGTTCTTCTTCTTCTTCTTAAAGTGCCGGTCCTCTGTGGACGTTGGCTATCACGTTGGTCCATATTACTTTGTTTACTGCGGATCTGAATAGGGCTGTTGATGTCATTCCAGTCCATGCACGTAGGTTCCGCAGCCACGATATTCGTCTGCGTCCTGCCGATCGTCGACCCTCTATTTTCCCCTGTAAGATGAGTTGGAGCAGGTGGTATTTCTCATTGCGCATAATGTGTCCAAAGTATTCCAGTTTTCTGCGTTTGATGTTTGCTAGGAATTCCATTTCACCTCCGATGCGCTCAATGACCGTTTTATTTGTCACATGATGTACCCACGAAATTCTGAGGATGCGGCGGTAGCACCACATCTCGAAGGCATCTATACGTTTGCACGAGGCATCGGTAAGGGTCCATGCTTCTGTCCCATAAAGGAGGACCGAGAGAACATAACAGTTCAGGACCCTTATTCTAGTGCGGACGCTGAGGGATAGGTTACAGAGTATGTTTCTCATTTTGTTAAATGTGCTTCTTGCTTTTTCGATTCGGCACTTTATTTCTCGAGAGTGGTCCCAATCTTTGTTCAAGGTACAGCCCAGGTATGTAACTGTCTCTGCTGTTTTGATGGCTTCGTTGTTTGCAGTAAACTGTAGGTTTCCAATATCGTTTTACTGATAATTAATATTTGTGATTTTTTACAGTTTATCTTCATACCGCATCCTTCGCATGCAGTCGCCACTCGGTCCACAAGTCTCTGAAGCCCCTCGGCAGTGTCGGCCACAAGAACGGTATCATCCGCATATCTCAAGTTGTTTATAATTAGACCATTTACTACAAGTCCGTCCTCTGTATCATCCAATGCTTCCTTGAATAGATGTTCTGAATACACGTTAAACAGGAGAGGCGACAGTATGCAGCCCTGGCGCACTTCCCTTCCAACGCTAAATTCTGCTGACGTTGTGTTTTCTACTCGAACCATAGCCTTTTGTTGTAAGTATAGTTTTGCTAGGATCTCCGTGTCTCTGTTGTCCATTCCTGATTCTCGTAGCACTGCGATGAGCTTATCGTGCCGAACCCTGTCGAAAGCCCTCTCGAAGTCTATGAAACAAGTAGTGTCAAGTCCTCTCCTGAAGCCAAACTGATTAGCACTTATGTTCTCGTCGAGTCGTTTGTAAATTCGAGCTTGTATTATATTGAGGAAGGCCTTTAAAGCATGACTCATCAGGCTTATAATTCTGTACTCTGAGCATTTATTTGCGTTCGCTTTCTTGGGTAGCGGGATAAATGTTGACATCAGCCAATCTTTTGGCAGTTGGCCATCTATATAGATTTTGTTAAAAAGGGTGGTTATCAGTTTTATTTGTTCGGAGTCCAGTAGCTTCAGAACTTCTCCATGTATTTGATCTGGTCCAGGGCTTTTGTTGTTTTTTAACCTTTTGATAGCTGCTTCCACTTCTTCTTGTGTGATGGTAGGTCCTTCAGTGTTAACCGTTGCAGCCACATTGTCTACGTTTTCCTCTCCAAAGAGTTTCTGCATATATTCTTTCCATCTTGTTAGTTTTTTGTCGACTTCGGTGATGGTGTTGTTGTCTGAGTCGAGGAGAACTCCTGTATTCCGTCTTTGGAATCGTCCTGCTGCTTCTTTTATTTTCTTGTGGAGGTTAAAACTATCGTGTTTTGCCTGCACTATCTCAGTTTCAGCACATTTTTCTTGCAGCCACTGTTCCTTGGTCTCTTTGATCTTTCTCAGAACTCTCCGATGCACTTCTCGGTATTTTTCCGTATTCCTGTTTCTATATTGTCTCCTTTCTTCCATAAGTTCCAGTATAGCATCCGTCATCCATTCCTGTCTCTTCGCCTGTTTATCCTGCCTCCGCTCTTCTTCCGTGACGGAGACTATGGATGTTTTTATTCTATTCCAAAGGTCTTCTATTTCTGTTCCGTGATTGCTTGTTTGTGAGATATTGCGTAGTTCGTTGTTAATTTTATCTCTGGTTCGCTGTAGTATGTTTTCTTGTTGGAGTTTCCGTACGTTAGTGCGTCTTGAGTGCCTTTTTTTGACGATTTTCTTTAATCGGAGTTTAGTGCGTGCCAACAACAGATTGTGATCTGACGGTATGTCTGCGCCTGGGTAGGTTTAACAGGATACAACTGCGTTGCGGTATCTTCGGTTTATCATTATAAAGTCAATTTGGTTTCTTATGATTCTGTGGCTGCTATCCGCTGGGGATTTCCAGGTGTACAGTCTTCTCGAGGGCAGTTTGAAAAAGGTGTTCATAATAGTAAAGTTCATTTCCTCGCAGAATTCTATTAAGCGTTATCCCCGCTCATTTCAACCTTGGCGTTCATGTCTCCCAACATCATATTAATTTCTTCTCTCCTCGTATGTTTGAGGGCAGTTCTAAGCTGTTCGCAGAATTCTTCCATCTCTTGTTCACTGCTCTCTGTCGTAGGTGCGTATGACTGTATGATATTCAAATCGAATGGTTTTGATTTGATTTTTATCAGTGCAACTCTGCTCGAGATGGGGATAAATCCTTTACAGCTTCGTTGGTTTGCTTGTTCAGGATTATTGCTACTCCGTTTCTATTTCTGGTAGTATGGTCTCCGGAGAAATATATATGGTGTTCGTCTATAGTGCAGTGTCCCGAGTCCGGCCATCGTGTCTCACTGCACCCCAGTATGTCGATTTGTAGCCGTTTCACCTCTTTTACTATATTTGCCGCCTTCCCAGCCTGGTACATGCTCTGCAAATTCCATGTGCCAATTCTCTTCTCTTTGTTTATTCTTAGGACATCATTGGAAAACCGGGGGATTCTTCGCACCCTCTCCCCACTTAAGGGGTGCCCGGGACTGAGGGCCGTTGCTTGTTTTTGTATATCCATTGTGATGTCTTGGGGAATATATATGATCCAGGTAGTTTCCCGTTGCTTTCCTGGATTTTTTTTATCAGCCGCCCCTAACATGGGGAACAGACGCTGTTTGCAGCCGCCCATTCTGGGTGAGACGCTGCAGTTTCACCATATCTGGCTACCCTCACTTGGTTTAGTTTGTGGGTCAACACAGTGTGCCGGGGTGTGGCGCTTGGAGCCAACAAGTGAGAGTTGGGTGTCTCGTGAGGACCAGTTGTCTGAGACCTCCGCCCGTCTTACGACGCTTGGAGTGACCGTCCCCAACAAAAGGTACTACCTCTCCGACATAACCCCTACATTGTTACTCTGCACTAATGAAAACATACTTATATCCCCCTTGTTAGTGTAAGTAGATAAATTAATAGGACGAGTAATAAAAAAATAAAACGTAGTAAAGAACGTAGTAAATTGTTACTTCGTACTAATTGTTTTATGTACATTTTTCAATAATTGCTACGCGAAAAATATTGCAAACATACTTATATCCCGCTTGTTAGTGTAGGTAGATAAATTCCTAGGACGGTCCTGAATTGGTTACGGGTAAAGATCTGCTCGGCAGGGTGTTCTATAAGGGGCTGCGGTTTTGGAGTAATAAACAGTAGGCAAAGTCAATCACGGGGTCGGATGTAAAAGCACTATATTTCTGGTCTAAATATACCCACTTCAATCGTATGTACTTTTTAAGAACCGCTTAAAACTTCTCATAAATTCTCGCTATCTTTTCTTGTTATCAGTTTGCTTCACTTTGTTCTTAAATTATTGACTTGAAAAGGAAAATATTTTTCAGACATAACCATGTGGGGCGGCAATAGCTCATCGATTGACATCCTGGTAAAACCAAATTCCATTGAGAAAGTAAAGACTGCGCTCAACCAAAAAAGTATCAATTACAATATAGCGATTGAAGATCTACAGAAAGCCATCGAGGAAGAAAACCCCCCACTGGAAGAAGATTTCGATAACAGAAACGGTAAAAACAATAATAACTGCAACATTCCCAATATCGTATCCTGAGGCGATTGCTTGTTTTTATAAACTCTTCCAGCGAGAATATTATCGGTAAAATATTTATCGGCTCGGAGAGGTTTAACTTCGTTAGATCGCAAAATGGAGCTGTGGCCTTTTGCCCAATGGGGTCCGTAACAAAGGAGTATGTAAAGCATGACCAAAGAAATGTTGTACATAAATATACGTGTATTCCTTTTTGTGATTAATGTAGTTTACGTAAAATAGCGACATTTTCAAACAAAATTATTCACACAGGCCACAAACTGTAAAAATATAACAGAAACATAGAAATTTGCCAATATATGTTTCAGTGGCCTCTATTCAAGATGCTCGGGCAGAATGAGAGGTAAACATACATCTGTCTGATTTGCGTAAAACAAAAATATATATATTCTAGAAGTTTCCCGTAATACCTCATTAATTTTCTTTAGTAACACACTACTAGTTGATTATCTTCCAGATATAAAAATAAATTCTTCATAATAACCATAATTTTCTACCCGTAACTAGCCTAACTGATTTTCTGAAATTCTTAGATTAGTTTAGAAAAAAAAGAATATTTATTATTTAACTAAATCAGGTAAAAATTGATTGTTTACAGGAGTAGGGATAAAGAAAGGACTTATTAAGTTGCGCAGCCAAATCCAGCATTTGAAATTTACAGGCTCAAGAAAAGATAAAGTAGTTTTTTTCTAGGTCCCTTTTATCAAGTTTTTAAAAGTTTTTCGTAAAAAGATTTCCCACACTAACAGACTTCGGAATTTGTAGTTTTTGTCATTAATAGTCAGTGTTCTGTTTCTTAAGTGAAGATTTGGTGTACTAACTCACAGATCTGCCATACATTTCGCAATTTACATGTATTTTCACACGGATCGGATCTTTACGCAGCTCTACCAAAATACTGTACATTTGCTAGAAAGCATTTCTAAGTCATATTATATACCCAAATTAATATACATTATGTTTAATATAGGACATCGTTTGACTTGGCAGGCTTACCATCCTTTAGAAGACATTTACGAATACATCGAATATTTGGGGCAGACGTATCCGGATCTGGTTACGGTGCAAACTATCGGTAGCTCGGTACGAGGTAATCCCATTAAAGTAATCAAAATTTCAAACGGTCAGACAGGTAACAAGGCCATATGGGTCGACGGTAATTAAATGTGGCTTAATGAGTGTGATAGATTTTTTTCCCAATTTCACTTTACAGGAGGCATACATGCTAGAGAATGGATAACACCCGCAACTGTTACATTTATAGTTAACCATCTGATGGCGAACTACGAAAACGAACCAAAATCGATTCAAAACGTTGACTGGTACTTTGCACCATTGCTTAATCCAGACGGGTATGAATATACCCATAAGGTGGACAGACTGTGGAGGAAAAACAGACGCGGTTACGGAAGATGTGCCGGAATTGACCTGAACAGGAACTTCGGGTAATCTATTTATTAATAGGAATCGTATGCTACATTATATACTTTTGACGGAAATGATCGAAATAAGCGGCTAACAGCAATAAAACACCTGATCAGATGGGGGAATTGCAAGACAGAGGACTTTTAAGGTGTTTTAAAATCATAAAAATGGCGTCATCCATTACAAAAACAAACATATAGCTGTTTTTTTTTTCAAAGAAACTTCCACTTGCTACTTTAATACTCTTTAAAAAACTTCTGTACCTGCTTATATATTGTTTGAGGGGGGCGGAGTTAAATGAGGGGCATAAACATCGTCTCGGATGACTGATTCACATATCGGTAACAGTTAAAGACACAATGAGCCCGAAAGGAATCCCACACTGGCCACTGTTGTCCTTCCTTACATTCAAAACATCACTGACCACATATCAAAAGTTCTAAAGAAATATAACGCCAAAAACCAGAATTTACCACTGTCAAAAAAAAATCCATTTGAGATGGCAGGTGTTTACGCATTCCATACATATGCGGCAAAGCGTACATTGGAGAGACTGAACGAAAAATATCAACTAGGCTCAAAGAACATGAAAGAACCTTTAGACCAAGTCAGACAAATAAAATGATCAGTAGTTGCTGAACACAATTACGGACATAAAATTTTATTTGATAAAACTAAAGTTCTTGTAATCAATTCTTCTACTAACGAAAAATCCGAGAAACCATAGAATCTATAAGCAACCAAAGAATCTTAACCGCGACCCAGGTCTTTACCTGTCACCAATATGGGAATTAGTCATCCGAGACGGCGTTTATACCGCTCATTTAGCTCCTCCCCCCTCAAACAATATATAAGGAGGTTAGCAAGTCGACTCAACATCATCCGACGCAGGCGGAATCCAGAAGTTTTGTAAATCTACCTGTCTTATTTCTTACCTGTGAATAAATTGTTGGCTGTTAGGTTATATGAACGTCGTAATAACTTTTTGTTGGAAGGTAAAGGGTGTCAAAAGCCAAAGGCATTCAACTAATTCAGAAAATACTTAAAAACCTGCGGCCAACAATCTCGAAACATTTGCTCAACATTTTAAATCTGAAACTTTTAAATTTTTATGTGTCACGAAAATAAAAGCAACGTTGACAGATTGCCGGTGTTGATTAACACAAATTTTTAAAATATTACGAATGCTATTGTTTTTTCACAAGGGCAAACAAATATTAAATTTGGAAATCGTATTTACCAGCGTTTAACAATAGGCCTTCAGTATACGAATCAGCAACCTTAAAAAATATAGTTGAATATATTCCGATTTCAAGGTATGCCTTTTCTTCGATCAACAGCCAACCGTTAGAGAAATTATTTTAAAACATTAGTTTTATCTTTCTGGACGACAATATTATATTATACCTTCGCCATTAAGCAATAAAAGTTACGCTCTTCTTAATTTTACGCTAGGCCTGTAAACATTAAAGTTGGTTGCATCTGGTTTGCATCTAACCTTGGTGCAATCTTAGTTTTTATTTTATTCTTTAGAAAAAGGAACTTTCCCTGCAGTCCCTCAAAGATTTGATTTTCAAATAATGTTTCAAAAAACAGATTTTTTAAATGAATTATTTTTTTTTTAAATATAATTCAAAGGTATATTTTCTGAGATAGTTTTGCAGATAGACATCGGGAAAATAATGTAAAAAATAACTTATTTAAATTTGAATATTTGCTATTCAAAAGGTGTAATTCAAAATGTCTTACTGCAATACTACAACTCCGCTTACTGATGAACCAAAATTAAGAAAATCTCCGATAGGTACCGAAGAGGTGGTCAAGGATCCTCCAAAAGCCCATACGCTGGACCTTATGCATTTCAGTTAACCGTTAAAATTGTAAATCATTCTTTGAGAAAAGAAAGAATTATTTTGAAGTTTTTTTTTCTAAAATATAATTCGAATTGTGAGATAGCTTTGCAGACAGATATCAAGAAATCCAAACAGTATCAACTTTACTTTTTGAAAAAAATCTAAAAGTCACCTTATTTGAATTTGAATATTGGCTATTCAAAAGGTTTAATTCAAAATTTCTTGCTGCGATACTACACCTCTGCACTTCTCAAATACTGATGCACCGAAATTAAGAAAGTCTCCAATAGGTACCGGTGGGGTGGTCAAGGATCCTCTAAAAACCCATGCGCTGAAACTTATGGAGGAACCGGCCCTTTTTCTGAACCCGAAACTGCGGCCATTCAGAAGTTCATTCAAGAAGCGACCGCGAAATGGAAAGCCTACATATCGTTCCACTCTTACGGTCAATACATTCTGTATCCTTGGGGATACAACAGAGTAGTGCCGCCAGATTTTCAAGATCTGGAAGATGTTGGACAAAAAGTAGCAGCTGCTATAAAAAGTGTGGGAGGACCACAATACACGGTAGGACCAGCAGGTAACACATTGTATCCTGCCGCGGGAGGTTCGGACGACTGGGCCAAAGGAACAATGAAAATGAAATATGCTTATACTATTGAACTACGTGATAATGGGAGATATGGTTTTGTGTTGCCCGCAAATTATATACAACCCACAGCCAAAGAGGCACTGGCGGCAGTCAGAGTTATTGCCGACGCTGTAAGTCGACTATAAAGTCCATATATGATAATATTTATTTTAGTTTTAGTTAAAAGCAGGTTATATAAATGTGATAGCCACTTTGGTTTTATGTAATATTGACATTTAAAATAAATAAAAACACCAAAATCCAATTTTTACTTTTTCCTTCACCAAACATTTTTCATTGCGTGTTAAATTACAATACTTAATAGTATTGTTAAATGACTGTGACAATTAATAGGACTGAGGTATATGTCACATTAATGTTTTAAAATTTCTGCTTAATTACAATAAAATATTGACTTAATTATTGAGCCTAGAAATCATGGGGTAACTATATTGTGTTGTACCTAGTTCTTTCACCGTAGTCTTATATTTAATTACTATGTTCACCATGGCATGGACTGAATGTGTATCAAAAAACTTACCTTCAAAGAACGAATCTCTCCTCTCAAGAGTTTATTGTCTTCTTCAAGTGTTTTGATTAAGTCATTTTTAACCACCATTTCCTCATTAAGTTTAGCGATTTCTTGTTGGTCCTTTTCTAAACTTTGTTGTTCAACCGGCACCAGATGATCTTGTTTATTAGCTTGCTCTTTTAAATTGATATGAACTTCTTCAGAGCACTGTTTAGTGCCTTTTTCAGAAACATCCTGCTTCTTTATACTGTTGCCAATGCTGACAAAACTGGATAAGTTTGTAGATTTGGAATGAGTAATTGAATATTTTTCACTTTTGTCACTGTCCACAGATCCAGCATATACCCTTTGAAATTCTGTTGAAGGATTGTTCTTATTGTCATACATATTCTGATTGCCATCAATATTTTCCATATTGTTAGATAACTTTTCCAGTTCTAGCAATTTATTTGAAGAATTATTTGACTCAGCCCTGCTGTCTTGTGAGGAAAAGTCTTCACTGTAATCACTATCACTTTCTCCAGGATCAATTGGAAGGGGGCTAATACTTTTAGGAGTAGGTGTTGATCCCTTTGACTGACTTGAAAGCAGGTCACTTATATTTTGGGAAGTCTTAGACCTTTGGCTCAGCTGTTCAAAGCTTTTTGAACTTTCCATGTAAATTTTTTCAGCCTCTTTCATAATATCTTCAATGCTTCTCTCCTCTATACTTTTTTCAAATGGACCTAAAGGGCTTTGGGCAGCAACTCTATTTATCTCTTCTATAATACTTCCTACGTCCACATTTTCGTCATTTTCCTTCTCTAAAATATCATTGACTGAAGTTGAAGAGTGCAAATTCTTTAAATTTAGTGTAGGAACAGAGGAAACCTCCTTAACATCTTTAGCTGGAGTCTTCATCCACCAAAAACCAGGTGATTTGGTTTCCATGTTGGTATCGATTAAATTAGGTGTTAAAAGCAGTGTAGATTATTGAATTAATAGGTAGAAAATCACACGCATAAAATTCGCTACTTTAAGCTGTCAAATTTGACAATGGAAAACAATATTGAAAAACTCAACTAAGGTTATACATTAATATCTTCTTCTTTCGGGCTGAAAGCAAAGATAATTAGCTATACCTAATGGCCAAAATTCGGCGCACTCTTTCGATATATATCAAGGAGTAATTTCGACGCTTTTCACACTCTGAAAACAATAAATAAACCTCAGTATTACATTCAAATTTACAATTAGTTGAAAATAATTTAATATGTTTCCATAGTAAAGGATTTAATAGTAGTTACCCGATTATGACAGATATTTTATTACTTTATTATTATTAATAACAATGATAGTGAAAACGTTAATGATGTGGCCATTGGTCAAACGTTCCTGAGGCTTTTTGAATTTACTTATACATTAACCGATTTAACAGAAATCTGCAAACATAAGATTTAAACTGTCAATACTAATTTTTGACATTTCTGGCGATGTTTATCAAGAGAGTTTCTGATGTGGCCAAAAACTTCAAAGAATTTTTAGATATATATTCAAAGTAAACGCAATCATGTGATAATTGATCGTGGCCGAATATTTGTTTCTGCATTTAATTTTTTAAAAAATGGCTTTTCAGACGTTAAGAAATGAATATTTAAATACACCACCCGTTACTAGGGCCTACACCACAGCTTGTGTTATTACAACATTAGCCGTTGTGAGTATTTTCTGTAATTTGCACATTATGATTAAAAGTTTCATTGTTTTATGTTGAATAAAAGGTTATAATTTCTTTAAATTCCTTTTTCAGCAATTGGAATTAGCTTCGCCGTTCCAGCTTTATTTCAATCCTATATTAATACTAAAACAAGGCCAGTTATGGAGACTCATAACCACTTTTTTGTTCTTCGGAACATTTGGTTTCAATTTTTTCTTTACGATGATATTTACTTATCGGTACTGTAGAATGTTGGAGGAAGGATCGTTTAGGAATAAAACATCAGATTTCCTAATGATGTTTTTGTTTGGAGCTTTTTGTATGGTTGTATCCTTTTTTAAAGACTCCATATAAATTTGCTTATTAATGAAAGTAAAGACTTGTTAAAAGATTGTGGAATTTAATTACCAAAACTTAATTTTTCTTAACTGTTGATAACAGATATTTGCGTTTTTCGTCAACTTATTATTTTTAGGTCAAGCTTTTACAATAATGTTAGTATATGTCTGGTCAAGAAGGAATCTATACGTTAGGATGAATTTTTTCGGGTTATTAAATTTTCAGGTTTGTGTTAAGTTATGGTTGATTTCAGTATATAGCTATTAGATAATATAGTGTCCCTATCTTGGTAAACATTGATGTGCCTCAGGTGGATATTTTCCCAGAGATGGGAATGACCTACCTCCCATGTCTCTTCATTGTACACATTAACCTGCCTTTTGCGCCATTTGGTTTCTAAAGAGTGATATGTGCACACTTAACCCCTGAAGATTTTATTTTGAAAAAATACTATCGTAAAAATGCCTACAAATATATTGCTGATCTGTCAGGGGCCATGTTGGTTATTCAGTGCCGCAAGGTCATTGGTTAAAAACGAGATTTTAAATCTCGCGCATGCGCATGTTGAATTGCCTGCTTTCATAGATTCTTGTATTATCAGCACAGGGCGTATATCTTTAATATGTATATAGATTTGAGTTACTGGCATTTCCCTATCATAGAAAATTAATTTGAAATTTTTAGTAATCAGAACGCATCAGGCTTAGTGTTTTAGTAAATTGATATCAATCAGAAGTTATATTTCCGTAGAAGTTTATCATAATTTTGTCAAATTTTAGGCACCTTACTTGCCATGGGTTCTAGTGGCATTTTCCGTTCTATTGGGTAATGCTGTATATGTAGATTTGATGGGTATTGCTGTAGGTCACATCTACTATTTTTTGGAAGATGTTTTTCCCAATCAAAGAGGAGGATTCAAAATATTGAAGACCCCAAACATATTGTAAGAAGTTTGATCTTCTTAAGCGATACATTTTCATAATTGTTTTTTGTTAGGAAGCAGCTGTTTGATGAACTTCCAGAAGACAGAGATTACGAAAGGTTACCAGAGGATCGACCAGGTGGCTTTGATTGGGGCAACCAAAGAAATCGTGATGAAAACCAACAGCAAAATGAAAACAATGCGGGAAATCCACAATAAGGGTGTATTTTTTATGAAATTTGTAATATATTGTAATTTATAAAATTATATTAACTACCTTTTCTATTCGAATTAGTGGCAATAACCAAATCAGATTTAAGTGTGTCCAGAAACTATAATTCTGTTGAATTACTCAAATGTATTAACACTAACGTGAATGATATATTTTATTTTATTGAAAATAAAGGTGTGGAAGGAATATTAGGAGGTTCACAAAGTCAACAAAATCTGGGGCTTAGTAAGAAACCGTTTCTCCTCCGGGTTATGATTCTGATCAGTGTTTAAAAAAATAAAAACAGAATCAATAACAACTATTTATTGAACTAAATTAAGCGCTTACAGTGACAACAGAAACAAGTGTACGAGTATACAAGTTATTTAACGCAAAAACAACACATATCTGTGACTGTATGAACGAGAACATGTTAAACCTAAATATTAGGTTGCAACGTTTGGCTTCAGCATCACTATTTGTACCCGAGTTGATTACTTTATAGCGAAAGTAAACGTTAAAAAAATTCGATAAATGAAAAGAAATTCTTAAGAATGAAACTGATGCACCATGGGATTGGTTGAAATTGGCACTCATATACCAAACTACAAAATACTGAATGTTTTCACAATAGTTTCTCAGGTACAAATGATTCCACCAAAATTATTTTCCAGTACCAACAGATTAAACATAAAAAGGGAAGTTAACCGATCAGTACCCACAGTGGCAAACAAGGGGCATGAAATAAGTAAATTTGTTGAAACTATAGATATTTTTATTATAACCTTTTATAGGGTATAGTTTTTCAAAATGGACAGAAAGTGTTCGTAAAATATCGCTTAATTTACTAGGAAATCTCTTAAAAACAAAATTCAAATGATTTCTATATTAAGTAAAAACATTTCTTCGAAATTATTTGTCACTATTATATTGGAGGGAAAATGAAGGTTTGTTTACATGACCTTAAAATCACTGGGTCATTTGGTAAACTTTGTTTAATAAAGAATTTCATCTTAAACAAGCCTTTGACCCACCAGTGAACTTAGCTTCCGAATGTCTGTGGTGTGTTTAATATACATACCTTTCTAGTTTTGACGAGTTTTCCATTTCAATTATAGTCTAAATAGCAACATCAGCAAATCCGAACATTTGGTGAGTTTGTTGTCACTAACAATAGAACATACTTTTTCATTGGTTGAATTACATTTGCCTTAGAAAAATACGAATAATCACGGTGTTGACTTGAATTTCAACAATCTGGTTTAGATTATACACGGTTTTATTATGTCTATTTAAATAATTTTTTTGTACTAAGATCTGAATCTGAATCTCAATATTATCCATTAATTAGAGGAATATTTGGGTGAAACTTGCTCGGATGCGAATTTCATTTTACACAATATTAATAACTTATCAACCAAAAAAGTTTGGAACTGCGCAACACTAGAGCAAGGACCGAGTACTTAAATATTTACCAGATCATTAAAAACTAATTCTTTTTATATTATGCACCTGTTATTCCCCATCGCGAATGGAGCGACGTTTACAAAATTCAGTTAACCTCCCTTTTTTTACGAAATCTAAATCGCCGTTGATCGGGACATCCCATTATTAAACATTAAAACGTGAACGAATGTGGAACGTGAAACTGGTGAAATCATTTCATAAATAAAATAACACGAAGATGAGAATGACGATGGGTTTACCAAAAAATTCGTTAACAACAACAGCTTTGGGCCGCTTCATCAACCGGCTACCTTATTCAATTACTACTGTTTCTGTTTCCTATATTGCGACCGTTGCGAGGATGACGGTGATGTCGTCCGGTTTGCCGCCTGTAAAGTATTTTAAAAAAATCAATCGATTACGAATAAGGACGCCGGGGCTCACCTATCGTATTAATCCCGTTCGCGAATGCGCGTTCGGCGAACGGAGAAACGAACGTTTCGTCAAACGAAAGGCTCCTCGCCATCCACGCGATGGAATTTGCAACCATCTGAAGTCTACTCGCACATCTCTCTCCTTGACACTGCAAATAAATTTGATGGCCTCAGTCAACGCTCAAAACATTAAAATTAAAATCGATTTTCCCCTGAGATCCGTGAACACAATATGTTACCGCACGCTTCCCCTCAACCCAGTATTACAAGGTGACGTCACTCGGCGACCCAGTATCAAAACCTTGTATCAAATGCTTTATTTTCAACTTATTTTAATAAATAGGTGGTAGTTACAAAATAAAGAGATGGAACTTGTGCTTGGTAAAGAGCACGTTTTTGACTAATGAAGATACCACATAGCATCTTATGGTTAATATATTTAAAATGTTCTATGGACTCCGAATAAGAATTTTCTCTTTATTAACAGCAATGTCCCTTTGAACTAACATGGCTTATATCCTTTTAATTTATCATATTTTCTTGCTGCGTGCAAAAACACTAAAATGGTATTTTTTACTAGAGTTTAGATTTGAACGAGATATGAAAGCAAGGTAATAAGTAAGCCCTGAAGTGACACACTCATTAGGATTAAATTACATATCAATGATTCGCTTTCAAATCACCATTTGGTTTTTACGTTTGTCCTAATTTAAGGTTAACCTAACTTCTAACGTAATGCCTACCTTTCGTTATTTCCGCATTAAAAAACCCCGGTTTAAAAAAGTAAACAAAAATTTGGCACCGACCTACAAGCAGGTGTTGACCAACAACACAATATGCGATTCTATTTGCTATAAACATTACAATGTCCAAGATTAGCACTGAGAGTGCATTAAAGTAAATTAACGTTATATGTATTACATACTAGCCTACCGTCCCCTCCTTAACTACCCGGTGGCTTTGTAAGTCTCCAAAGTCAGGTGTACTTAAACATTATGTTTTAAATAGTCAACAGGCTTTAATGCTTGGTGAATTATGTTTAAAATGAATGAAGTTATTCTGTCTCAATCTTTATCATGTTGGTTTTCGACGGACCCCCCCAGTAAAACTTTAACGACGCAATTATCTATTGTTAGTAACAAAAAAATTATTCTTTCTTGAGTGACAAGGTAGGGGTAGGCCAGGTATATTTCTTTTTTTCTGATATATTTCTTGAGTGTGGAACATTTGTGGTAGTGTTCAATAATCGTTTTTACGGTGCCTTTCGAGAAAGTTATTTTACGAGAATTTGTCGCTTGACGCAAAACAGGCTGTGAAAAATGTAAAGAGTAGAGAACTTATTCAACAAGAAGCTTTAAAAGAAGCCTGTATACTTACAAAAACGTCAATATCGTCGATAAGGGATATTATTAATAGTGGAGAATTGATGGAAATGAATTACCGTTGTGATTCTTAAACACACAGTATACACAATAGCGATGAGGACCTAATAAATAAGACAATATATTATCTTTATCCAAGCGAAGTTGATCCTACCTTGGATGAACTGAAAAAGAAGCTAGAAGATGAACGTCTGAAAGAATATTAAGGATTCCAGATTGCATTATCATTAGGATACTTGTGCCGAACTTTTTGAAAATCGGTTTCAAAAAAATCTTTTAAAAAATATTACGAATAACATTATTATTGTTCTCCGCATCATTGCATGTTTAACCCCACAGAGCATTTGTGGAACCACGTGAAATCAAACGTCAGAGCAGAAAATGTTACTCTTACTTTAAGTGCCAGTGTTTTAAATTCGATAAAATATATAACTAATAACATACCAACTGAGAGCTGGAAAAATTCGGTACAGCACATTACAAAAATTGAGGACTCTTACGTTTCTATACAAAACAATATAAATCCTATTACAATTAATCTCAATGATGACTCTAATAGTGAAACAGAATTAGATTTAGACATTTAAAATATAACTGTAATTATGTATATAAACGTAATTTACTGTATATATTTAATGACATTGTTTTTTCTTAGTGTAATGTAATAATATTAAACCCACTTAAAATTATTTTTTTATTATTATCAAAACCTTTGAGAGTCGGTCCCTAATGTTTTGTCCTTTAATAACTACCGGACTCGAGTTTTATTGTCGTCGGCAGGTAACTTCCATAATTGCGGGCAAAAGTCAGCACGATGATGATTGAGACAGACTATACCACTGAAACTAAACAACTGCCACCAAAACCAAATAAAAGAATAGAACGCTCATGATCTAGATTTAAATATTAACGGTCAGCCTGAAAAAGTAAGTTACCTTAATCAGTTCGTTCAGTATAATATTCTGTGGCAGATTGTCGAACACGCCATCTGTCGCCACCAAAATTACATCGCCGTCTTCAACTAGGAAATTATCGGTGGACGCGGAATCTGGCCTGTCGCTGAGCACGCCCGCCCTGTAGCTTGGCGGCGGCAAAGACAGCTGGAACGGCGTGTTGAAGTAGTGCTGCTGTTCTTCGGACCTGCGCACAACTTTACCCCTTCGAACAACCATGTATCCGCTATCCCCTATGTTTGCCGTGTAAAGGGTGCTGTTTTCACGGTTCAATAGAACTACACAAGCAGTGCTGCTACCTATAACAAGAGGATGGAAACTATTAACCACTGTGGAGAAGCTTTTAGATAATAAGAAACAGTCTGTGTTTCCCAGTGTTGTGGTTAGATAAAAACACGTAGTTACTTGATCCATTGAATATTAGGTATTACAGCAAGTACTTCTATAGATAGATAGATGCATATTTTATTTACTACCATCGGATATTTAATCTCGGTATGCCAAGTTATTTCACACGTCTCTTTCAACCAATAAGACCTTGACGTTCAATTGTATATTTTTCTATAATAGTTTAGAACGTATGCAAACTACAGTCACAAAGTAAGCGATTGATTTTTGTTATCTACTCATGGCACAGCATCTAAAATTTCGATTTGTTCTCAATATTTAGAGGAATACTTAAAATTATCTGACAGGTTTTCGGCACACACGTGAGGAACGTGTACGAAATATTCCAAGAGATCTATAGAACCACCCCCGTTCGATATCTTCGTTCCAGATCATTCCAAAGAAGCTCTGAAATTTTACTTTTACTCGGTAATAATTTTGATGTAGCATAGAAATGAATTTTAGTAGCACATATTATACTAGTTTATCAGCGAAAGCATTAAAATTAACTTGTAAATCACCTAATTATATCTATTATTTTTTAATTAATCAAATTCATTCGTATAACAAAATATGATGTCCAACTTGTTTTACCAACGCCAAATGTTTATGTTAATTTAGGAATATTGAACGCCTTGGAATTTTAAGTATAATATTCAGTTCGATCAATCAATCAACCAGATGAATCGGATAATGTGAGACCGGCCTTGTTTGGAGGTAAATAAATACAGAGAAAAATCCAATGACAAGTATACTTTAAAAAAGTTTCGCGCGTAAATGTATATTAATAAATACGTAAAAAGTATGTAAGTACATGGTGAGCATCTCGCAAGTCTGACAGCCCTGTGCATTCTTTCTTATCCCAATACCCTGTACATAAATACATACACAAATAAATAATTGTAAGAAGATTCGGGAGTTTAATGTGCACAAATTATCACAGAACTACATTTTTTTAAATTAGATAGTTCTGGCGTTTGCTGGTTAAATAATTGTTTACTTTTATACTCTGCCTGGGACGGTTTAAAAAATTATATACATCATTATTATTATTATTATTTTTCGTTAAGGATTTAGCAGAAGGGCTGGCACTTGCAATAATTTTTATAATTTATCAATAAAAGTAAATGAATAACCGTTCGATATAAACACTCAAGCATCGACCACTTCATTCAGAAAAGATAAGGAAATGTGACGGAATCCCCAAATGACGCAAAACTAATAAGTTGCCTTGATAAATTTCCGACCGTATAATCAGTCTGTTTGACTAATAATTTCGCGTAAAGATCAGCGACAGGAATAAAACGTACGTTTGAATATTATTATTTAGAACGTGATCATTTAAATAATTACATTTATATATATTTAATCGCACCAGATTGTAGGTAGGCAATGGTACGCGATCGCTATACCGGCAATTAATTTATTGCCACCATCAAGGTGATTATAGATTAACGAAAAAAACATTTAACGCGCGAAACCCAGATAAATAAAACGTTTGGTCGGTTTATTCCGGTTTTAATCAAAATTTCTTGCCGGCCTTAATTGCACAAATAGCGATAAAGCTGAATGTAACCATCAACGACTCCAAAGAATAAAATAAGGCGTCCCAGACATCACGGTCGTGACAAAACCATTGGGAAAATACATGCACTCTTCTCGAAGTCAGTTTGGTTGGCGATAAAATGCAAGTAGCAAGAATTTTTACTAGTACGATTCGTTGCAGATATCGTTAACAAGTTATTTTATTCTAAGCAGGAATAGAAAAACTGTAATACATAGGTTTCACCATATCAATTAGTTTTTATATTAAACTGTACATAACAAAAAAATCAACTAAATTATACAGCTCTTATACATAACGACCTTTATAGGAAATGCAACCAAGAGGGCAGAAGTCTTAAAAATTTTGGTACCTGAATAGATAATAAAAATGCCGAAGATATCTGCAAAAATCAAGGTTCGTGCAACTAATATATTTTTCCTACAATGGATAAATAAGATGGATAAATAAATTTGACAGCCTTACAACAAATTTTCTCGTAATTTGAGCATAGGTTTATGAAAACAATTATCACTGGTACTTAGATATCATTAAATATTCCTTAAAACAGCTATTTGATATTTTAATATTTCGTGCGCAGCACCTACAAAACGTATGAATTCATTCAATTCGAGCAAATGACCGATCTATGCTCTGTTTTGTCTCAGTGTTCAAAATGAAAATTGTAGTCGCTTTCCGGCAATTACTCGCGAAGTTCGTTCTTGCATCATACATTTTGCTGTAAAATAGGATACAGAGGTGTTCTTGGAAAAAAAATTGTCATTCATCGGCTTAATTTAAATAAGAAGCCATTTCAGAAAGATATGCTTCGGAACGAGATAAAACGGTGCATTGAATCATATAGAATTGGTATGGCCCCATGTAAAAGGGTCTGTAGGGAGAAAGGAATGTCACTTTTAAAATGTAGGACGGGTAGGTAGGGTTTCAAACCCAAGAATGAATAATTGTTTTATCTATTTATTCTTAATTCTATATAAGGTTTGGTATAATTATTACATTATTTTGGTAAACCACCTGTAGTAACGCCACTGTCATATTACTTACTTACTCATCTACTACCAAACTCGTCTTTCTATTGTATTGAAATTTAGAATCGATTGGAAGTGCCTAGATGTCAAAAACATACCGTTTTGTGAAGAATTTACATTAACATTTTCCAGTTTACGTCTTTATTACTCCCTAGCACTAAGAAACGACATATAGAATATAGAATAGAATAGAATATAGAAAAACACTGCTGCCAACTTGTTTAAGCAGAATAGATCTTTTAGTAGTTCCCCACAAGCATATTTTAAACTTTTTAATTACAGAATGAGTAAAAGATATTATGTCTCTGAAGCAAAATTCTAATGTATCTAATGTACATTGTTACATTTCTTTCTTCAATTATGAAAAGGAAATAATTGTTTTCACTTTAACAAACAGTACCAAATGCAACAAGATTAAATGGAGAAAGATGTACACGGAACACATGACATTTCAATTAATATTGTTTAAAATATTAAAATATAAAAATATTTGTAAAAGAGGTTCGAACTTAAAGCCACAGCCTAATCATTAAGCAATATATAGATCATATTCATTACAGTAGAGATCCTAATTTTTCAGTATTTCTCGCTAAAAAGCCCAAGATCTGTATATTTTTGTTAGGTAGATATAAATAATGTTTATTAAATTTTAAGTTTAACTGAAAGAAAACTCCCAAGTTCTTTAACTCAATTTCATGATAATTGTAATATTGCTTGATTGGTATCGAGATGAATCAAATGGTCTTAGCAATTTGTATGGATAGCATAGTTTCAAATTCTAAGAGTATAAATGTCAATGCACATAATATTGTGTGGAAAAACGGTAGTTTAATTTTAAATTATTAAACACGACTTTCCTAATTACCATTAATCAAAAACAAAGAACTAAGTAATAATATTATAATAACCTATTCTAACAAAATTTCCGCCAACGCATAGGCGTTACATAGAACTGTAAAACGAAGTAAAAAGAATGCGCTGTTTATTCATTCGATTAATAACCTTTTCCTGGCATGGGGTAACTTTATTTTGCATTATTAAAGATGGCCTGGCCGGCTGACACGCAGGCACATGATAATTATTGTTTGTATTTTTTTTTTACTTTCACGTGAAATTTTTGGCGGCCGCGGATCTAATAATAAACGGCGTCTATTTTCGTTGTATTCCGTCGATTTCACATGACGATTTTTAGGCCGCGCCGCTCGGTCACGAGGTATCAATCGAATCATGCTACGCTCCGGAGAACAGGACCGGACTTGGTTTTTTTTGAAACACCGTTGGACCAAATTCATGCGCAACACATGTATCAAATTTCAGGGCGTATTCCTCGACCAGTAACATGTGTTAAAAATACAAGATGTCGAAGATTCCTTTTTAAATCGGTTTATTAATTGATATCGCAAATATTCCTTTTTCGATATCGTTGAAATTGGTCCTCACAAGGATTAATATTATTGTAATGAAAAACATTACTCAACAAAAAATTTTTGTAGATAATAATATAAACAAATTTATACGGGTAATATTTTATTTTTTTCACATTAAGACTTTGTCTGCGAACCATTAAATGTCAGGCCGATAAAGTTTTATTTTATTCACATTCGGATAACCAAAATAGTTGTTGAAACATTTTTAAGTACTAAATTTAGTAACCTATCTTGAAGTAATACCTGACAGTTGAGCAACAATTTTCACATAGATAATCAGCGATCGATCTATGGTCCCACCTGACTTTTGATAGTCATCTAACCGCCTTAGAATCATTCTCAAACAAACTTTAACAGCTGTTAACTACACAAGTCCCTGACAGTTCCAGGACCATCCGAAACAGAATCCGAAGAAGCACTTTATGTTCCTAAATTATGGAACTTCGTCATGGATGCCTTGACAAAATGTCAAGTGCGTCAAAGTTATTCCGATATTTTAAAGGCAGGACGGGCCATATGACAACAGTGACAAATAGTCTCGGCACATCTTTGTTACTGTGGACGTTTGGTGCGATAAAATTGTTCGTTATCTGTATACGAAAACTCCCAATGACACAAAAAGTTAATTCCATCATAATTATATCTAGGAAAAGATCCGAAATAAGCAAGTAAGCGACGCGTATATTTAGCTTTCGTTAGTTTAAATTACGATAAAATGTTATCGTAATGTTATTAAACTAAGATGTCACCATAAAGTTTACGAGTACGTTTGTACTTTTAAAATTAATTGATATTCGGTTCTGTGCGAGAACGGGTCCAACATAGCACAAAACTAGCCTTAGTACTATGTGCCCAGTATGATGTACCATGTATGATGTATGATGTAAAACAAA